CTGGCAGGGCAAAAAAATCCTTAGTTAATTAATTTTCATTATAGACAGCTTTATAAAAGTATAAAAGCTCTCATAAAGTATTTTTCTGAGGTCTGTCTTATCAGGTAAATTACTGTACACAGTGTATTCATTAATTTTCATTTTCATGTAGTAAAGGCTCTATGCCTTCATAAAGGACGTACTTTTCCTTTGTTTAAGGGTATTTGGGCAGTTTATTCTCTGTTATATTGTCAAGTAAACAATACATACAAGTACAGTACAATATTTTCTGGGGAAACACTCGTACTTCTTTTTTTAACCCCAATCCCGATAACCCGGCATTTTCACAAACTCGGCCATCCTTCGGTCCACATTAGACTGAGTTTTCGAGGTTCTACTGTACTATAATTGTGTAGTGTGAACAATGTAGAATTTTTTCTCGCCAGTTTAATTTGTTATATTTCCCAAAAACTGCTTTATATTGTTGAGAAAATATAAACAAATATAACGACAAAAATTTTATTGTATTTATTATTTTTGTAACAAATTATCAAAAACTATAATATATAAAAGAAATTTAAAGATTACATTTCATCAGTAGAATGTACGAAAACTGAATGCAACAATGGTCTAATTCTGTTTTTTTTTAATAACAAAGAAAACAAAGGGAGGTAAACAAAGAAAGTTGAAATATTATACTGTAAAAGTGGTATATACTAGATTTTTTCATATATTGCTGTTATACTTGTTTTGTTTCTATCAATACTTAAACTTAGTAATCTTTCATTCTATTTAGAGAAATATATTTAATACATGAAAGCATGGCACTGCACTCAATTTCAACATTTGAGAGAATTAAAATTATTCTTTTAATCACTATATCAGTGTATTTCTATTAATAGGACTTATCATACTGGTGTACAAGATTGCAGACTCACAGTTACACAGATTAAAATTGTTTTATTTTCAATTACCTGGACACATACAATTTACGTTTCGGACTTGTATGTCCCTCCTCAGCAGGTATTCAATAAACAAATTCTAAAATTTAAATCTAAATTTGTTTATTGTTTAAATTTTAGAATTTGTTTATTGAATACCTGCTGAGGAGGGACATACAAGTCCGAAACGCAAATTGTATGTGTCCAGGTAATTGAAAATAAAACAATTTTAATCTGTGTAACTGTGAGTCTGCAATCTTGTACACCAGTATGATAAGTCCTATTAATAGAAATACACTGATATAGTGATTAAAAGAATAATTTTAATTCTCTCAAATGTTGAAATTGAGTGCAGTGCCATGCTTTCATGTATTAAATATATTTCTCTAAATAGAATGAAAGATTACTAAGTTTAAGTATTGATAGAAACAAAACAAGTATAACAGCAATATATGAAAAAATCTAGTATATACCACTTTTACAGTATAATATTTCAACTTTCTTTGTTTACCTCCCTTTGTTTTCTTTGTTATTAAAAAAAAACAGAATTAGACCATTGTTGCATTCAGTTTTCGTACATTCTACTGATGAAATGTAATCTTTAAATTTCTTTTATATATTATAGTTTTTGATAATTTGTTACAAAAATAATAAATACAATAAAATTTTTGTCGTTATATTTGTTTATATTTTCTCAACAATATAAAGCAGTTTTTGGGAAATATAACAAATTAAACTGGCGAGAAAAAATTCTACATTGTTCACACTACACAATTATAGTACAGTAGAACCTCGAAAACTCAGTCTAATGTGGACCGAAGGATGGCCGAGTTTGTGAAAATGCCGGGTTATCGGGATTGGGGTTAAAAAAAGAAGTACGAGTGTTTCCCCAGAAAATATTGTACTGTACTTGTATGTATTGTTTACTTGACAATATAACAGAGAATAAACTGCCCAAATACCCTTAAACAAAGGAAAAGTACGTCCTTTATGAAGGCATAGAGCCTTTACTACATGAAAATGAAAATTAATGAATACACTGTGTACAGTAATTTACCTGATAAGACAGACCTCAGAAAAATACTTTATGAGAGCTTTTATACTTTTATAAAGCTGTCTATAATGAAAATTAATTAACTAAGGATTTTTTTTGCCCTGCTAGGGTGTGGCCGAGTTATCCGGAGTGCCGGGTTATCAAGAGCCGAGTTTTCGAGGTTCTACTGTAAAAACTGGAACATTAGAAGTACTGAAAATTGTAGTAGTCTGGAACATCTGAAGCTGTTGCTGTATACAGTTTGTTTCAAAATTATAAACACATCCAACTTTTTTCAATAACAAAAACATTAACAATAGTAAAGTATTTATTATATTAGTATGTTGTTTACAGCATCAATTTAAAAATTTTCTGAAATTTTTAGAGCTGTTAGACAATTACAAAAAACTTATCACAGATTTTCAATTTGGTTATTTTGGTTATTAGTCAAAAGAGGTATGAAGACTTCCACCCAGCTTGGAATTTTTTAAACACCTAGCGTATAGCCCTAATTTAGTGCAAAGCAACTTTCACCTCTTTCCTGAACTGAAAACATGGCTAGGAGGGCAGAAGTTTGAGACTTATGACGATCTTCAAAACACGTTAAGACCCATCTCAAGTCACCGGCGGCAACATCCTATGAAGAGGAGATTGCAAAGCTTGTCCACAGATATGACAAATGCCTCAATCTTCACGGTGATTATGTCGAAAAGTAATCATGTTTGTACATAACTTTTGGTAATAAATTCATTTTGTTATTTACACTTCTCTTTGTTTTATAGATCATCAGAGATTGAAAAAAAACAGCCTATGTAGAAAAGCAGCATTGAAAGAAATGAAGAGGGATGAGTTTTTTTAAAATCGTCCATCTTGGTTTCTTTCAATGGTAATGAGAAAAAAAAAAATGAAAGTTAAGAGAAGTGCCATTGAGCATATGTAATTTGCCTCTTTTTATGCTTACAGTATATACAGTTTTCATCAGCTTTGTCATATATACATATGTCATAATAAACAATCATATACAGCATAATATACATGAACATTACAAACATACATGTTTCTATAGGATAAAGAAAAGATCTCAAGAGACTGAATAATTTCAAGTACTGGTATTTCTTATATATTTGGGGTAAAAAAATAGAAATTTTTTCAAATAAGAAAATATTTTCGAGCATGCAGAAAATCCATTGTTCGTGATATAACAGATTCTCGGAACAACAGATAATTTTTGGCAGCCCAAACAATCTGTTAAAATAAGATTCTTCTGTAGTTCCCCATCTTGTTTGACAGGGAACTCTCCTACTTATTATTTCTTTAAACATATTATAAATGCAAATATATTAGCATTTTCTAGTTTAAGTACTTATATTTAATATACTAAAAAATGTATTTTTCTTTTTACAAAAAATTTTATTCTCAAATATGCTTTATTTATAGGTTAAATAATACTTTGGTATTTATAATAATTCAGCTCTTATTTTAAAATAAAACTGATTAAGATACATATTTTGATATTGTTATGATGTTCTGCCATTTATAACCAAAAAAATGCACAATGCGCTCATTCATTTCTTTTTATAAAAAATGGAGGAAACACATGATTTAAAAAAACTGATAATTTATTTTGTAAGATTTGATTCTAACAAACTCAGTTCTAACTGTTGTAAAATTACAATGATTACTTTCAGTTTGGAGTAATGCAGTTAAACCTTGATATGTGTGGCTTTGATCAGTGCAGGTTTAGGTTAACGTGGGTTAGTTCTGAGGGATTTTCAACATTGTCAGTTCAATAGATCTCAGAACTAGCAATGCTAAACTGATCTCTTCTCCCCACTCCTGCTCATTGTTAGTTAGTAGGGAAAAGTGAACCTTAGTTTTCCTAGTGCAGTGCTCTTATTTGGATAATTGAATGTAAGTTTTCACATTTAGTGTAATTTTTGCAAACATTTCTATTTTAATTCTTCAGCTTTTACAGAAAAAACTATTTAGAAAAAAGAAGATAGCAACTGTGCAGGGCACATTTGATAAATATTTTGTTTAATTTTAAAAATTTTTTACTTCAAATATTTTCTTGGGCTACTGTAGTGGTTAATTTAAATTAATTAAACTCTCTCTGATCAATCATTAATGTTACCTTCTACAATCAGTTTTCATTTTTGTATACTGTACTTTTTCTAAAATCTAAATAAAAAATTATGATTTCATACGTCTTCTTACTGACCTAATTCACAATTTATTTCTTCTTGATTGTTAAATTCAATATGCGATGTTTCAATATATACAGTATACTTGCAAAACCAATTAACTATGTTACCTTTATATATATTTACAGTGTGACATTACAGAATAGTCATTGCATAAAAAAAATTTAAATCAAATATTGTAATATAGATTACTCCAAAGAATTTATTTTTCATCACCTACTAAAGATAAAAATAAACTATATATTTGAATGTTCTTAAATTCAGAACATTGAATTTACATTTCATAATATTTTTATGGTCCCAAAATAAACAGAAATGCTCAAAAGATTTCTAAATGTGTAATTTTTAATTAATTAATAGCCTTCTTCTATTTCAATAATTATTAATTCATTCCTTTATTTAAGAATTTTAGTAATGAATGAAGTTAAGTAACTTTTATTAATTTAAAATTAAACAACTTTAGATACTTTTAATAAATTCTAACTATAAAATTTTATGTATAAGCTTGTGAACTTAACATAAGTGTAATAGTTTCAATAATCTAATATTGCAATACTTATACATGTAACACAAACAAAATAAAATGCAAAATTAAATATTATTCAATTTGAATTTTTACTATTTGATTAAATAATCTCTTTGTGACATTGTAGATAATATCATTTCATCTGATTTTCTTCATTCAACTGAAACACTTGAATTAATAAATAACATTCAATTACTTTAAAAATGTAAAGATAAATAATAAAACAAATATTCACCTTGTTTCTTTTTTTCTCTCTGTTTCATTATGTGAGACTTCAATGCAGCCCACATGGCAAGACTCATTTTTGGACGTTCAATTAATGCTGGCATTTTAGAATTTCTAACTTACAATCTAAAAAAGAAATTCAAATTTATATAAAATAGAATTTCACATTTTGTTTCTAAGTTATATAATTAAAAATTATCCAAATACATTTATATTAAATTTTTAAATATATTAACTGAAAATTATAATTTTGGGGGGGGAATTGATGCCGTCAAGATTTAAAACACCAACCTCATGACTATGAAACTGGCATACCCCCACCAACTACCAGCCACTCTAGAAATGATGGGAATTCTAAATGTTTTAAGTGATTTGCAATTTTCAACCTTAATTTTCTCATTTAATTTTTACTGCTTGGCATACGTCAGTCAGTTAGGGACCAAGTTAGGGACTATAACCTTACCAAGTTTGATCAAAATTGGTGATCCCAATGTTGTTAGATTATAACAGTTCAAGCCTACAAAACTCAAAACTAAAAGAAATGAAATAAGTAATCTTTGATCCGAACTTTCATGAATACCATACTAATGAATACCATGAATACCACATACTAAAAACACTGACAAATATCTTTGTTGCAACTCCAACTTGGCTGTTAACACACTCAAAATAACTTTGCTTTAATATCTTTTTTTGAAATGTTGCTGAGAAAGTTAAAAACCAAATTACTGCAGAATATGATCATCAAAATTAAAAATAGCTAACAAATACATCATTCACCTCAACAGTATATATAATGTGAAAAGTTTGAAACAACAGAATTATTTGCATACAGACAGAAAACAACAGGTCATTTCCAATATAGAATTTTTTGTTAGTCATAGCTAATTCTGAGACTAAATTAAAAACAAATTCAGATATTCTTACTTTTACACACTTTACATTCCTCATTTCTTGCTTTTATTGGGTTGAGTCATAAATAAGTTCCGTTAGCAAGTAGTTGTAAATGACTGTCGAATACTTGCCAGATGTTGTGTTGCTTCAACTAAGTTTTATTAGTGGCTATTAGCAAATAGTCTATAAATGTAAATTTTAACACTGAAGTGTCAATAATGTAAAAAAAAATTGTTTCTGAATTCATTTAAAACGGAACATTTGAAAGTGCATGTTCGCCATATCATGTTGTGGGAGTTTAAACTCGGCAATAACGCTACAGAAACAGCAAAAAAGATTTGCAATGTACGGCAGTGGCGTAATTTCAGACAGAGCAGTTCGAAAGTGGTTTACAAAATTTCGTTCTGGTGATTTCTCCTTAAAAGATGATGAAAGACCAGGCCGCTCCTCAGACTTCGATGATGATGTTTTAAAGGCCTTGATTGAGCAGAATCCACGGCAAACGACGAGGGAGTTAGCAGAGAAGCTGCACACATCCCAATCAACTATCAATTGTCACCTCCAAAAGCTAGGAAAAGTAAGCAAGTTGGGAGTTTGGGTTCCACATAACCTCAGTGAACGGAATAAGGCTGACAGAAGGTCGATAGCTGCTACCTTGCTTTCTTGGCAAAAAGAGGAATCATTTTTGGCTAAAATTGTTACGGGAGATGAAAAGTGGATCACATACGAAAATGTTATTCGAAAAAGACAATGGGTTGACAAAAATGATCAGCCACAACCGGACCCTAAGCCAAGTGTGCATGGAAGGAAAATTTTGTTGTGTGTATGGTGGGATCGTCGAGGAATTATCCATTTTGAGTTGTTGCCACGCAATGAAACTGTTACTGCAAATGTATACATACAACAGTTAGAGCAACTTCGGCTAAAACTTCATGAAAAGCGCCCTGCACTTGTTAACAGAAAAAAGATCACCTTATTGCATGACAATGCAAGGCCACACACAGCGAAGATTACACAAGAAAAAATTTTGGAGTTTGGCTGGTCTGTTTTGCCTCATCCACCTTATTCACCGGACCTGGCACCAACAGATTTCCATCTTTTCCGGGCACTGCAGAATGCTTTACAAGGGCAATGCTTCCAAAATGATGACCAAGTTCAGGAGTTCGTCCAGGAGTTTTTTGATTCGAAACCACCAGAATTTTATGTAAGAGGAATTGACAAGTTGCCCGAAAAATGGCAAGAAGTCATTAATAATGATGGTGAATATGTAATAGATTAAAGTCTATTGCTGTACATTTTATTGGCAAATAAATTTCAGTTTAGAAAACAGAACTTATTTATGACTCAACCCAATACATACTTTACATTTCTAATTTGAAATTATAACACCAATTTGGCAGCAACTGCTTGTGATACAACATAGCAACACATAATGCAGTATGCAGGAGTTGAATAGAACCATACCCATATTATTATTATAAATTGTGAGGTGTATTTTAAAAATGAAATGAATAGTTATAAAAACTGACTGGCAACAGCAGCTGGATTGCAGTTGAAAGTAATATCAGCAAGTACTCTAGGCTTCTAGTAGCCATATTTTCACCAGTATACTGTTGGCTGTTTTTGTGTTACAGTGCATAATGACGGCTGCAAAAGTCAACAATCCCACAAGTTGTGAAATATAGTCTGTGCTTCAATTTCTGCAAGCAAAAAGTCGTACTTCCTAAATTCACTGTGAATTGTATGAAATTTATGGGCCTATAGCAAGGAATAAAGAAAAGTAAGAAAATGGTATCATGAGTTTAAAAAAGGCCATTTAAATGTTTATGATGAAGAGTGGAGTGGTAGGCCTAGTGTTCAGACCAACAACCTTGTTAAACATGTAAATACCAGAGCATGAGAAAATCGGCACTTCACAACTAGTGCTCTTGCCATGAACTTTTCAGACATATCACAGACAATATTGTTCCAAATTGTTACTGAAACCTTAGGATATCAGAAAACTGTGTGCAAACAACAATCCTTGCAGTGGCATCATTAAAATTCACCAATGGCAAAAAAGTTCAAAGTCATCGATCTGCCTACAAGATTATGACAACTGTTTTCAGCAACTAAAGAAATATGCTTTTAGGTGGATTTCCTGAAACCAGGAACAATAATCATTATTGAAGGTGTATTATGAAACACTTTCTAAACTGAGACATGCCATTCTGAAACAGTGTGATAGAATGTAGAGATCAAAAAATGATCTCCTGCACAACCTGTGCTCTCACTGCCGCCTCCACTGTTCAGACGCTTCAGTGATTTGAATGAGAACTGCTTAATCACCCTTCCTTACAATCTTGACCTTGCACCCAGTGAATATCACCTCTTCCTGAACTTAAAGAAATGGCTTGCATTTCAAATTTTTGAAATGCAAGCCACTTAAACAGCAGTGCTGGACTGGTTAAAATTGCAGATGGCAGAATTTTATGCAGAGGATATAAAGAAACTTGTTTCACAGTACCAAAAGTGTTTGTAAAAAATTGTGACTGCATAGAAAAATGAAAAGGTTACGTGCATATGTTTGTAATACATAATAAAATTTTGACAAAGTATTTCTGTTTTTTTATAATCATTCAGTCCTTTTTATTTGAAATACACTTCATATTACAGGCACAATATAATTTGGTTTCTCCAGAATTATTTTTAATGTTTTAAATGAGATAATCATAATCAACTAAAAATTAAATAATCAAGTATTAAATTTGTAAGAAAATCGTTAGAAAGACTTTTTCTGTAAATAAAATCATGTTCTAATGTAAACTATANCCAGACCCTAAGCCAAGTGTGCATGGAAGGAAAATTTTGTTGTGTGTATGGTGGGATCGTCGAGGAATTATCCATTTTGAGTTGTTGCCACGCAATGAAACTGTTACTGCAAATGTATACATACAACAGTTAGAGCAACTTCGGCTAAAACTTCATGAAAAGCACTCTGCATTTGTTAACAGAAAAAAAATCACCTTATTGCATGTGTGTGGCCTGACAATGCAAGGCCACACACAGCGAAGATTACACAAGAAAAAATTTTGGAGTTTGGCTGGTCTGTTTTGCCTCATCCACCTTATTCACCGGACCTGGCACCAACAGATTTCCATCTTTTCCGGGCACTGCAGAATGCTTTACAAGGGCAATGCTTCCAAAATGATGACCAAGTTCAGGAGTTCGTCCAGGAGTTTTTTGATTCGAAACCACCAGAATTTTATGTAAGAGGAATTGACAAGTTGCCCAAAAAATGGCAAGAAGTCATTAATAATGATGGTGAATATGTAATAGATTAAAGTCTATTGCTGTACATTTTATTGGCAAATAAATTTCAGTTTAGAAAACAGAACTTATTTATGACTCAACCCAATACATACTTTACATTTCTAATTTGAAATTATAACACCAATTTGGCAGCAACTGCTTGTGATACAACATAGCAACACATAATGCAGTATGCAGGAGTTGAATAGAACCATACCCATATTATTATTATAAATTGCGAGGTGTATTTTAAAAATGAAATGAATAGTTATAAAAACTGACTGGCAACAGCAGCTGGATTGTAGTTGAAAGTAATATCAGCAAGTATTCTAGGCTTCTAGTAGCCATATTTTCACCAGTATACTGTTGGCTGTTTTTGTGTTACAGTGCATAATGATGGCTGCAAAAGTCAACAATCCCACAAGTTGTGAAATACAGTCTGTGCTTCAATTTCTGCAAGCAAAAAGTCGTACTTCCTAAATTCACTGTGAATTGTATGAAATTTATGGGCCTATAACAAGGAATGAAGAAAAGTAAGAAAATGGTATCATGAGTTTAAAAAAGGCCATTTAAATGTTCATGATGAAGAGTGGAGTGGTAGGCCTAGTGTTCAGACCAACAACCTTGTTAAACATGTAAATACCAGAGCATGAGAAAATCGGCACTTCACAACTNTTTGGATAATTGAATGTAAGTTTTCACATTTAGTGTAATTTTTGCAAACATTTCTATTTTAATTCTTCAGCTTTTACAGAAAAAACTATTTAGAAAAAAGAAGATAGCAACTGTGCAGGGCACATTTGATAAATATTTTGTTTAATTTTAAAAATTTTTTACTTCAAATATTTTCTTGGGCTACTGTAGTGGTTAATTTAAATTAATTAAACTCTCTCTGATCAATCATTAATGTTACCTTCTACAATCAGTTTTCATTTTTGTATACTGTACTTTTTCTAAAATCTAAATAAAAAATTATGATTTCATACGTCTTCTTACTGACCTAATTCACAATTTATTTCTTCTTGATTGTTAAATTCAATATGCGATGTTTCAATATATACAGTATACTTGCAAAACCAATTAACTATGTTACCTTTATATATATTTACAGTGTGACATTACAGAATAGTCATTGCATAAAAAAAATTTAAATCAAATATTGTAATATAGATTACTCCAAAGAATTTATTTTTCATCACCTACTAAAGATAAAAATAAACTATATATTTGAATGTTCTTAAATTCAGAACATTGAATTTACATTTCATAATATTTTTATGGTCCCAAAATAAACAGAAATGCTCAAAAGATTTCTAAATGTGTAATTTTTAATTAATTAATAGCCTTCTTCTATTTCAATAATTATTAATTCATTCCTTTATTTAAGAATTTTAGTAATGAATGAAGTTAAGTAACTTTTATTAATTTAAAATTAAACAACTTTAGATACTTTTAATAAATTCTAACTATAAAATTTTATGTATAAGCTTGTGAACTTAACATAAGTGTAATAGTTTCAATAATCTAATATTGCAATACTTATACATGTAACACAAACAAAATAAAATGCAAAATTAAATATTATTCAATTTGAATTTTTACTATTTGATTAAATAATCTCTTTGTGACATTGTAGATAATATCATTTCATCTGATTTTCTTCATTCAACTGAAACACTTGAATTAATAAATAACATTCAATTACTTTAAAAATGTAAAGATAAATAATAAAACAAATATTCACCTTGTTTCTTTTTTTCTCTCTGTTTCATTATGTGAGACTTCAATGCAGCCCACATGGCAAGACTCATTTTTGGACGTTCAATTAATGCTGGCATTTTAGAATTTCTAACTTACAATCTAAAAAAGAAATTCAAATTTATATAAAATAGAATTTCACATTTTGTTTCTAAGTTATATAATTAAAAATTATCCAAATACATTTATATTAAATTTTTAAATATATTAACTGAAAATTATAATTTTGGGGGGGGAATTGATGCCGTCAAGATTTAAAACACCAACCTCATGACTATGAAACTGGCATACCCCCACCAACTACCAGCCACTCTAGAAATGATGGGAATTCTAAATGTTTTAAGTGATTTGCAATTTTCAACCTTAATTTTCTCATTTAATTTTTACTGCTTGGCATACGTCAGTCAGTTAGGGACCAAGTTAGGGACTATAACCTTACCAAGTTTGATCAAAATTGGTGATCCCAATGTTGTTAGATTATAACAGTTCAAGCCTACAAAACTCAAAACTAAAAGAAATGAAATAAGTAATCTTTGATCCGAACTTTCATGAATACCATACTAATGAATACCATGAATACCACATACTAAAAACACTGACAAATATCTTTGTTGCAACTCCAACTTGGCTGTTAACACACTCAAAATAACTTTGCTTTAATATCTTTTTTTGAAACGCTGCTGAGAAAGTTAAAAACCAAATTACTGCAGAATATGATCATCAAAATTAAAAATAGCTAACAAATACATCATTCACCTCAACAGTATATATAATGTGAAAAGTTTGAAACAACAGACTTATTTGCATACAGACAGAAAGCAACAGGTCATTTGCAATATAGATTTTTTTGTTAGTCATAGCTAATTCTGAGACTAAATTAAAAACAAATTCAGATATTCTTACTTTTACACACTTTACATTCCTCATTTCTTGCTTTTACATACTTTGCATTTCTAATTTGAAATTATAACACCAATTTGGCAGCAACTGCTTGTGATACAACATAGCAACACATAATGCAGTATGCAGGAGTTGAATAGAACCATACCCATATTATTATTATAAATTGTGAGGTGTATTTTAAAAATGAAATGAATAGTTATAAAAACTGACTGGCAACAGCAGCTGGATTGCAGTTGAAAGTAATATCAGCAAGTACTCTAGGCTTCTAGTAGCCATATTTTCACCAGTATACTGTTGGCTGTTTTTGTGTTACAGTGCATAATGACGGCTGCAAAAGTCAACAATCCCACAAGTTGTGAAATACAGTCTGTGCTTCAATTTCTGCAAGCAAAAAGTCGTACTTCCTAAATTCACTGTGAATTGTATGAAATTTATGGGCCTATAACAAGGAATGAAGAAAAGTAAGAAAATGGTATCATGAGTTTAAAAAAGGCCATTTAAATGTTCATGATGAAGAGTGGAGTGGTAGGCCTAGTGTTCAGACCAACAACCTTGTTAAACATGTAAATACCAGAGCATGAGAAAATCGGCACTTCACAACTAGTGCTCTTGCCATGAACTTTTCAGACATATCACAGACAATATTGTTCCAAATTGTTACTGAAACCTTAGGATATCAGAAAACTGTGTGCAAGATGGGTACTGAAAATTCTCACAAAAACCACAATGACAGCTGCACATGCATTTTGAACCATTACCAGAGAGAGAAAAACAAAAATTTTTTTTCCCACATTGAGAACTGGTGACGAAAGTTGGATTTCTCACAGCAATGCTGAGTCCAAACAACAATCCGTGCAGTGGCATCATTAAAATTCACCAATGGCAAAAAAGTTCAAAGTCATCGATCTGCCTACAAGATTATGACAACTGTTTTCAGCAACTAAAGAGGTATGCTTTTAGGTGGATTTCCTGAAACCAGGAACAACAATCACAGCAAAGGAGTATTATGAAACACTTTAAAACTGAGACATGCCATTCTGAAACAGTGTGTTAGAATGCTGAGATCAAAAAATTTTCTCCTGTACAACCTGTGCTCTCACACTGCTGCCTCCACTGTTCAGATGCTTCAATGATTTGAATGAGAACTGCTTAATCACCCTTCCTTACAGTCTTGACCTTGCACCCAGTGAATATCACCTCTTCCTGAACTTAAAGAAGTGGCTTGCATTTCAAATTTTTGAAATGCAAGCCACTTAAACAGCAGTGCTGGACTGGTTGAAATTGCAGATGGCAGAATTTTATGCAGAGGATATAAAGAAACTTGTTTCACAGTACCAAAAGTGTTTGTAAAAAATTGTGACTGCATAGAAAAATGAAAAGGTTACGTGCATATGTTTGTAATACATAATAAAATTTTGACAAAGTATTTCTGTTTTTTTATAATCATTCAGTCCTTTTTATTTGAAATACACTTCATATTACAGGCACAATATAATTTGGTTTCTCCAGAATTATTTTTAATGTTTTAAATGAGATAATCATAATCAACTAAAAATTAAATAATCAAGTATTAAATTTGTAAGAAAATCGTTAGAAAGACTTTTTCTGTAAATAAAATCATGTTCTAATGTAAACTATATATCAAATATTGTTAAAATTGAAGCTCCAAATGAGACAGATAAAACCTTATCAAAGCCATAAACCATGCCTATAGAAGTAAAAGAAAGATAAAGGTACCAATAGTGTAAATGTGACCTTTTGGAAGATATAGTACCAAATTCACCTATCTGGAATTCTGAAGACCCTCAAAACTGGAGTAAAATTTAAGTGCAAAAATCCAGAACTATTTCTCAAAACAATGCTAAAAATCGACCATTTTCCAGTTTACTAGACAGTTAAAAGCTCATAAAATACAAGAAATGCCATTACATCAACCACTTCCAGGGCACAATATGAATCACACCACACACCCCATTAAGCCCATGACAGGTTTAACAAACAGCCTGGTCAGATATTCTAATAATGGCTGTGTTCAGCAGACTCAACAGTTCCAGAGCTGTCGAGTATTTTTCTGCCGAACGCCCTTTACAGTAGCACTCTTTTGGAACATATTTGGTGTTTCGACATCACGTTTCGTAGCGTCTTTCATTAACGCTACCTATCGCTAGCCAAAACTGACCAATGAGACTTTTTGTTCCAATGCAATGTCACTCGTCGTTCAGCAGATCCAGCTTGCTACATAACAGTTACCGATTTGCTCAGTTACAACTGTTGAGTCTGCCAAACGTAGCCAATAAAGGTGTCACGAAAACTTCGGCTGCTAATATATTTCCAAGGGTCGCAATTAGAGATACGGTTCCTTTCACTTTTTGGTCGTCTTGGCATTCTAAAATTTGGAGGGTTCAGAACTGTTCAGAACTGCAATTTTACCTAAATATTTATCAATTAAAGCAAATTTTAATGATAATTAACTTCTATTATTAGCAATTGCTGGAAAGATATAAAAATGTTTTCTATAATACTTACAATTTTTACGTTTCACTACATTTAAACTCAAAACAGCTTCAATATATTTAAAACGAAGCTTAATCAGCAACTTCTCTCTTCTCTAATTATTCACTATTAAAAAAAATAATACGATTTTAATAAAGAATTAAATATTTCTTGAAAAATTAGAATATATTTTCACGTATACAACACGCTTTTAACCTCATTTTATAATATGTACAATTACCTGAATAATCAGTATTATTTTCGAAATATTAAAATTTGCGAGTCTATCTCATTTAATATTTGTTCGGCCATCTTGTGACCGCTCCAAACAGCTACGGCGATTTTAAGCCACCTGGCGAGCTATTCTGTTACTATTTATTTACTGCAATTTCTTAAAATTCTTATGAATCATTTGCACGTGTAGTCGATTATAATAAACTAAACTATAAAGATAGATGCAGAGAAGTTAATTGTTTTATTGTAGAAAACGTGGTTGCTGTATCTTCAAATTCTGTGTGTAGCGTCTTTGCAATCCCCGCATTTCTTTATGCAGCGCTCGAGAAGCGCTTTACAGCGAACACACTGAAACTGGTTTCTAATTGGCCAACACTGCTCGTGACGTCATTTCGCTACACTCTCGCTGCATAAAGAAACGCGGGGAATCCAAAGAATAATTTTGGTAGACGATCAAACAGCAATTAGTTAGAAAAACGTTACGGTTTATTTAAAACACTTTTTTTAATTCAGATGCATTTCGGGTTGGCTTGTATTCCCAACCCCTCTTCAGTGCTGTTAAAATTATAAAAAAACAAGGCGAGTTTCACGACATTGGTAGGACGTAACAAAAACGTGGGGTGACGATAACATAAAAAACTTACATGCTATATAATGGTACAGGATAGACTTGTGTGACAATATTTTTATTACATACTTGTATGACTATTTTCTATAATATGAAAAAAGTAAAGGGCGCGGCTGTTTAACACAACATTTATATGAAAAAATATATAACATAGATTATTAATTTCAAAATATCTATAAACACTTACATTTTTAGTTAAAATGTATTATTCCCGATGAAGATGAAACAGAGTAAAAATTGACAACTGGTATTAACCGTGTTCACAGAGTAACAGTATACCAACAAGTAATGTTATTTAAACCATTCTTAATATATATTTTTTAATTTTGCTTCAATCATTTTCTTGTGTTCGGAATTTGATAAATAAATTGTCTTCTGTATTTACGTGGTGCAAAATGCCCACCGTGGAGAGGTAAAAGACAATCTTCTTAATTAAATTCTACGTCTCGAGGCTTGACCATGTCCGAAAATCGTTTGAATAAATACCTTTTTCGTCGATTTTCGGCCACGAAATTCTTATGATTTCGATTTATTTCGCCCAATATTATTTGGCTTTTCGGAGAGATTCCTCGGGGCCGCCGGGGTTGCACGTATTGCGTATTAATGAAACATCAAACTGAATAAAGTTAATATTAAAAATACCGAAAAACTTTTATAATACCGCGGAACGAAAACTAAGTCCGAGACAACGTGGTAACGACACAAAGGATAAACAGATTGAGCCGGAAAGAAGTCACCGTTGTTTCTCCTTGAATTTCTGGCTTTTTAAAGGACCTCTCCCCTAAATTCTTAATTTGATGGGTTAATCAATTTGACACTTCCGTTCGGCTTGGTTCCGTTGGCGAGTGTTGATCCAACTTTGAAACTTTCGCTCGTATCTCGCGGCTAAAAATTTTTCTTTTTGTCTTCAGTACAATACTTACAACGCGACAATTTTGCTTTCAAAGGAATGCTACATTTATTTCCAAATTTTATCATTTCAGAGTCAGAGCTGGATTTTTCCGATTGACATTCTGCACTTTCCTATTCGTTAGTTCTCGTCAACCAGTGACCTGACGGGACTGCAATTAGAAAAGATTGTAGACCTATAAATTCGCGCTGTCGTCCGTCCGTCCGTCTTAATCTCGGGAACAGAGTTAATGAAATCCGAGACCAGATATGGAAACTTTAGGGACAAAAGGCCCCAATTAACTATACATTAACTTTCGTTGCAACCGGAAGTCAAGTTATATCAATTCAAAAAACCCCCTGCGCAAAAGCAGTTAATAGGTGATTCTATTGATGTTATAAACATTTCTGTTTCTTGTTTCTAGGAAGCGACAACAGGTCAATATGTTTACACAAAAAAATGATACAAAAGCTTTTGAATATAAAATTTGATAATAAATTCTAGAGATGGACAAAAAATGATAGCAGTACCCGGTATTCCCGGGTCGTGTCCGTCCCAAGTACTGACCGGGCCTGACTTCGGGGATCAGACGAGAACCGATATTTTCAGCGTGGTATGGCCGCTATCGAACGATCGATTCTTTATATATATATATATATGTTGTGTTATATATGCTGTGTTTTATACATATCCATTTATTAGTCTTATCAAACCGGCATAAAATTAATAAATGCACACCAACACACTTTCTCATTTTCTTTCTCATTCAACATTTTACTTTCTTTCAGATACTCATCCACTCGTTCCACGCCCGGTTTTTTGACTGTTAACCTCATGCGTGCCAGAGATATTTGGCCGCTCCTACCAATGCCGATCATGAGTAAATTCAAAATCTAAGCCAACGCATGAGAGCCTACTAGTATGTTGAGAGGGGTAAAAAAAATCCATAAAAATATTTCATGTATATTTATTTTAATTTTATTCAAATCAAGCCGATAATAAGAGGCTTTGGTTAATTAAAGTTATATTTCTGCGCGGCCATAAAATTCAAGTTGCAAATTAAAATGGAATTAATTAATTTAATGAAATATTTTTTTATTTAGTATAATTTTAATTTTATTTAAATTCTAATTACTATTTTTAAAAAATAAATGTTTAAAAATAAAAATAAATTTTGGCTATTTTTCGGCTATTTGGCTAGTTAAGATTTTCGATAACGAAACAGGGCCGTATATGTAGTTTCACGGCCTTTTGTATCGGACGATCTGCTCGTGAAGTAAAGGCTAAGAAATGGTTAGTTATTAAATTTCTTTAATTAAAGTTTAATTTTTATATTCTGTTTCATTTATATTTAAATTTAATAAGGAAGTTACGTAAAAAAATCAAAAGTAGGATTATATTTAGTTTTATTTAAAGTTAATATTTGTAGGCCACGTGGATCGGCCATTAAGCCTAAGTCTGGAATATTGATCAATGCTTAAATATATTTTCCAATGTGAACTTATTTTATATATATTTTATATTATAATCACATTATATTCGTTGATTAAACAGTAAATTTAATTTCGAGTGATAATTGGTTAAATTATTGGGTCGACTAAGATTTTATTGAACGCAATTTTCGCGCAATTTTGTTATAGTTTTTTTTTAAATTTAACATTTGGTTAAATCTTCTGTATAAAATAATGTTTATATATTTGGTTTTTTTTTATGAGTTAATACCTAATATTAGTTCGTTGTAATCGGTTAGTCGTAACAAAAGTGCGTGATTAGAGAGGTTGCGGCTGAAGTTTTCATCTCTGAAACGTGAACGTCGAGCGCCGCTATCTTGTAAGCGGCGCTCGACGTCAGACGTTTACGTTTTCCAGATGAAAACTTCGGCCGCAACCTCTCCATTATGTGCTGAGCATTAGTCGAGGCGAGTCAAAGCAAACCTTGACGCGGAGCGTGGAGTATAGGATTTGAGGTAAAAACTGTTTGCAATCTTATCTTATTAAAATTAAGAAGACATTATATCTTACAATTAAATAGAACAATTCTTATATCAATGTAACAATTGTTACCACGCCGTGCTAGTGAGCATCTGGGATAGCTAAGAAGTTTGTTGAAAAATAGAAGAAAAATACTAAAAAAAAAATTGAGAAACTTATTACAGTAGAACCTCGATTATCCGGACCTGTATTATCTGGATTGTTGAAAATAAACAAAAATTTTACGAATTTGCTGGTTTGCACTTGGCGAATTACGATACTGTTTATGTACGTGATGGAATGCATAACTTTTATGTTTCAACGTCTCACATGGCATAGTGGCCGTAAACTCTTAAATATATTTTGCGTCGTAATAAAAATATAACTTGACATATGTATTTATAAATAATTTTATTTTCAAATTACATCATTTCTATGACCAAGGGCGGCGTAAGGCGTGGGCATTGTGGGCCACCACCTATGCCTCGCGTTTTGAAGGTTTATGCATTACTTAAAAGCCGCGAACGCGACGAAAAAATTTTACTCGTCATAAAACGATAAATACTTTGTCAAATTTTTATTCATAAAAATGCAGTTTCAACTGCTTTTTATTTTATAAAATTCGTCTTCTTGTGCCACCAGAAGGCCTTTTAAACAATAGGTAGTCTGTTAGCATTGGTCATTAGTAGTCCAAATTGAATATGAATGTTTGTTTCTTGAAAATTTGATCACGATTTAAATACAGTATTTACTTTTAATATTACCGATATGCTATTGAAAAGAAAACGTGTTGTATTATCATTAAAAGACAAAGTATTTGTTTCGATTATTCGAATTTTTCCTTATCCGGACTACCTTCATCCCCAATTAGTCCGGATAATCAAGGTTCTACTCTATTTGTAATGGTCACGACATCATCTCTTTATCACAAGCTTGATGACTTTAATACTGGCAACAGTTTTTATGTCAGTTCCTTATTACTGGTAGAAGAAAAAAAAGGAATGATTTCACAAAATAATAATAGTTTCATAATGGTTTTTTAGCTTTTTTTTTTTCCAATGTTTCATATGCATTCACATGTGTGGCATGTGCAATATGTTGTTATTTTATAAGTTGAAGATTTTGATGATAATTATTTTTTAAGATATGATATAACTAAGGAATTTAACCTGTTAAAACTGAAATATTTTTATATTTATTTCATGTTTTTAAAATTTTTTTTGAAGTACACATTTTAGAAAGCTACTGTGTTTAGTAGTGCTTGACTGGCAGCCGTTATTGACTCGTGAATTTTCATACTTCATTTTATAATTTTGAAAAACATTAAAAATTCTTAGCTTTATTAAATAAATACCAACCCTCTGTGTGTGTGTGTGTGTGTAACAAGAGATGTGTGAATGTATGAAACATTAACATAAGAACTAGGTTGTGTTAATCTACAGATCTTTGATACAGTCTCCAGCATTCGCATGGAAACTATATCAGATAGCATATCACTTTTTGCCATTGGTATGGAAGTTAGGATGCTGTCAGCAGCCCCAGATTTTTTGTTTTTCTTTACAGAACAGTCTACAACACTATCTTTCCTGGATTTTCTTAAAGCTAAATCCTTGGAGAGATTCCTTCATCTTTGTAAATAAATTGATAACATTTTTATTTTGCACTTGTTGAGGATATGTGGAATGCAGTGAGATGCAAAGGACTGATGTCTGTCTGGGGAAGTGTAACATCTTCCTCACCCACAAGTCCATCAACAGAATAAGTTTGTCACAATGGCTGACATATGAAAATTGGCATTGTTGCACACATTAATGGGCAGAAGTCTGTGTAGCCTTGTGGAAGTGACTGTGAACTTCCATAAGGATGGTTGCAGATTGCATCATAAGAAATGTGTAATGACAGTTCTATCTGGGATACAGTGTTACAATAATTGAGTCATATGCAGCAAGGATTGTTACCTTCATTACTGGGATTTTGCTATGTTTGATATCCACAGTGAACTGTGTGCATTATTGGACTGAGTCTAGGTTCTAAAAAAAGACTTGGTGATACAGATCCAAACACATTTACATCTATGACTGAACTCATATCCACAAGTTTTTAGAACATGTTTTTGAATTCTGCTACACAAAGACATATGTCTTTGGCAGCCATTGAGATACTGCCAGTTGTTAGTGTAAGTCAGCAATTTTTAGTTTTTCATTGGCAACATGCTTTATAAAACCAATTCTGGTAGATATTGTGCAGTGGTTTTATAAGTGGTTTGAAACTGTATTCAATATACACAAAAACATGATGCATCGAAATTGTCCATGTATTCAACTGTTCCAGTTACATTCATTTCCATGCAATGAAAATATTGTTTAGTACAGGTATACCTAGGGTTGCCACCTCAGAACTTAGTCTCACCCGGAGACGATGATTTAAGAAACAAAAAAAACCCATATGCATACATATACAGTGTTTTTATTTATATAAATCCCATAAAAAACAATTAAGTGTTAATCGTGCGTCATTAAAGGTTGATTAAAATCGCGATAAAATTTTTTCGTGCGGGTAAAAATTTTTGAATTATAAAACATCAAAAATATATATATATATTTGATTTTTTGTCAACAGACCGTTTGTTATGTAATGCTATTTAACCTGCTCAAGTCTAACTCTAACTATATACTATAACTTACCATTAATCAACCAACATGAACACTGATTATCAAACTATCAGCTATGTACGCTATATCATTTCACTCTCAATAGACATCTCTTGACAGAACAGTCACAAGAAAGAGTACATCCACATAGCATGCAGCAGCACTGCGCCTATGCCAATTATAGACGTTATGTCTTTAAGCCAACGACTACCACACTAGTAATTCGGTACACGGGGGAAGAAATATATGCGATGGTTTGCATATAATTCTGTATGTGTTCATTTCAACTTGCACAACCCGGAGAAATATTAATTAACTCCAGAGCCCAGAGATAACTCACTCAGTCCCGGAGTCTCCAGGTCAAACCCGGACAGGTGGCAACCCTAGGTATACCTCACCTTACGTCAGTAATTTGTTCCAGGAGAGGCAACTTAAGTCAAATTTACTTCTCAGTAGGCTAAACCATAAATAACCATTCCCAGATCTGTATTTTATTTATAAATGCATTTTTAATATTATATGGTTAACAAGAATCTATTTTAAGCTTATAAACAAGTAAATTTTAGTTTTTAATATAGTACAGAAAAGTAATTAAATTTACGAATACATGTATGTACATGTAAATGTACTGTATGTGTTTACATTTTGGCAATGCTTACGGTACATGGGGGGACACAAAAAAATACAAATTTTTTGTATAAAAACTTTATTCATTAACTTTTTTTACAAAATTCCTTCAGTCACCTTCAAAGTACTCTCCATTAGATGCGATGCACTTGTCAAGTCTTTTTCCCCACTGTTTGAAGCATCTCTGAAACTCTTAGTGAATACGGATGGTGGGGAACAACAGACCATCCCCAAGAGGCCAAATAGTGGGTCACTTGTAAGGCCGTGTGTGCGGGGACGTTGTTGTGATGAAGGAACCAGTCACCTGATCGTCAAAGTTCCAGGCATTTCCTTCACAGATCCTCTTGCAGACATCTTAAAACTTTTTTGGCAGTTTTTTCAATGTTTTTGTCATTTCGAGATGTTGAAGGATGCCCAGAACTTTGCAGGCGGAACAAAATAACAGTAAGAGAAACACAAAACTAAGCTCAAACATAAACCTACAAACTGATGCCATCTGCACAGATGTTTCGTGAACGTCTCTACTAAGTCTATGAATGGCAGTGCGCTCTCGGTTTGGTTTTATTTATTTTTTGTCTCCCCTCGTACATCGTGGACTCTTTATTTGTGAATGTGGTTTGCTTTAAGACATTATAAAATAAGATGATTCTGTGAAGTTAAATAACAAATACAGTTATTAAAATTATTTTGCGATGATAAAAAATAAACTAATTTGTGTTAAATTTACCAATATCGAGTGGTGCCAAATGGTAGATATTGGAACTACCGTGGAAAATGCCAGTATCAAGCTCTTAAAGACTGCTAAATAAGAGTCACAGATGTTTTCATATTTTGTTCTCTAGGATTTATGATGATCATATTAACATTTACTGTAAATGTATGAATTTTAATATGATTTTATGTGCTTTTAACGCTTTTTTAGTGATATTACGACTTCAATATTTGTGCTGGACAGACATAAAGTGGAATAAAATGACTTAAACTTGATTTTTATTTTTCCATATATTTTTTGACAAACAACTTAACTCTAAACGATGTAACCCAAGGATGTTTTTAGATTAATTTTTAAAATTATAATTTTTTAGCCACCCAAGCAAGATCAGAAGAAGAAAGATACTAAAGGAACAACTAAGAAGAAGGAAGGAGCCTCTTCTGGAGGAAAAGCAAAAAAGAAGGTGCGTTAGTTTTTTCATTAAATGTGCATGTAGTAAAATATGTCATTTAAGATTTTTGTTTTTCAATTATCGCTAATGCTGAAAATTATAAATATTGCAGAAGTGGTCTAAAGGAAAAGTTCGTGATAAATTGAACAATTTAGTATTGTTTGATAAAGCAACTTATGAAAAATTATTAAAGGAGGTTCCGAGTTATAAACTGATTACGCCATCAGTTGTTTCCGAAAGACTGAAGGTTCGGGGATCACTCGCTCGGAGAGCCTTGGAAGAATTAAGGCAAAAAGGTTGGTTTTAACTTGCTTTTTTCCAAAATAAGAAATTTTAAATTTATTTCTGGTAAATTCATAATACATCCTGAGCATGTTGCAACATTTTTGGGGTAAAAAGTTTAGTATATAATCTGCTGACAAGTGTGGAAATTATAAGATACTAAGTATGACTTAAGAATGCACACCCAGGTAATAAACTGTTTATGTCCAGGAATTTAGTTACGCAATCATACTTATCGTGGTGGTGCATGTGCTTTCAATTCGGATTCAAAAACCATAAGCTGTGGCAATTATATTCTCATGGAGAATAGTGGTTAAATTCTACCTTGATAATGTTTCAACTGCACTGTTTATATTAATATAGCTGAGGGCAAAATTAAAGCCAGCTTTGTTTCTGTGTTTGTAACAATGTTGGTTACACAACTTAAACTACATGTGATATACAGTAAAACCTGTCTATGGCGACCACCCACGGTTCCTTCAAAAAGTGGTCTTTTAGACAGGTGGTCGTCCAATACAGGTTGTGCTGTAATGCCGTATTTCCGTACGTATTTTGCTCACTTTTTAGCCATTTCTACTAAGCAAAACTCCAAGTGAGTAAAAATAAGCAAATTTTTTCAACGATAGAGCTATATTGGTATTGTATTTTATTCTTATCGGATAATTCGATTTACAGGAGTTGGTCGTGATTTCATAAGACAGATTTAATACCAATATTTTAAAGATTAATACAGTACTTGCATTTTCTCGATTATAATGCACACTTTCTTTCTTCCAACTTAATTAATTCGACTCGGTTGTTTTCGTTCGCTCCTCAGTTATGTGTATTAAGTCATCAATATACATGTGCGTCTTATCTTCATCACTTTGGTTTTGGGTTTTGTTAGTTTAATCTTATTTTAACTTTAAAAATACTGTATCTTTTAATATTTTCTTAAGTACAATAAGAAAAATTATTAATTAATAATAAAATGATTTTATTATTGTGTCTCATTATACGATTTCATTACATTCCGTGATTGTCATTGCGGAATCGAGAAAGAAGGTTGCCTGTAAAACTGATTTTTGCATTAATGCATTTATTGTTTTTTGAATATTTTGCTTGCGAAAATTACTTGGATATTATTTTTCTAAAAACATTGTGGAAATAAGGTAGGTTGATACAGAAACTATTTATCGCACATGTACTGTATATGAGCTTCAGAATAAATAAATAAATAAAAATAAATTTTATCAAATGATACTAAGTAAATCGACTGGTTCCTATTACTGTGCATTTTTACAGTCTGGCTAACATTTATGGAATGAGATATTAAGAGTATACGTATTGTGTTTCAGTGTGTTGAAGTTAAAATATCAGGTAACCAAAAAAGTTCTGTCGTTTTTTGTCGAAAGAAAACAAATATAAAAATGTATAGGAAATAACACAATTTATTCATCAAAATTACCACCCTCACATTCAATAATCTTTTCCCAATGGGATACAAGCTTATAAATTCCATTTTTATAAAAGTTGCGATCTTTAGAGTTGAAAAACTTCTCTAACTCCGTTTCTATAACCTCTGTATTTCTGAACTGTCAATTTTGCAGATGATTATCTAGGCTTAAAAATAGGTGATAGTCAGAAGGGCTAATGTCAGGGAAATAAGGAGAGTGCAAAAGAGGTTCCCATCCAAGGGTCTGAATTGTGTCAGAGGTCACACGTGCAACATGATGTCTATAGCATTATCGTGTAGGAAAAGAATGCCTTTACAGTTTACTAAAGCTGGCTGTTTTTTCAAAAGTGATTGGTGAACTTGACGGAGTTGGTCACTGTAGACGTTAGCAGTAATAGTCTGGCCAGATGGTATAAGTTCATAGTGAACAATTCCATTTGCAGTCCACCATATGCACAATATTGGCAGGTGTCAATTGATGAGGTATCTATTTGCTGAGCTTGTAAACTTTTCCAAGACTATGCAAATGTAAACGGACTGTTTCATCACTTTACGAGAACTTTTGTGCTAATATCTGACAAGTTTGAGCGGAATCTTCTTCGATTGCAGCCTGTAATTCATCATTATTAATGACATATGGCCGCCCTTCTCATGGCGCATCTTTAAGCGACTCATCACCGGAAGAAAATTTTCTAAACCACCTTTGGGTGGTGTGAGTGCTGATAGAACCTTGTCCGAAAGCCTGGCATATTTTTTGAGCCATTTGCACAGCATTTTTACCAAGTTTAAACTCATACAACTTATTGAATTATAGAGTTTGGAGTACTCATCTTCAGGTCAATTTTTATAATATTAAGAGATAACCTTTCCGCTTCTCTTTACATAAGACAAGTCAGCATTAAATGTTGATTAACATATTGCTGGAATTTTAGTGCCATCTATTGTGTATTGCATTTAACATTCTTTAAACTTTGTAGTTTCACAAAAAACGACAGAACTTTTTTGGTTACCTAATAAAATAAAATATAATGATCTGCAATTGTCCAGAACAAGTTTGAATTTAACACTGCGCACCATATATCACAGAAAATTTTATCTGAGAACTGTTTTATCATAATAGCTAGACTTTCTCACAGATTTAAGAATATAAATTTTTTAATTCTAGTTTTAGTTTGTTAAAGATCTTAAAATTGTTCTACTGATCAGTCATTAAAATCCTTGAAATGATTTTAAACTTTGAATATTATTTACTAAGAATCTACTTAATTTTGAAATAAAATATATTTCTTACTTAACTACAGTATATTTCAGTTCAAAAAATGTAATTGAAATCAGTGGTGTGCAGTGTTTTGATTTTGCATACAAGAAAAGTTGTGTATAAATGAAATAACAATATATAACTTGATGTTGATTTGTCTATTTATTGAATTGTTAAATTATCACTAGTTTATAAACTGAATTTTAATTATTGAATTAACACTTACAGTATACATGCATATACATTATATTTAATTATCTACTTAAAGGTGAATCCGTAAATCTAATGTACAGTAGAGCGTCGATTATCCGAATCAATTGGAAATGGGGTTGTTCAGAAAATCAATATTTCAGATAACCGATTATATACGAAAAAATATATTAACCTATCCCATGTTGAAATTTTTCTCCATTGTGTATCGCTACGCGTTGAATTTTCGTCAATGTTAAGCCTAATGTAAACTTTTTTAAATAATAATCGTGACTATTGTATCGTTAAAAATTATTTCTTTATTTTGTACAAACAAAATAAATATATTGAAAAATATAAAAACAATAAAAAAATTATACTTCAGAAGTTAATTTAGTATCAAAAACGTAAAATATTTGAGTAGCCCAAGACATAAGCAAAGATTGCAGCGCCACGGCACTGGCGAAAATTTAATCAACGCTCTACTGTATTTACACATTTTCATCATCTGGTGTAACTATGAGAGAATCATACTGTTTATTTTGTTCAAAGTTTTCATATAAGTAATTATTGATAAGTGTTAGAACTAAAAATTGTTTTAAAGCTACAACAAATGATATATTTACAAAACACAGTTTTGAGCACTAATTGGGGGCTGCAATTTGAAAAAATTGTAGACCTATAAATTCCCACTGTCGTCTGTCTTTCCTCAATCTGGAGAATGAAGTTAAATAGATGAAAGACAGATTAGGAAATCTTAGAGGCAGGAGGACCCGATTAACTATATATGAACTTCCAATGCAAACTGGAAGGCATATTATTTCAATTCAAAAATTTTCCTCTGAAAGTGTTAAATGATTGGCACAACTCTATTGTTAAAGAAAAGTATGATGTACAGGGGTAAGTCACTACTAATTTGAGGTGGAAAACATATATTTGAAATTAAATAAGTTAAAAATAGGATTGAAAACAGCAACCCAGCATTGTGATAATGTCACAATAAATATTTTCTCGTTACATTATGTAATTGTGAGAGCTTTAAAAAAAAAACTATATTGGTCATATTATCATCAAATATTTGCCATGCCAAGTAATCTTATTACACAATCTTTCTTTGATTATTCTAAATATTAATGTGTACTGCCAAGTGTTGTTATATATATACAGATGAAAATGTGTTACTAAGGAATCTTAAGCATTTATTAGTTTTATGACATTTTGAACTTTTTTTTTACAGGTCTTATCAAACAAGTGGTAAAACATCACAGCCAGATAATATACACAAGAACAACAAAGGCCGACGATAGCACATAAATATTAATGTGTATTCTATAATGTAATAAAGGAACAATTTGTTCATTTCTGATGCAGTCTTTTTAATTGTATTATGCACTTTAAATCTTTTTAACCATTATAAATTAAACTGTTTATTAAGAGAATGCATTGGTTTGTTGAAATGCTTTAAACAGTTTTATTAATCTTGTTTGAAGAATATAGTACTGTATAGTCTTCAGATATAAGGTCAGATGTAACTCCCTTTCTATGTCAGTCAATCAAAATTAATTAAATACCAATATGTTGGCTTGTAGCTTGTGCCACAGGTATTAATAGCATTCAAGCTGGTTTCAACATGGTTGTTTTGTGCTTGTAATAATAATTTGAAAAGTCTGGATAAGTTTGGTCTTTTCTTCTTATGCACTGCAGATATAATAATTTCTGTATTTAAAATCCACTTTGTGATTTCAAGATATAATATTTAGATGAATATAGTAGAATGATAGGTGCACTTCACATACTTTGGACAGGCTTGGGTGCATTTATCCATGAAATTTTGATTGTTGGAGTAGTGAACCCCATTTGTATTCCAAACACGTTTATATCTTGAGTGAGTGTGTGGCAAAAGAAAACACTAGCAGTCATGAAGTTCCAACAAAAGTGTCTGACATTATGTTGGACAAATTGTATTTATCAATTTACCTTGTCAAGAACAACTCAAGGGGAAAACTTTCATGGCCAGATACTGAACACTATGCAGACATTTCTCTCCTAAATATTGTTGGGTCTGCAAAATATCCCATATTGTAAAACATGGTTAATTTTGTTGCAACATGAGGTCTTATAATAATCTAGAGTAGGGATTGTATACCGATAAATTGACAAAAAAAACATTCGGTAAACTTACCGGTAAATGAAAAATCCATACTAGAAATTTTTATGTAGAAAATATTGTGTTTATAGATATTTAAAAGGAACATTGAAAAAAAAAAAAACAGGTAAGTGTAAGCAACAATATACCTAATTATTAATTTTATATGAGATATTTTTTGTTTAATTTAAACTTAGTTGGGTTTGAGAGGCACTGTAAATTGTACAAAAAGCTCTAGTTATCGTGTGTGATTTGTGCTCTGCAGTTTTTTGAGAGTTTTAAAGGTTTAAAATCTTTACAATCAACGTTTTTCTTAAAGAGTAAGTAAATATCTTAAATATTTAAAAATAATAATAATACGTAAATATTTCACGTATTTTTTAAATTAATAGCAATTTTGAATACACCACATTATGACAGGACATTAATGCAACATTATTGTAAAATAACATTAAAATTTGAACCTTAAATAAATTTTTTACTTATAACAACTGTTTAAAATAATTAAATACAAATATTACAAGATTCTAATATTATGCCTTAAGATTGTGCAAAATATGTATTATTCTAACCTTATTTTCTTGGGGAATCCTCATTACTCTCAAGAAAAGAACTTTCTTTAATTTTAGATTGTAGAACCAGTTGAATAGCTTACTAAACATGCTGGAAAGATTTTTATTACTTAAGTATAATCTCAACAAAAATTCATTATGAGCTAAACGACGTATTTTAAAACAGGTTCTCTGCCGGCATATTCTCATGCAGGCAGTCAAGTTAAATTAACACCTCATGGGTAGTGAGTAAATCTAGGGTCACTGACAACCTTTCCCTTTCCTCTAAAAACAGGTTATTTTGACATCTTTGATATAGTTGCTCTGGTATTTAACCTTATTTGTCTTCATAGCTATTACAGTGGAGGGTGGACTTACCCTCGTAGTGGGTATAATGCATCTCCAACATTATTTAGAAGAAAATTGTGGTTCAACAAATCATTCATTTTAGATTCATGATTTCATAACCCATTACTATTGTACCAGGTGAGGTGTTCTACCAATTGATTGAAATCAGCTGCACTGGCTGAAATGAAATTCCTGAATTTAAGATGAACTACTTACCCCACCCAATTTTATGGTGAAATATCAGAAGAAATTAAAAAGAACATAATGTAACAGCTATAATTTCTATGGATGGTAAAGTAATATTGAAGTTTGTTTAGTAATCAAGTTCATATATATCCTACGTTTAACTAAAACGTTTTTTATTACTTTTAATGGGTATATTTTTTCGAAAAAACACCGCTCCACTTTGTCTATCGTGATAGAATGATTAGTACAAATTTTTCGTTCCGTCTAATCCGAGTTCTGACTCGTATTTGAATGTGTACAGGTATGTAAATGCGTATAAACAAGCGCGCCTTTATAGGTACAGTATGTGATCGGAAGAAAACGGTTGCCGGCCACACAACCGCTAGACTTGGAGTGGCAGACAAATGTAATACTGTACTACGTTCGCATACAATCCACGACTCACTTCGATCTCGATTTACGCACAATCTGGATTGTGACTGTCGCTAGTCGAACGTCGTGCTATTCGCACAGGCAGTCCGCTCGAGAAGAACCTGGCTATTACACGCGATCATAAAACTGACGTAACTACGCGGTAAGTCACAGACACCAACAAACAAAATGGAAGTTTTGGTTAGAAATAAATACTTTTTCTTGCCGTACATCTAATAATAGACAGATGTCGTCATTTCCAGCTGTCTTTTTTATTTCTCTGTCGATAGCCCGACACGTGTTTCGCAGCCATCTTGTATTTTCTCGCGCGCGTGGGATTGTGGGATCTCTCTTATGACTGGATCTAGTTTCGAGAACTCTCTCCAGTCGATCGCGATAGAACCTCGTTTCAGTCGAGATTGAAATGGTCGAGAGCGTTCGTACCACGGAACTCTCCGACCTTAGTCACAATCTAGATCGAAATGCTCGGTGCGAACGGGGTATAAGGACTTGTCTGCCACGGAGAAGCGATTCTTAAGCCTGGTACTCGCATGTTGCAACGGCCGACGAAACGGCAAAATGACGTCACGTTTGCCGACGGAATACGATGTTGAAAAATTTCAACTTGCCGTGGCGGAAAGCGGAACGGCAAAAATTAGACCAATAGGAAGGCCATTTAGTAATGTCGTAAAGTCACGTGAGACGATAGCATTCGAACTATGGCGGTCGGCAAGCTAAGAAGCTTGATTTGTAAACTAATACGCTAATATATTTCATTCATACGCTATATTACTATCCGATTTAAATATTAATGGCAAATAGACTTACTCCGTAAAGTATTGGGAATAGAGTAAGCGTAATTCGGCAACGAAAGTATTCGATATTCCTAACTTTCGACGATTTAGAATATTTTTCCTATCCAAATTATTCGTTTTTGAGGTTTTTTATTTGTGATAAGATCGAAACTTAAAAAGTTTAATTGATATAACGAAGCAATCCCAGTAGACGCCATTTTCGACTACTGGAACGTGGCCAGCCTACTGTAGTAGCTTGTTTATATTTACGGCTGGCAGATGGCGGGTCTCAATTGTAGGGTAATTTCCGNCGTAAAGTGCCCGCAAAACGCGCGTTTTAACAAAAATCTATAAACGCGCGCTTGGCGTTTGAATGTGTACGGCTACATAGAACTCTTGGTTCTTTAAAACGCGCGTTGAAAAACGCCTAGTGTGTACAGGGCCTAACAAAACAAAACAAAAAAAGCGAACATTTTTGCTGCAATGTGCTCCGACGAGCTCTTTGCTGAAGATATTTCATAGTCCCGCAAAATATAGAGCAATATTATAAATTTTCGGTCTCAGCCCCCCTTAGGCCTCACTGATTTCCCATCATGTCTTCAATCTATATTATAAATTATTGTCTAATGCAAGACGATTGTTTCTCTTTAAGAAATAATTTCTAATTCTACTATTTAAATATAAACTGAATTAACTGAAACTGTTAATAAATATTCGCTTATTTTCTCTCTTGATTTGCTTCGTTTTCTCGTTTCAATGATTTTATGGACATTGACACTTTCATGGTATTATAAATTTCATAGTTGAAGGAAGACAGCATCGGTTGTAGACACGCAGTCTACCGAAAAATCAAAGTTTTAATTAAGACTTATTGTAACTTCTGGTTATGCAAGCGATATCTAGCCGATTGCATTAAAACTTTATATTTTTTTCTGTGAGAAAATTCTTGAAAACGGAAGTAGATAGAACCAAGTAGTTTTTGCGTTAAAATCTCATCTACTTCCGTTTTCGAGAAATTTGGAAAAGGATTTTCCCATAGAAAAGCATTAAAATTTTAACGCCATCTACAAAGTGGTTACAATTAGCCTTAATCTTAGAAAATCCTTATTAGTCTTTTTTTTAACTCTCCGCCCTCTGGGCACTAAGAGGACCTCTTTTTTTAGCAAGCCCATTATGGGTTCTGCCAGGTCCTATTTTTTGCAGGAAATTCTGAATTTTTATTTAGAAAATAATTAACCAATTTTTTAAATTAAAAACACCATAGAAAGAAATCAGATAGACCTGGCCAACCAAATGATAGATCCATTATGTCCAATTCATCGTCCTTGAAATCCTAATCCGGATGGTTACGTATTGCCTTTAAGAAATTGAGAGTTGCTCCGTTCTGATGAAATCTCATTGATATTCGTGTCTGTAGGTCAATATCTTCTAAAAGTGTGGGAAATTTTTCAATTAAAAAACCGAGATAGGAATTTCCGTTCAATACATCTTAAAAAAAAAAAAAAAAAAAAAGGCTCATTTATTGTGCGCCAGGAATATCGCATCATACTTTGACACTCCACCAATGTTATGCATCGATCTGCCGAATCTAGCAAGTAATGCTCTCCAGTAATGATACCTGCTATCCAGTAATGATTTAATAACATTGGCATCGCCAAGAGACATAACAATGTCGACTTGTCCGGTAATATCAAACTGTTGAAAAATGTAGTGTCATACTAAAATTTTTGCATAGTTCAATTGCAAAAAATGAGTGGATTAACACGATCATCCAGTTGATAAAAATGGTATCGGGCTTCTTTTAAGAAATACTGTGCTATAAACTTAGAGTCAAGGGCGTCTATAGAAGGGGGCAAACGAGGCATTTGCCCTCCCCTAGGATCGAGTAAAAAGTTCCATAAATTATAATCATAAAAGTGATTGAGATATGTAACCTTACATCCTCGGCCATGACTGTATTTTATATTCTACTTGTAAAAGAACTCCCAAAATTAATTTATATGAGTTATACAGAGACTCGTGTAAGAGAGGTTGCAGCCGAAGTTTTCATCTCTAAAACNCGAATTCGATTCCGGATCCCCCAGAACGGTAGACTGCCACCTAGACCGCTTGGCATCCGTATAAGTCTAATCTTTCTTATATTTAATTATCCACTTCTATAAATAATACAAAATGTTAATTGAAATATTATAATATTTAGTTTAAACGCAGATTTTCCGCTATTCTATCAAATCAACAAGTTTTTTTTCGTTTTAGTAAACGCTTTTACGTCAATGTGACGTCATTTTCGAAATTTTATAATGAGAAATTTAAACGACGACATCAAAATGACGTATTTCAAATAAGCGACATTTTAAAATGTCGGAGTAATGCAAAAATGAATATAAATTATTTCAAATTAAACCAATGTATAAAATAATTTAACAATTAAAAAATAATTAATATTTTATAAATTATAAAAAAAGAAAAAAAGTTTTTATTCGATTTTATTTTTAAGGTTAGCCTCATTTAGGTTATAAGCCACTGGAGGTGCGCTGTAGATTTTAAACAACATGGCGGATATATGTTAGAGTTCAAATTTAGCTGTTGATTTCGGTTATCGTGATGCAATCAGTTCTTCTTTATGGTAGATTATTAACTAGAGCTTTAGTTAGTGGCGTTTACGGTCATACATCGACCAGCAGCGATGTTAATTGTGTTAATAGGAAGAGAGAATTGAAATTTCTTATAGCATGCTGCGGGTTTCCAAAGGTCTGGACTGGATTTACTGCATCTTTGCTCAGACGTGGACAGTTCGGAGATGATGCTTGTTTCGTAGCTAAATACAAAACTACAGACGTTTTAGGTGAGTTCTTCTCCAGCTTTAAACATATAATTCACTTCAATTACAAAATAATTAGCAAAATTTCTACGAAACACTCCAAAATTCGAATGAATTTCCCTATGGAATTCTACTAAATTGGAATTTTTACCTTCCAAAAGCATGCTTCTACCATTTACATACTTTCTGATTACTGCTTTTACTTCTGTTTTTAATTAGATGAATGAATTGAATTGCATTTTATAAATTGAGTGCATAGAATGAAATTTAAAAAACCAATTCGTTGTCTTTTATTTATTTATTTATTTTTTGCAGGTGTGGCCGACGGAGTCGGAGGATGGAGAACGTACGGCGTCGATCCCTCGCAGTTTTCCTCTTCTCTGATGCGAACTTGCGAGAGGATCGTGCTTTCGGGTCGTTTTAATCCCCAGTCCCCGGCCGGAATAATAGCTGCTAGTTATTATGAATTACTAGAAAACAAAGAGCACATAATTGGTAAAGTTGTTGTTTTATCGCATAATTTTAAGGATTGCTTTATATATTGGAAAAAAAAAAAATTATGCTTCATTAGTCTGAATTTTGAACTCGTTTTCCTACTACTGGAATGCCATCATTACGGGTTTTATTTCCTAAAAATATTTTAAATTAGTCAGAATTTCTAAATGAAGTATGGCTATTTTAAAAATTTCATTTATTTTTTGTTTTTGTAACATTAAAATTCCTTTTGTATTTTACGTAAGACGACACCTTACTAGTAATTCATTCTGTAAAATATGAGAAGTACATGAACCTATTTAAATTTAATATTTTTGATGTAACCTAAGTAAATTATTTATAATAATTGATTATTATGAAAGTAAAAAGTTAAAATTATGACTTTAATAATTTAAAAAATATATATTTTTGAATAAAAATGTCCTTTGTGATATTGTTTTAGGAATTTTTATTTCATTTTTTAAAAATTATTTCTGAAACTGCAATGAAAAAAAACAATGAAAGTGCCAAAAGTAGTAACGAAATTAATAACTATTTGATTGGTAATCAATGCAATTTTATTATTATTTATTTGGTGATAACTTGTTTGATAATGACACGCATAGATAAAAGGATAATTGATAATGTTTTCAGCATATTGTCCTTGTACAGAAAGTTATTGAGGACGGTTTGAGAAGTTTTAATTGTTCTGCAAATATTTAGATTAATAACAAATCATTTTATTTATTGACTTTTACTAAAAATTTTAAAAAATTTCTGTGAGATAATTATTTTGATGTTAACAAAAATCGAATTACTGCAAGTTGGTAACGATTAAAAATACACAATCAAATATGGTTAATTTCTTACATAAAAACATAAAATTGGTAATTCTGAAAGAATGATTGATTAATTTGAGATAGTTTCTAGATTAAAAAGAAAAATATCTCCGGTATGAAAGATTAAAAATACAAGTTTAAGCAAAATGTATTGTGTTCTGGAGAGAACGTGTACAACTTGAAACATGAGAAAGTGTTAAATATTTATTTATCATCACTTTGTGACTTTAAATATATTATTGCCTGATATATTTTAAATAGGTCATTATGACTCTAGTAAATATCATCATTTAAAAAATTTTTAGTAGTAATTTAAAATCTTAATGTTACTTTAGCTAACAAATAAGTTTTTTCTCATTAATACAAAAAATAGTAATAGCAATTGATAAATTTTTTATTAAAGAGAATGTGTTTTTATATATAATTATAAAAAGCAGTAATTTTAGATATTTAAATAGTAAATTAAATCATTAAATTTGCTATTATGCAATCTATACTCAATTTTCTATTGATGATTAAAATTTTTCTGTGTTTGGTTATTTTAAAGACAACACTCGTACAAAAAGGTTTTTGTGGATTGTAATTTCATAATATTTTCTTTTGTTAGGCTCTTATGATGCCTTATTTAGCAATTATTTGTTATTTTCTTTTTATTATGTTTTATATATATTAATGGTTATAATATTTGTTAAAATGATATGTTAGTTGATGAATTTTGATATAGTTAGTTTCCTGATGAGAGTTTTGTTACTTAAGGTTTCTAGTTCAAAGTCTGAGTCATATTTTTTTGTTTTGTATTTTACCTACAGTATAATTTTTTCATGTTTTGAGTTAATTTTTCTGAATAATTTATTACTTGAACTTAGGTTCATATAAATTATAATTAAAATACTTTTAATAATTTTAAAATTGTGTAATCAGTTGCTGTTTTTCTCTAGTTTAATTATCAAATCAAAATTACCAAAGAAATCTTTTTGTACTGCATGTATAAGTCAAATTTAAGAGTACAAAATGACTGTTCTATAATTTTTTGAATATCTAGTGAGTGTAACACAGACTCTGTATTGGAACATTTATCATTATTATTATTCCATCAGAAATTTGCATTTAAGAAAATAAAAATCGTAAGATAAATCTACACTTTTGACTATTTAGTTTTGTTCTTTCTGCCCTGTAGGCGGTACGAATTTATATAGTATTGGGTGCATAAGCTATTCTAGGTAGTATATTTTAAGTTCTCAAAATAACTTGATTTATAAATTACAAAAATTTTTTTGTTTTCAAACTAAACAAATGTTAAATGAAATAATCTTTTTGGATTTTAATAAGATATATATTAATTTATATTTTAACTGAATCATTACAAATATGATAAATTAAAATAAAATCTTGTGATAAATGAATGGATGAAGATACTTGAAATCTAAATAAAAAATTAAACTTTGACAGCTAATTCTATTAGTTTATTTGATCTAGAATCTTGTTATCTTTTTGTTAATGAAAATTTCTCTAACTCTAGGACTAAAGAAGTATCAAATAATCTTGATTTATTCTTTAATCAATAAAATCATCTATAACAGTGGTCCCCAACCTTTTTAGTTCAGTATAAATTGTTTGTGAATCCATTTGTTTTGTTAGTATTAATTAACCCAACAATATTTTTTCTTTAAACTTCTTGGTTGTTTATAATAATGTAGTTATTCAGTTATTTTTAATATATGTATTGTTGTTTTAGAGAAGATACTTATCTTAATATATTACTATTAAAGCTAATTAATAATCTTTCTCTCAATAGATGAGTTATTTTTATAATTTCAAATTGCATGTTGATAATACCACTTAATCTGTTTATTTATTCTGTGATATTATGTTTTATTTCTTTTTGTTGTTCAGAATATCTGAAATTGATACTTAAGAACTCTTTTTTTAGATTTTTATTTCATAATCTGCTTCTAATTAAGTTTATTCATTTTATTTTCATAAGATATCTAGATGAGATAACTGTGAAGTCTGAAACTATAACCGATCTTCTGGTTAAGAATTACATGAGGGGTCGTTATTCATTTTTTAATAAAGACCTCCTTCAAAAATTATCTATAGAATTAAACCAGAATTTCTTTTTGATACTTAATTGATTATTACTACCCCGCAAAAAATATAGTTATAATAAGATGCATGTTGTATTGGATGTATTATGTTTTTCACGTTGAGTTTTTTGAGAAAAAAATATTTTTTACAATATAACAGGCATTCTAATTTTAGGATGCGTCCTGTAAGCCGAATATAGATAAATTTTAGGTTTAAAAAAGTGTATTTTACAAGATAAAAAATTGTAATTTATATATTTAATATCCAGGACTGATGACTAGCAGGCCGAATCCCAGCATAGCATTTTTCCAGGTTCCTTTCCATATTACATACAACAGAAATAATTTTGATATTTAGGTAACAAAATTAGGTTTATTTTATTTAAAACTTGTCAATATTAAGAGAATCTGGCATAATTTGTGAAGATTGTGATGATAAAAGGGTCCAAAAATCCACAAAAAAATTAATTTGAGCCCTGCTAACTTGTACACCTGCTCTCCTCACTTTAGTGATATTTTTTAAATTTTAGTGATTACAGTAATATTATTTGTAATAAAAGTGTGTGTGTTATAACTTCCTAATTTGAAAGTGTATAAAGATTACTTTAGTTCTTTGTAATTATTGCAAGTAGTTGTGAAATATATGAAACTATTACAAAGAGAAATTAAAATTTGATTATATAATGGTTATTTGTTTAGAAGGTAATTTTCATACATAATTTATATATTACAAATTTTAATTTTGTATGATGATTAGCACATAAATTAATCATTTATCATCATATTTTAAAATATTTTAGTAAATTATTGTTCATAATAGTGTTAAATGGATAATTTAAATAATAATATAATCAGTATAAAGTGAATATTATACATATAAAATAATATATATGATATAAATATTTAAATTTTTGTGACATCTTCATTATTGATGTGAATAAGTAAAAAGTTAACGTTACTAATATTGTATGGCAACGACAGTTATTTAAATGAGAGGATGTGCACATCACGGACGTGCCAAACACCTGTCTCATTAAGACCGGTCGAGTCGCGACCTACCTATCATAAGAATTCTACACGCTTTTCCTACAAACAGTTGATTAATTTTTCATAATTCTAATTTAGGTTAGAAATATCGAGTACATATATTTAAAAATATTGCATAATTTTCTCGCATAAATTATAAAACTAAAGAAATCATACGTTCAAATATAATTCAACAGATCATTTGGCTTTAATCAGTTAAATTAGATTTTGAGTTGATGTTATATAAAATAATAATTTTCTTTAGAAAACATTTGTATTTGTTCAACAATTTTATGATTCAACAGAATTTCTAATCACATTTTTAAATAAACAGCTTAGCAGTTTCCTAGAATACATGTAATATACTTTCATTATGTTAAAAATTATACGAAAATAATTTATTATATTACATTGAATAAAAGTTTTAAGTGGCTATTTTAAGCCCGTATGAAGGTAGACACTCTGATTCTGTTTTAGTTCCTCTTGAAAGAATAATTTTCTTTTTATCTTTCAATATTTAAAGGATAAACTTAAAAATAGCAAGTCATTTCTGCTCTATAAATTTTAAATAGTCGTTAAGATACTTTTTTTCTAAGATTTTGTAAAATTTTCTGATATCAAAGATCAAAATTAATATTGATTTCTAGCATAATGAAGTTAAAAAAATATTTTAAAAGGACTGTTATGTGCAGAAAGTACTGATTTAATAAGACATTTCTATATTTTATCCTTCACTAATTTACTAAAAAAAAATTTAAACGTAATGAATTTAACTTTAATGACTTGTTCTTTTAAAAGAATTTATTCACTTTGTGATGTTTTTATTATATGCGATAAATCAACAATCTCGCGATATTCTCGTGTCGGACCATCTTACTTGTTAGACAAACAGGAGAATGAATATTTAAACATTTAGTAATCAGAATGCAAATATTTAAAAAACAAAATAATTTTTGTTTGCAACCATGGAAATATTGATAAAATTATTTAACAGAAAAATTTAATTTATACTGCAAATTTTATTAATTCTGTAATGTTATAAGTGTACAAAATTAAATTTATATAGTAATAGCGATTGTTGATTAAGATTTATAATAATATGCTTTAAAATGTTTAAACAAAATAAAACTTTATTTATTGTAACTTCTTCGGTTAAATTAATTCAGCGAAAACAAATATAGAGAGTATAAAATGATTTCACTATTTTCGGCGTTGTTTTAGAACAACTTTTATAAAATTGAAAATATTTTAATTATTCAAATTATTAGTTTCTTCCATTTTTTTTTCTATTATTTCTTGAAATTTGCAAGATATTTTTTCACGAATTGCTTATATTAAATGACTGATTTACTATATTTTTTGTTAATTACGTGAAAAAAAATTAAGTTTTTCTGTTTAGATTTATGTAAAAGTTTTGTGTATGTATTTTTTTTTTTAAACTAGACTATAAAATATAGAGAAATGTGTTTTATAAAAATCTGTTAAAATGAGTACTTTCATTATTATTTTTTGTATTGAAATTGAATACTGCTACTTCCTCCTCCGTTCTTTAGAATGACAAAAAGAAACCATGAAAAAAATTCTGTATGACTTTTCATTTTACTATTTCCTTTCATTTTTATTCTTTCGACAACTTGAGTGCTTGTTATTATTTGATTGAAATAAAATTGAAGAATTTTTCCCCCTTTTCCTTCACTTATGTATTTAATAAAGTCTGAGGTGACTTCCAGGAAGATTAATCTGTCATTTTTCCTGTTACCATTTTTATGATAGCTAATTAATTCTATTCCAGTCTGAAGGAGTGTAATCTTAAGTCGTTAACGATTCCTGTCGGATTTTGTATTTAATAGAAAGTTTGTGCAACGTTCAAATTTCATCTGATTATCTTATCAATAAACGCGATAGCGTGGTACAAATCCTAGCCGATTAATAAAATGCTTTTTATAATACTATATAATCTACATTTTATCTATTATAAATATATTTAAAAAGAAATAATTTTTCTTTTAAACCAAGAAATTTAAACAACTTATAATTATAAACACCATTTAATTACAGGTAGCAGTACGGCTTGTGTGTTAGTTTTGAATCGCGACAACAGCATGCTATACACTGCCAATATCGGAGACAGCGGATTCCTGATAATCCGACAGGGTCAGATCGTTCACCGTTCCGAAGAACAGCAGCATTATTTCAATACTCCTTTTCAACTTTCACTTCCTCCTCCCAGTATAAGCAGACAAGTACATAACGACGGGTAAATTAAAAGATTATTTTTTCAAATAGAACAAAAAAGAAATTGTGTGTGTATTATTTTGTTTACATTTTATAAATTTAAATTTTTTACTAAAGAAGTATACTCATAAATCATATTATTATACGAATGCATTGCTAATGCACCTTCTTAAATTTTTGTAGTCCCGAGTTAGCGGAAACTTCCTCGTTCGTCGTTCAAGAAGGCGATCTGATTCTTCTGGCGACCGATGGTCTCTTCGACAATCTACCCGATAACATGATTGTACAGCATTTATCCAAACTCAGGGTAAGTATCTTATAAGTATTTTTGAGATTATGATAAAAACAAACATTTAATTAAGATTACCTAAAAAGATGCCGATATTCTATTGTTCTACAAAAAGTATACGATACAATTGCAATGAAATAAGGTCGGAAATGTTTTTATCAAAGATGATTATTAGATAATTTATTTGTGAAAAGTAGTTTTAATATATTGAAATTTTGTTTGTAGTTAGTTGTCAAAATATTTCAAATAATAGTAAATTTTTAATTAAAAAGAGAGAATAATAATGGAATTAAAATTGTATACCAAGAATGCAACTTTAATCAAATCATTCGTAAGTTTTTTGTAGAAAAATCATAAATTATCTTTTAAAACGATATTTGAAAAAACTAACAGAAGTTACAATGTTCAGAAATGTAAGATTTTTTTTCTCCTATGATCTTGTGATTGTTCAATTCATTTTGTTATTTCTGTTGTCTTAAATTTAAATATAAACTTTAGACTCTGTGGTTATACAGTAAATTCTCAAATAAATTTTATTTTCAAGCATAATGTTATTAATATTAAACCAATTCAAATTTATTCAATCTTAATAGAGTAGGTAAGACAAATAAAAACTTGAAATTCTTTAGTAAATTGAGAATGTAAGAAAATCTTTTGAACAAATTCTTTCAGATAATTTTTACTCCTGGAAATTACTTAAATACTTTTAAAATTATAATGTTATTGCTTATTCAGAATAACAAAAATTTAGAAACTTTATTTTTAAAATAATAATAAATATTTGAAACTAGAATACTACTGTTCCTTTATTTTGAGTGAGCTTATATGCTGTAAAGAACCTTGTTAAATCAATTTGGTTTAATGTTTCAATGCTATCTTCTTCCTAAATACTTTCCATTGCAGTTCTCAATTTAGATACATTATTGTAATATAGTTAGGCAAGGACAGTCTCTGTTCTGGCAGCATGTTTGGTCTGCTGCAATGGAAAGGAAAGTTTTCTTTTCTTGGGGGATAGTAAAGGATATAAAACACCAGACAATTTTATTTTTCCAAGAAAACACTGCTTGGACTGCAAGAAAATGCAGTAAGGACTGCATTTTCTTGAAGACATCCTTACAGACCATTGTATCAAGTGCTTAATTGTGCTTAATTAATAACATTGGTAAGTGTCTAGGTTTTTTCCTATGACTATGACTGAAGTTCTTTTCCATTTATATTTTTTATTTGAGGTATATTAGCCAAGTTGAGGCCAAAGTTTTAAATGCAAAAACGTGTACATCAGACGTTCAGCGCAGCTTTCCTGTAAGCCTAGAAGTTTGACAATGGTGTTTGGAATGCCGAGCATGATTCCACTGACTTTCCAAACACTATTATCAAACTTCTATGCTTACAGGAAAGCGGTGCTGAACGTCCGACGTACACGTTTTCGCATTTAAAACTTTGGCCTCAAACTCGCTATTATGTGTTTTTCACGGTGGCAAACTACTTTTGCTAGTAGTTAGGGCTAAATTATCAGTCAGAAAGGCAATAATTTTTAGCAAGTTAGATGTGATTTATACTGGATCTAAACTTTATATTAATAATAAAAATACTTCCTAAATGTGAAGTTTTAATATTAAGAAACAATCCTTATCTTTAATATCTTGGAATTTCACATAGACCATTAAAGCAATAGTTAGAATGATGCAGGGTATATAAACAGGAAAAGGAATGCATTAATATTAGACTGAAACTTTGTCAAAAATCCTTCCATATAAAATACCTTGCAAGAGAGAGGAACAGAATTATTAACTGTCATCTTCCAGAATACCCAGATGATCTGGTTATTCTGGAGATATGAGTCTACGATTTAAAATTTAAATCTTTTTAATTTTTTTTCAAAGAAAACACCCTTGTTTAACTAAAATTAATGTTAACGTGTCGTACAGTACTTTTGTGGTTATTAATTAATTTATTAATTATCAATTGCTTTAATAAATGTGTTTCTCTTACCAAAAATGTACTTTTCTTTTTCATTTCTATAGATAATATATGGAATGTAACTATAAGTTTTGCATTAGTCCTTTGTTTCATATGGCATGAATTTGCATAACACAGCATTTTTTTGGAGTGTAACTACTGTGTTATACAAGGGATAACTGTGTCAGATAGAGAATACCTGTATTCAAATTACAAGAGCTGCATGTTGGAATGGCACAAGTAGAACATTGTATTGTTTGTTTTATCTATATTCTTTTGCAATTTCAAATGTTTCATTTTCTGAAATAAAACATATTCACTGTTCTTTACAAATTAAATGTAATAGCTGGTACTATCATTTGTGATTACCTACAGTTCTAAAAGGCTAACATATGGTGGATACCAAAGCAATTTGCTTCCTTCTACTGAGACAAGAGTTCAAATTTGCAGTGAATTAGAGGAATGTTTTTATCACCAGGGCCAAGTTTTCTTGGACCTTACCATAATCTCTAACAAAACTGGGCATGTTCAATTCTATAGTATAGTAAGCGAGTATATAAGATCAGTAAAAGCACTTGGACTCACCCCACAAAAAACTTCTGGTCAGTGGCATTTGAGAGCGAAGCAACAGCTAATGATTTCTGAGATAGCCATGGTGCCATCACAACCTTACTGCTTAAAGATTCTTTAGTATATGCAGGCATCACAATAGAGGAAAAAGCCTGGCATTATCATAAAAGGCATTTGGTTTTTTCAGAACAATGCCCAATCTGAAAAATCCAGGAATCGGACAGTATGGTCCCCAGATTTTGCACCTCGTATTCTCCTTTCAATAAATTTTTAGACTTCTCGGGCAAGAAAAATTTTTCCAGTGATAACACTGTTCAAGGTGCCATCTAGTCCCGGTTAGGGTGTACCGACAATGCTTTCTGAGCCGCCAGTATACGTAGAGGATTATTATATGAAGGAATAAACAGTTTACATCAAAGTCAAACTGACACACAANAACTTCGTCAGGATCAGGAATGACCGACGTGTATTCAGCCGATTGAGACGACGAGGAAGACAGTCCAAGAAACATCCTTCGAAACTTAAAAAGATCATCATAAAAATTAATGTGTGATTCAAGAGGTCTTTTAGATAAACTTTAAATGTAGGTCAAGAATGCAAAAACAAACCATTAGAACATTCTGGTGGCATTTGCACCTGTGTTCCTGGATAAAAATGGTTTGTTTTTGTCCCGGTTAGGGTGTACCGACAATGCTTTCTGAGCCGCCAGTATACGTAGAGGATTATTATATGAAGGAATAAACAGTTTACATCAAAGTCAAACTGACACACAAACAAAAACTGTTGACATGTTTATGCCTTTACAAAAAAAAATTAAACTTTGACAGCTAATTCTATTAGTTTATTTGATCTAGAATCTTGTTATCTTTTTGTTAATGAAAATTTCTCTAACTCTAGGACTAAAGAAGTATCAAATAATCTTGATTTATTCTTTAATCAATAAAATCATCTATAACAGTGGTCCCCAACCTTTTTATCGCCGCCCGCTGAGGGGGGACGTTGATTGTTTATATTTTAATAATAATAATTTAATTGTATTTAAACATGCCTTCAAAATAAAGTAGTTACACCAAAAAGTGAATATAATGTGATTTAACATTTTAACTCACTAGAACGCTAAATCAATGAGAACCCTGAGCTTGTTTTTTTGCAACAAGACGGTTCCATCTGGGGGTAACAGGAGATAATGACACCCAAAGTGTGTTTTTTATGTCCAGTTTATTCCATTGTTCCATCGTCCACTAAAAGTTTGACAAACCCGAGAGAAATACACCATAGTAAATAAAATGGAAATACCAGTAATTTAATGTTACTTGGGCGGCCCGGTACCGGTCCGCGGTCCGGGGACCACTGATCTATAATACTTTGGAATAACAATTAGAAGTATTATTAATACAGAGGTCCGCAGTCCGGGGACCACTGATCTATAATACTTTGGAATAACAATTAGAAGTATTATTAATACAGAAAGTTAATTGTAAATTATTACAGTAGACCCCCTATAACACCTGGACCAATAGTGGACCAAATCTGTAGTGGGTCAAATCTGGACCAATAGTGGACATTGCACAAACCGTTGAGTTTAATGTCCACTATTGGTCAAGACATGAGTAGGCCATGACAATCTGTCTCATTCTTTTACCGTGTTATACGAACACGGTCATAATTTTTCCACTGTGTTATACAAATTCATCTTATATGAACCCGTGTTATAGGGGGTCTACTGTATTGTTGAATTTTCTTTATAAATAGTAAAATTGATTCTGTGAGGTAGGAAATCAATGCTGTAGGTTGCAAATGTGTTCCAGTTAGGCTAAATGATATAATTTAGTTATTATTATTCGCTGATAAAATTGGTTTTGCTTTATGTCATTTCGCCATACTGTCAGTTTCCAATAACCTGTCGACTCACTGTACAGTACATACAAAGCACAAACTTTAGATATTATTTTATTTTATTTAAATTTTCTAGTGTACCCTGTTTGAATTTAGAGGACAAACTGCAAATTTTAATTGCTTCCTTTAAGAATTAATGAATAGTTATCTTAATTACATTTTAAATAAATCAGTAACTTTGTGTTATTGATATACTGTAATTTAGTGAATCAACATATTAACAAATTATTTACTCATTTCAGGATAGAAATTTAGAGAGTATACAGCAATCAGTAAACTCTTTGGCCTTTCAAGCACACAGGTTGGCTTTTGATTCTACTTATCTGTCACCTTTTGCCATCAATGCGCGAGCGAATGGCATAGATGCCACAGGTAACTTACCATCTCTTAAAATAATTTGAAACTGCCACTTAAGACTAAAACCTGAATTTTTATTTAAGGTGGAAAGCCTGACGATATTACGGTCCTCCTGGTGTCGGTCGGTCCCGGATGGTCGGAGAAGAAGGAACCGCTCCGCACGGCGGTCTCCCAGAATGGTTGCACAGACTACGGTTGATTGCACGTAGACCCTAGAATGAGTAAACTTTTAGAATAAGTTAGTCACTAAATTTAGTATCGAATAGACGAGATTTACGTGGGATCTGTTGTCACAGAAAAACCATGCAATATCATTTGAAAAAAAAAAAGTGCTACTAGAGAGACAATAGATTCTACTCGGGTCCAGTCGCGTACGATACCGCTGCCTTGCCGATATGTGTATTTTCATTATTATGCAGTATAATTCCAAGTAAAAGTGATTAGATTGCATCTACTCTGTTTATTTTGGAATTTTATTCTCAAATAATTTAAGTCCACTGGACGTATGTTTAATAGACATTACTATAAAAAGTATTTATATTCATCTCCATCACTTCGACGCCCACATATTTGTATATTGTAGATTGTGGTTGTGAAGACGGTTCCTGTATCATATAATTTTGTGAACAAATGAAAATAAAGGTTGAAAATTTATAATTTTCAAAAAGATTTATATTTAATTAAATGCTCACATTTCAAATGGGAAACTGCAAATGCCAATGGAGAATTCGACCTAGTCTTCGTCACTCGCTTCTGCCAGAACTTCGTCAGGATCAGGAATGACCGACGTGTATTCAGCCGATTGAGACGACGAGGAAGACAGTCCAAGAAACATCCTTCGAAACTTAAAAAGATCATAAAAATTAATGTGTGATTCAAGAGGTCTTTTAGATAAACTTTAAATGTAGGTCAAGAATACAAAAACAAACCATTAGAACATTCTGGTGGCATTTGCACCTGTGTTCCTGGATAAAAATGGTTTGTTTTTGTATTCCTGACCTACCTTTAGTTTCTCTAAGACTTTTTGAATCATCCTGTATATATAGGGTTGAAAGGAAAGTTGGTACACCTCATATAACTTAAGCGGCACTACAACAGGTGGATTAAGTGATTTTGGCACTCCTCGTTTTCTTTAGTTCTGTATTTTGCCACTAACTGATACAAAATAAGCTTTTTTTTTTTTTTTTGCCTAATTGGACTTATTTATGCTGATACTTGGTTCAGCAGAAATACATTCAGGAAAGAGCAAAATGCACTAAATAATAAACATTCACAAAACAACATATATGAAGCACAGGTGCAATGAACCAAGTAATCTACTGCACAACAACCTGTGCAGTAGATTACTTGGTTCATTGTGCATCGTCAACAACATTGGAGAACTTCTGGATTCGGGACAGAATTCTGTCTTGAACAGTATGCAGCATTGCAGGGATTACGGATGCATTATTTTAAAATCTGCCATGGTGGAAGGTTCTGTAGTGTATGCTTTATTTTCCATGGATGACCATGCAGGGCATTCCATACAACCACTATATCCAATAACTTTGTTGCCAAACATTGCAAATCAGTTTTCCACAATTCTTTCTTAATGTTTTCTGTTTTCCTGTAATTTAATTTTTTTCCTATGAGTATTTTTGGTTCAGCATTTTCCACTAGGGATGCTAAAATCACATTTGATGGACTGTGTAGGGTCATTTTCTCACAGGTGCCAGGAAAGTTAGTTTAAAACTAGCTTTCCTGGTTAAGGAATATATGAACTTTCCTTTGAACCCTGATAAAAAAAAATGTATGCATTTGAAGTCAAAGACCCATTGTCATTTGAATAAGTTTTATTTCTGCAAAGCAAAATCATTTGTTTATATAAATTATTGGAGAGAAAGAACTCCCAATGCTTTTTGAACATTTAATTCTCTTAGATTAAACAAATCTAAAATGGCTTACAATAGTGCTTTGAATTTGTTGAGAGATCCTTATCACAGACAAAAACAATATTGGCTAATGGTCTTGCTAATTCTGTTCGTGTTGTGTACGATGGATGAACAGAGGAACTGACAAATGGGTCAAAACAAAAGCAATTTGCATTAGATTATGAAATAAGACATTATATAATAAATGTTTTGTTGAATATTTCCATCGTTCATAGGTCAAACACAATACTTTTGCTATGCAAAAGTATCGTGTTTGACCTATGGAAAATTCTTTCATCTGATGCATGACATTTTTCTCTCTTAGATATTTGTCATTTAAAGTACAAGGTGATTCAAAAGTCACAAAAATTTTTAAAAATTAATAACTCACAAACTATTTACAGTAAAATGATGCGGTTTTCACAGAAATGCTTAGAAAGAAGCTGTATTTTTTTTTTACATGTAATAAAAATTTTAGTACTAAAATTTTTATTACATGTAAAAAAAATACCGCTTCTTTCTAAGCATTTCTGTGAAAACTGCACCATCTTACTGTAAATAGTTTATTAATTATTAATTTTTTAATATTTCTGTGCCTTTGAATCATCCTGTACAATAATCAGTTTCTATTTTAAAGATGCATTGCAAGCATAAAGGCCATCCTAATTTGTTGGAATAATAAAACTATATTCCTGTCACTAGTTTTATCATTCCAAAAATTGGGGTGACCTTATATTTTTGCAATGCACATTAATTACTTAGTTATTGAGACTTGTCTATATTTGATAAGATTACAGTTAATGTTACCAGTTGATTATTTACTTAACCAGGATGAACAGAGCCCTACACATTTGATCTCAACTAGCCACAATTTGGTATTCTAATTTTTGTAAAAAATAACTGCCTTGTTACTTTTTGACTGGCTCTAATATATGAAATTTATCCACTATTATTGTCTGCTATAACTGAAGTAAGAAATTACAACAATTTTAAGTGTAATTAAAGATAACACGAAATAATAATAATGCTTTTTTACAATGTTTTATAAAATATTATCAATAGAATACACTTAAAATCTATCATGACTGATTAAGCAAAGATATAAAAGTATTCTAGCCATAATTTAGTATTCTTTTGGAAAATGCACTCCAAATTTGAAGTGGTGATGTTAATCAGGAAAAGATTATACAGTCAAAATTTTTAATACAATAAAACGAGCATTTTAATTTAGAAATTTTCCAAGAGATACTGAATTACCAATTTATGATCATAGCCAAAGCAATGTTTACAACTTTTTTTTATTAAAAAAAGAAATGTGTGTGTAAGTTGTAAACATTTGTTACCATGTTGCCAATATATTAATATCGAAAAAGATTGTTTACTTCTAAATGAGACTAGTTTTAGTATAAAATTACTATCAAAATGTGATAATAGAAACAATATGGTCATTACAATATTTTAAATTAATATTTGTTTACTTTTACTTTTCTGGCCGTTATGTATACATAACAAGGGAAAGTATTGGAATCGTGTCAAATTCAACCTTCCAGGTTTTTTGCAAATCTCCATGTTTTGAGATCCCCCAAACCCAACAGTCAAAAAAACGGCAAAAACATTCCATGGGTGTGTTGTCATTAATTTCATTTAATGTCTCAGGACAGAGTGAAGATTAAGAAAAAATTTGACATGGTAGCTTGTGTATAGAGGGCATTGATGCTATTAAATTTTGGTGATGAAAGGTCAAGGGGAGATAGAGGTGGTCATATGTCATTGGGCTTAATGAAGATTTTACTTGTTAGCATTTACAGATCTTTATAAAACTCATCTCTACCTCAGAATTAAGTCCTTTTGTTATTTTATAACAAAATCTCATAATAGATGGTGCCATGTATGATTAATAATTAAAAAGTAATTAAAAATTACTTTTTAATTATTAATCTCTTAACATCTGGGAAAGTTACACAACTTGTTACTAGATTTTTTTTACATAGAGTTATACAAAATTGGTTTTATTCCCTAAAGAAAACTGTTAATTATGCATATTAAAAAGAACTGGCCATGTAATGGTTCATACACTTGTAATGCATTTATCCATCATACTTTTATTTAGGTACTTTTTTTATTACTGTTCAATGCAGTTTTTAAATACAACAGATGGACTGTTTGATTCTGTGCCAAAAAAATACAGTGAGACTAAACTGCACAAGATAAGATAAAATTAAATTTTTATTTGATACCACAAAAGGAAAAAGATGCATTAGTTTAAATTTTTAAATGTAATAGATTTCCTCACACATTTAGGTTGCAAATAGAAAACTTTGAAACTTGTCAGTTTGCATGCATATTTTAACAGTGTCTTATTGAAATGTGATTGTTCCAACAATATGAATATATTGTTGAAACAATCACATTGGTTGGAACTTATTTACTTCAGGGTATTTGGCTTTTAATTGGGAAATCAGAATCAAAGACAAACTGTTTGCATTGAATGATGGCAAAACAAAAAAATAAAAATCCATTACCTTTTTATGGGGTGGTGTGGAGGGCACAACATTCTCTTCTGCACACTCCGTCGGTGCAGCTTCAAAAGCCACAGGATCTGCAGATGTGTTTTCGATCATTGTCAGGGACATGTCAGAGTTATCATCTGTGGTCAACAGAGCAACATGTCTGTCATCATTTTCCTTTAAGTCACTGGAAAGAGAGAATGAAAATTTAAATAGTCAATATATCGTTGTGATACACATTAAAAATCTTTGGGCAGGGCTCTGAGTTTAGATCATAAAGACGTCTCCTTTATGATCTAATCATAATAAAATTTTGTGGAAACTGATTACAGCTGTGCAGAAGATCCTATTTGCAAATTGGGTATGCTCAATGTCATAATTTAAATGCATTGTTCCCAATAGATTAGTTTTCCTGTATAAACCTATATCATTTGACTTATCTGGTCCCAGAATTAGTCCTGTATAAATAACAATTTTTTTCCTACCTCCATTAGTCCGGCAATTGATCACTAACTAATCGTGGTCCCAAGACAATGGTTTCAAATTTAAAAATAAATAAATATTTATTTATTTAGTAGCTTGGAGAATGAGTTAAAAAATTGGCACAGCCACAGGAGCCTCACTTTCTTAGTACCAACAAGATTGTGCCTGCTGCATGATGATAAATGGAGCTGTTGTCTGCAGCCCTCTGCCATATTATTAAAATTTCTATTATGTTATACTTCTCAATCTTGCAGAAAAACTGTACTGTATACTGTTATACAGAGCTAGGAGAGGTGAATATAGCAAAACCAGAGTTGTGCCAAACTTTGTCAAATTACAGGAAGGGCAAATGAAAGTAAAATCTTTCTTTTATGATTGAAATTATGAAAACATTCTAGGCCTCAAAAAACCCTACTTTGAATTAAGGCATAAAGTTTGCACAAAACAAATGTCAAAAATTTCTTCAGCAAGAATTAATGTTTTAAATTACTGTAATATCTATAATTTAAAAATATAGATAAGCACAATTTAATGATTATTATTATTTGATATAAATAATAATATAACACTGAATTCTTGCTAAAAAAATCTTTGAACAGTTTTCTGGAATTTTTGTTTTCGATTTTCATAAGAAATGATGCATTGAGATTATACTGCAATTTTTTATATATACATAGCTGTATACAGACTAAATAATTGTAAATAATAAAATTTTGTAATTAAAAATAGTGCAGACATAGTTATGTCTTTTTAAAAAAATGATCAACACTTAAACGACTGTCCAGCATCGAGGAACAAACTGCAGCATGTCATGGGATCTAAAATATTTGACACCTCCACAAGAAGTCTGACTTTACTCAAACATTTCAAGTCTGCAAGCAAGCCGGATGCTTGGTCGAGCCAGTGTAGCTTTACATATTAGGTATTTAAAACTTTGCAATCACATAATATACTCAAACAAATATTTTGACAAATTTAACAATGTATAAGCAAAAATAAAATGACCGTTAAATTTTATATTCTTTTTCTTCTGCAGGAATTATTTCCGTCTAACCTTCAATACTTCTTTAACGTATTTGATTTGTGAAACGACAATAAAAACAAAAGTATGCAATTCTTAAATTGCAAAGTCATGTATCCACCTCATTAATTATCAGGTGATACGAACACAAGTTATAATAATTAAATAAAAGATGTACTGTACAATTTAAACAGAGATGTTTAAATTTCAGATTGTTCTGTTAAATTTGAATATATAGCATAATACTTTCAATTGACTGAAATAGATAATTATGCAATTTATAAAATATAATCTGGATTCACTGTTATTATGATGATGTTAAAATTTAGTGATGGGCTCATTCAATCTGTAAAATTCCTTCTTTCGTGAAAATAATGCAATTTCTCAGATGTGTAATGCTAAAATTGAGTCCACAATTTTTAATATTTCACTTGAATTAATATTTAATAATTATATGCAAACAATTATTCTTACTAGATACAATTGTCTAGTATGAGAACAAATCAAGGGAAACAATCTGAATAAGTCATTTAATTTTAGTTCCAAGAAGGATGAGCAAATCATTTTGGATATTTTGAATAAATGATTATTTTTTGTTCAAACGAACCTATCACTAATTAAGAATTTCAGAAGGAAAAATGACTAAATTAATTTAGATATTCCAATGTGGCAGAAGTGTTTACTTCCATCTGTGTGGAGCACTTGTGGGAAAAATAAAACTTTAAAAATTACTTTTTGTCATTCAGTGGTGTTTTTTCATTAAAAAAAGATACCTATCAAATAATAAAAATACAGTAAGACCCACTTAATGCTGCCTTGATTAACGCAACGCAATCAGCACAAAGCCTAAGAAAAAGCTCAAAATTTACACCAATTCAAATTATCACAGCATTTCATTGATTTGTAAATAATACAATTATTTATGAACACAAACCAATCAGCAAAAGGTGGCAATTTGTTGTAGCACCGTATTTCCCCTAAATCTATGTTTGTTTGGTGCAATTTTGGAAAAAATATAACATTGTGGATGCCATAGGCAATATTGACTTGGCTTGGCAAAAATTAACTGATAAATGCATGAACAAAGTGTGGAAGAAGTTATTGCTGTAGGTATCCAAGAATTCTCGATGAGAAGAGCCTATTGCTGTATTGTTAGGTTGACCAAACTCAACCTAATCGATACAACAGGACTAGGAGATGTAGATGAACAGGATATTGAGGAATTACCATAGGTTTCTGGTGAGAGTCTTATCAACGATGACCTTCAAGAACTGACAGAACAAGGAATCCATGTAGAACTGGAAAATAGTGATTCTGAAAACAAAGAACCCAAAAAATTTCTCTACAGATTTCCTTAGTAAAAGTTTGGAATGATAATTGAAATCATTGATCAAATTGTAGCGAATAATCCAGATTTTGAAAGGAGTGCAAAAGTAAAATGATGCGTTTTGGATGTAATCTTCTGCTACCAACATTTGCTTAAGGAAACAGAAAAAAAGTAACATATGAAACTATACAACTTTATCACATAAAACAATAATTTCAAAAAAGTCAGGATCTTTGTCACAAAAAATGAACTTTACATTTCTATGTACATATATTTATGTTTACATGTATTATTATGCAAATATAAAAATAACTTAAAATTAAAGTAAAATCTGTTTAATTTTTGTTGCGTGTTCCCCTTTCCCTATTTACTCTGTGTTAAAATGACATCATTTAACATTGTTTCATTTAGCACTTTGTCATCTAGGAACGCATCCCATGCTTAAGTGAGGTCTTACTGTATTAAATGGGGAGAAAAGCCCAAAAAGATTAAATTATTGAAATATTTCAAGAAATAACAATTATATTCTGCTTACTAATTAAACACAGATTTTTAAAAGTTATGCTAGTAGTGATTTTTAAGTATCACCTTACCTGTCTTGAGGCACAGCAACAGAAGAATTATTACTCTGTCGCATGCTTGTGCTCATTTGGGATCCGATCTCTTCCGACAAAGTGGCCAAGACAAATTCCGCTTCCACGCCCGGAATTTCTTGTATTTCAAATAAAATTGGCCTAAACAAATAAAAAGTAACAATGGTAAATCAGTATGGAGATTAAAAAAATTTATATCATTATTACATACAGTATTTTAATTATGTTACACAAAAAATGAATTTGAAATTATTTTATTACATCCCGAAATTTATATGAATCAGATTGTCATTTGATCAAATGATGATTATTATTATTGTTCCAGACATTAATTTCAGAAAGATATATTAATATAATATGTGAGGGATGAACAGACCCCCCATTAAAGTGTTATTTTAAATTTTAATTATTGGGAAATTCAATCATCAAACTTCGAGCGTTTTATCAAGTTAGGCTAAAAGCCATAAAAATTATTTCCCACGGAGTTAGTTCCTTGTTGAGGAGGATCCAGCTAGTCAGTGATGTGTCACCCGAACTTTCAATAGAGTGCCCATATTGGACGCCAGACCATTTACAACAACCACCTGACCTTATGGAAAAAACCCAAGAGGAATAACATGAGAAAATGGAAAAAACACCCGAGGTCAGTCGTCTTCCAACGTCTGTCCACAAAAGTCGTCCTCCCAGATTAATACCGTGACCAAGACTCCAGGATTAATTCCGTGCCTCTTTAAGGATATCATCCTGACTTTTGGCCTCCTGTTAACGGACAAGATCCGGAATCATTCTATCGAACATTCTATCGGCGTCAACAGTGTCATCTGACCACAGATCTTCGACCCAAAAGAAAGGTATTTATCAACCTGCGATTCGTTTGTAAACTCTCTCTCTCGAACAGCTTAGTATAATTAGGGGCTATGACAGAAATCGAATATATCTGTATTTTCTTTAGTACTAAGTAAAATTGTTATTTATTTGTTACTATGGAGTCTGAGTGAGTCACTTCCTCGTCTCTCTCCTCACCTCTACTCCGAATCCAATCGCTCACCTGCTACCGCTCACGTGACGTAACGTCGCAATTTCCGAGTCCTGCAAGACTCGGTGGTGTCAGATTTAGGTCTCCTGACGTGGTGTCAAAGAGTCACCGACCCTACGGTCACACATATATAAAATTTATTTCATCTGTTAATTTATCACACTAAAATGACTAAAATGATTACTACAAGACTCACCAGATACAGAGTAGTTCATTTTAATCAATCCACTGGAATAACTAAAAATATGCATCCCACAAAAAGTTCAGAGCAAAAAATGTTAGACTTTAACTCTAAGCTCTAACGTTCTCTTCCTATGTATCTGGAGACGAAATTATCATCATCTCCCATGCTACAAAGGGAATTTGTATAGCAAAACCAGTCAATTCCTAAAAATTCTATTTCCTTAAACTAAAACACACAGCAAACATGTTCCATACCAGTGAAATTAGCCATTTTCAAATGCACAGAATTCAATACTACAGCTCTATGTGCTTTGCTATAAATCAATGCCTCAACCAATGCTTTGAATGTTATAAAATCTTTTTTGAATAACCCTGTATTATAATATGGATTTGTTCTGATCACAAGGAATGTCACCTTTTAGATTGATTGAAACTTAATTACTTAAAGTTTCCATCGATATTGTACCTCAGTAGCAGTATTCACAGTACTGGTACTGAGTGCCAACAAGCCTATGTTCAATTTTACCATTATAGGAAAATTATGGTAACCAATATGAATGATATTTAAATCCAAATTGTCTTACATAAGGGAGCTAGACTGGATTTGATAATGTTTTTAGTCAACAAAAAATGCACTTGTGGATTATGTGCCACTACATATTATGGGCAGGAAATAATAGTAATTCTTCCTCTACTGGTGAAAGTGGATACAGCAGTGCAACAGCATAAAACCTTTGACCAAGTGAGGACCCAAAAATCCTAATTATTTATAATCTGCATAAAGATGTTAGAATTTATTCCAGACATTTGCCCATTATTTGAATTTAAAACTATACAGAAATTATTATTTATAACATCTCATTATTAAAATACTTCATAATTGCATTATTATATTGATATATAATCAATAATTAGCCAACTTAATTTAATTAAATCATTAGAATCCATTATCTAGCAACTCTTCTTTCAGCTTTTAATGTTAATAAAATGTCAAGTGTGGGAAAAAGCAAGTACTGTGTATCTATATGCCATTTTTAATAATTTAAGTTTTTTAATTATTTTGCCCATACGTCGGTAAAATTAACACTTTTCTCTTATGCTTAAATGACTCAAATATATTGATTGTTTTAGTAATTAAAATGAATATTTTAAATCTTTTAAAATATTTTAAAATGAATATTTTAAAAATTTTTATATTTTATATTTATATTATTTTCAAAGACTTACACTCCAGAGGCTTGAATGCATATTAAAATAGGTACACTACAAGATTCAGCAAAATTTACAACAGCCTATAAAAAAAAAAACATAAAATTACACATTTCGTTTTGTAAATTATCATCTTAAACAAATTTATAAAATTTTATATTAAATGTCTTATAAATTTTTGTCACATTTATTTCAAATTATTTTAGAAATTTAAATTTTAATAATGAAAATAGCAAGATCTACATGTCATTCTATCTTTAGATGAACATGTTTATTTTCTGTTAGGATACAATGCTGTAATAATACATAGAATCTAACAAGTTTAATTTGAAAAATACATTATGTTTTGGAATAAACTACATGAAATACACAGTAGAAAATAGAATAGAGTTTCATAACAGAGTTTGATAGCTTTTGAATTGGAGAGTTATATCAAGAATGTCAGAAGCTTAAGCTAGGAGTAGAATAATGAAGTGTCATGCTAATTGGAAAAAACTGTAGATTCTTAATTGTAGTCAGACAACCCTCAAAATAGAGAAAATCTGTAGAATGAAATTTCAGAAAACCAATTGACAAAATTTAGGAACATCTGAGAACCTTCAGAGTGGTCAGCAAAGTTCAAACAGGCTAAGGACATAGTGACTAGAATAAGAAGTTATATCTTAATAGTAAGATAACAATCAGTATATGTCTCAAACAGAGGATGGATTGAATGAAATAGTATTCCAAAATATGTTGTGTTACCTGGCTCTCCTCCAGAAGCAGTGTTATTTGTGACCTTGTGAACTTTATGTTGATGTTTGCTCTGATAAGAATTTATATAACTGTATTTAAAACGCATTTACTGTTTTTATACAATTGTATAAATCAGAAAAGAACCTATGTCCTTAAGACCAAAAATAAAAAAAAAACATAGACAGCTAATCAGGAGAATATAAATTTAACTGTTTCTCTTTTGTAAAATGAGTCAGCTTCAACCTTATTTGTTCAAAAATTCACTAGAATAATAAAAAAAAGGACATCTTCATAATTTGTCCTTTTCGCACACCTTAGGAACACAAAGTCACATGGAACAGGCGATTTTATTTTGCGATCCTTTTCTGTCTCACTATGTAAAACTTGTTAAAATAATTTCTCTGACAGTGGCAGTGTGAAAAGGAGATATTATGAAAATGTTATTCTGATTTTTTTGGAATGTTTCTCCTATATGAGAGAACTTTCAACCATATATTTGCTCTGAATTTTTTAAAATAAATTATAAATACAGTATATCTAATTTATTGTTAAAACACAAAATATGTAGAAAATATTTTATTAGTAGATTTACAATAAATATTATGAAGGTGAAATAATCTTATATTGTGTTTAATTCAAAAAGATCTTTTCAAAACTTTTCTACTTTACTCAGTATTTAAATAAATATATTAACTAAAAAATCTATAACAATATATTCTAAATAGCCAACAGTAATAATACATTAACATTTGACTAAAATAATAATTTCTAGATAAGCCTGCAAACTTAATAAATATCTGTTAAAAATTATTTATAACTTAGTACATATTTTTTTAATGAAATCATATGGAAGAGAATGAGGTAATGAGAAAGAAGATAAAAAAAAGAAGAGAGAAAGTTCCAGTAGGGTACCAAATGCTTAGGGTAAATGAGCTTGTTCATACATTAAAAAGAAATACTTAGTTTAAAAAAAATGAAATACATCCAATTCTGTTTTTACAGTATATAATTCCTGAAAAATCCATGTAAAAAGAGATATTGTCCATATGGAAAAATAAAAAGTTGGTTTCTTAAAAACAAGTAATCATGTGATAAGACAATTAATATGATATGACATATTTAAACAATATATTTCAATTTTAATTAATAACTCAGAGAATGACAACTGTAACTTATCAGCAAAATTTAATAAACTTATATTATTGCACAGATTTTATTTTATTTTTTATTTGACTTTTTCAATTAAACATCAAAATACCTCTAACTTTTAACATAAAATGGCATACAAAAACAATTCCTCATAAATAAAAAAAAAAAATGCAATTGCGCAAACAAATTGTCAAACTTCAAATTAAATTTTTTCTGACTGCTTCAATTGTGAGATAAAGTTGGAATTAAAGATTGAATGCCATTACTTGCATTCGGGTTGTAAAATACAGCCAAAACTTAATTGATGAGGCATTAAGGCATCAACCACTGCTCTGGGGAACTCAAGATTGAACTAGGCAGCTGAAAAATTCCAGGAATTTTTTGGGGGACAATCTATCCCATACCAGTCTATCTCCATTGTTTTCCCAACAATGGTTATGATTAAAAGGTTTCTTGGTTCAAAAAAATCTTTTTTTTATAAAAAAAACGCAATATTTTACGAACAAAGTATGACTATTTTTTATTAGGATTAAAATCAAATGAAGATTTTAAAAATAAAAATTTATTGAAACTTGTTAAGTTAAAGCAAATTATATAAAAAATAAATTGAATTTTTTCCCAGCCTATTTTAAATCAAAATCATGTAAAAAAAAAAAGCTGTGTAAACAAAATTGGGTGTAGGATGTCATTTTTATCTGTAAATATTTACATCTAAAATATATGAATAATACATGCTTACACAAACATATTAATTTCCATTAAATTCAACATCACACAAATAATAATAAGAATAAAGATTCCTTAGGATTCCAATCAAGCTATGTGCAGTTGGATGTAATGGAAATTAATGTGTCCTTGTGAGCACAAGTAATTGCCAATTCCCTTATAAAGTGAATACATGAAAAATACCAAATTCACCCTTAATTCTTTAAGACAAAATGTGACTATTATTTCTGTTTCTAACTGATACAGTTCAAATTCTTCTTTCTCTAGAGACAGCTCAGTATGAATTACTTGGTTGGGATCTATAAAAAAGTAAAAATATAAAATTGGTATATTAGTTAAATTAAATTTTAAAAATATAGTAGTTTTTGTTATATTTCTTCACACTATTAAATATATTGTTCCTGTTTTGTGATTCCAATTCAGAAAATACTATATAACAGGGATGGCCACCGAGTCTATCACGATCGACTGATTGATCAATGAATTATTTTTGGTTAACTGCAGAAAATATGGCCTGTTAAAACACAAAAAATATGATAAATTTCAAAAGAAATATTAAATCCATATTTTTTTACTGAGAAATCTCTTAACTATTTGCTATAGATTAGTAATTCTCCATAAGATAATGTGTGATGGATACAAAGAAGTGTTCTTTGTGTTGATGGTCTCTGTACTTTTATAGAACAGAGTTGTGATTAGATTGTTAGTATTTTTAACCCATGAAAGCTGTCACACTCCACTATAAGTTGTCCAAGATCGCTATGCAATGAATATTTGTGCAATTTACATTATAAATTACCATAAAAACTAATTTTAAGCATTTATAAAAATGCTACACAATTACTAAAAGTCATTTTACTTGTAGTATTTTTTTAAACATTAAAATATATTAATTAAATTAAAAATAACACTAGACTGACAATCAATATAAGTTACATAATCAAAATCAATTTAAAAAAGAAAAATACAAATATTTAGTTTAATTATGCAACAAAGAAAAATAAATGCAAGATTAATATTTTGAAATAAAATTAATACTGTCAAACAAAAAATTCTACTAAAAAGAATACAATGACAATAACATGAATTTTACAGACGACAACAACAATAATGTAACACTTGTTTGGGTAGCTATGTCTTAACTTTAGTCTGGCATAGCACTTGGAACCAGTATCAGCTGAGAATGACATTTGCAAAAATAAAAAATAAAAATGATGATGATGATAAATGTCAAGAAAAATAAAAGTTTGATATAAAATTCTAACTATTGTGCATGTTTTTATACTAACAGAAACATGCACAATAACCTGATTCAGTTATTATTGCCAAACAATCTGTCATATCAAGGGGAGGAGAAGTTAGTTTGCAGCAAGTATCATTTATTGTCAGAGTAATAAAAATATTACCATGTTGCAAAATTTGCACTATTTAGTGGAAATTCTTGGATGCCCATCAAACTGTCATCCATGCTTGGAGTCTGATATTGCAATGGAAATTTTACTTTGTTGCAAAGTTGAAACTAAAATTATACATTTTTCCTAACTTTTTCCTGTGAGCAAAATTCCCTGAGATTTTCTGATTTCCCAAATCACTGTCCACTCTGCATTTACATATCTAATTATCCTAAATATTGTTATTTGATTAACATGCAAATCATCTCCTATACAGGATTAAAAACTGTAATTAATAAAATTTAAACATAAAACATAAATATCCATTAGAACAACTGTGCTCTCTTAGTACATCTTTATATATACAATTGATGCTCCTTGATTAAAAAAAAGAAATTACTTTTAATTTCAAATTTTAAATCAATAATATCTAATAAATGTACAAACTATTATATCATTGACGACTAGATGAATGTAACTGATAGATTTAGCATGAATGTTTATTCTTGTCAATGACTCTAGGCTAAGTTTCATCAATCATCTTGAAATGATTTTATGACAATTAAGGTGTTGTTATTCATAACATGTTTTATGAATACATTTGAACATCATTATACTTTATAACAACAAAATATCATCATTATTTTAGTAACAATATGTTCATAAATCCATCTCTAAACACAGGGTGAGCACAAAAACACTCCTTGATTTCAAGTAGTTATAAAATCAAAACTTATTTGAATACATTTATAAACATTGTAGCCACAGATACATTAACTCAAAAAATTCTTGTCTGAAAATTTCTCAACGTGCACCTGCCAAACAGATGAACTGACCATACTGGACAAAATGACCAGGTGTTCTGCAAGTGACCTGAGTTCACCAGACCTAACTGTGTCCTTTTCCTTGGGAATGCGTGAAGGACAAAATGTATGTACTGTATCTACACTGTCTATAACTCTAGATGATCTGCAGGAACACATAACTAAAAACACAAAACTTCCAACTTTTCTTGGAACATTCAACAATATTGTCCTACAAACTTTATATAGAAATGAATCTTTAACCTGTATGTTATATATTAATCAGATTTTTAAAATACAAATGAGTCAAATTTACTAGCATGGAACTAACTTGAAAGTGCCACCTCAACAAAAATTCAGTTGAGATATTTTCATTAACTATACATATCATATTATTGATGATAGTATCTAAAGTATGAGTTTCAGTTGAGAACACGAGCAACTCAATTAAGTTAGTTTTTTGAAAACATATTCCATATATATCATTTTTGATGAAAAAGTTAATATATATTTAAAATTATTATTTTAAACAAAGCAAAATTTCACTAGCTGATATACCCAAAAAATGTTTATGTTTTCTTGAAAAACATCAAACAGTTTAAAAAAGTTTGTACCATTGTTAGTTGGTGATTATATACACTGGATATTTGCTTTGTTGTAGTGTCAATAAATTTGTCATTTTTCTTTTGATCCTCTCTTAATAAAATAAATTTTGTTTTATTTACATAACTCTGCACACATTTATTCCACCATATTTTACAGAAGATATTTGCAAATATTAAATAATCTCTCTCAAACAAAAAAAATAATTGTTAGTAGTGCAATCTGTAACAAAACAATTTCAAGTGATGTAGAGTGAAACCTGGTTCACCCAAACATGGATAACTTGAAGTAATCTTTCTCTAATCATCTAGCATAGGGATTTGTGTGTTAAATCAAACTGATTAACTCAAATTCATCAAACTGTTTAACTTCAATGGGAATTTTGACACAGTATTTTCATAAACTCTCTAGAATTTTAATTTTCTGTTAAGTAAAATAATTAATGTCATATATCAAATAAACTAATCAGAAACTTTATAGCACAGGAACCGTGCACGACTAAAATAAATATTATGTCATATGACAGCAGGAGGGGTATGGTAGCTTCCAGCAGCACGTGTAACCTACATATTGTGAATGCCATTCAAACTTGCTTTTTTCTAAACGTTTTTCTTTTGTTTTATTTGATTGCTGATGGATTTCTCTGATTAGCTGACCTAATAAGTAAATAAATTTTGAATAAATTAATTTTTAAAAAAGCAATTACTATCTGATTCTTTATAAAAATTTTAACATTTGCAGCAAAATTTTAAAAACATAACAATTGTAAAGAATAGTATGTTTGTGATAAAAAATAATAATAAACAAATTGATTCTCAGTTAAAATATCACAATTTAAAAAAAATCCTTACCAAACACTTAAGAGTGAATGAATCAACCATTCAGGAAAGCATTTCTCAGTAACCTACTTAACCACTTGGTTAACAATTTCGTGTTTCTGGACAACAGTGATAAGTTTGAATTTTTTTCCATCAATTAATTCAAGTTAACCAGGTTCCACTGTATTTCAAGAGGCTAAAATTATATTTCAAAGAAACATTGAAAGTAGATGGCAAATAATAAGATTTTTTAAATACTTTCAAAATATTCACACATTAGTAGATTTCACATTGGAAGCAATGAAATAAATTACTGGCAGTGGCGGCCTTAGGGGGTGGCGAGCAGGGCAATCGCCCGGGGCCTCGCTCTTGGAGGGGCCTCGCGCAACAACCAAGTAGAAAAAAGTTGATATTTAAAACTTTTTATTTTATCCTTGGCTATTAGTTATAACAATAAAATAAATTTAATTTATAGTACAGTATATATTAATATTAATAAGTGCCTACTATTTCAATTCACATACTTTGCACAAAGGACAAGGGCCTCGCAAAGATCTGCCGCCCAGAGCCTCGTAATGGATAAGGCCGCCGCTGATTACTGGTATTCTTATTACCAGTTAAATGATAACAACACAACTCTCAACCAATTTTAGCCATTGCACATTATTATAATAATAAATTTTATTTCCAAAGAAAATTTTCCCTATTAAGGGGGAATACAATTTCACAATAACAATTGTTATTTTGATTTACATGATTATTAGACATAATGCATATAAGTGTAATAATTATAAAATAACATGAGCAAGACCACTTAGGTAACAATAACATTATTTGGTGAATTTAGACAATATAAACATAAAGTAACTCAATGATACATTATTAAGGATTTAAAACAATGATGAAAATCAAATAATTAAATGTTACAGACTATTTTTTCAATGTATTTAACAAAAAAATTACAAATTCTATAAGCATCTTTTCTGTTGATATCATTTAAGTTATTTTTGAAGTCTAGAGATGAACCACTGTTACATATATTTATTATACTGTATTGTTTATGCAGATTATTTAGAGGTTGGCAATTTTGGAAAAGATGGAGTACAGAAAAATCTTCGGATTGACATAATTGGCAACAAGTATTTGAGAGATTTATGTAAGTTTTATTAATGAACAGCGAATATTTATTGAGTCGTAACTGAATAATAATTCGTTTAACATTTAGATCTATTGGTAACCACATATAACGTTGAAAAGAGGGAATGTTAAGAATATTCCCTCTTTTCAACCAGGGGTGGTAGTTGCTTTGATTTAGAGAAAGCTGATCTTTGTTAATTGACTGCGATATAGCAGAGCTTATTAAAAGGGAATATCTGCATTTCCAGTCTTAAATTGAGTTTGTAAAAAATAGTTCTGATACTTCAAATTTTATATTGCCATAACTGCTTATTATTGTCATTTTTGCTTTGCTTTATCATTTCTTGATGTAAAAATCTAATATTATCATCACTTTTATATTTGAGTCTGTAATAGAATTTTGCATTGCACATTATTATAATAATAAATTTTATTTCCAAAGAAAATTTTCCCTATTAAGGGGGAATACAATTTCACAATAACAATTGTTATTTTGATTTACATGATTATTAGACATAATGCATATAAGTGTAATAATTATAAAATAACATGAGCAAGACCACTTAGGTAACAATAACATTATTTGGTGAATTTAGACAATATAAACATAAAGTAACTCAATGATACATTATTAAGGATTTAAAACAATGNCCTCAACCAATGCTTTGAATGTTATAAAATCTTTTTTGAATAACCCTGTATTATAATATGGATTTGTTCTGATCACAAGGAATGTCACCTTTTAGATTGATTGAAACTTAATTACTTAAAGTTTCCATCGATATTGTACCTCAGTAGCAGTATTCACAGTACTGGTACTGAGTGCCAACAAGCCTATGTTCAATTTTACCATTATAGGAAAATTATGGTAACCAATATGAATGATATTTAAATCCAAATTGTCTTACATAAGGGAGCTAGACTGGATTTGATAATGTTTTTAGTCAACAAAAAATGCACTTGTGGATTATGTGCCACTACATATTATGGGCAGGAAATAATAGTAATTCTTCCTCTACTGGTGAAAGTGGATACAGCAGTGCAACAGCATAAAACCTTTGACCAAGTGAGGACCCAAAAATCCTAATTATTTATAATCTGCATAAAGATGTTAGAATTTATTCCAGACATTTGCCCATTATTTGAATTTAAAACTATACAGAAATTATTATTTATAACATCTCATTATTAAAATACTTCATAATTGCATTATTATATTGATATATAATCAATAATTAGCCAACTTAATTTAATTAAATCATTAGAATCCATTATCTAGCAACTCTTCTTTCAGCTTTTAATGTTAATAAAATGTCAAGTGTGGGAAAAAGCAAGTACTGTGTATCTATATGCCATTTTTAATAATTTAAGTTTTTTAATTATTTTGCCCATACGTCGGTAAAATTAACACTTTTCTCTTATGCTTAAATGACTCAAATATATTGATTGTTTTAGTAATTAAAATGAATATTTTAAATCTTTTAAAATATTTTAAAATGAATATTTTAAAAATTTTTATATTTTATATTTATATTATTTTCAAAGACTTACACTCCAGAGGCTTGAATGCATATTAAAATAGGTACACTACAAGATTCAGCAAAATTTACAACAGCCTATAAAAAAAAAACATAAAATTACACATTTCGTTTTGTAAATTATCATCTTAAACAAATTTATAAAATTTTATATTAAATGTCTTATAAATTTTTGTCACATTTATTTCAAATTATTTTAGAAATTTAAATTTTAATAATGAAAATAGCAAGATCTACATGTCATTCTATCTTTAGATGAACATGTTTATTTTCTGTTAGGATACAATGCTGTAATAATACATAGAATCTAACAAGTTTAATTTGAAAAATACATTATGTTTTGGAATAAACTACATGAAATACACAGTAGAAAATAGAATAGAGTTTCATAACAGAGTTTGATAGCTTTTGAATTGGAGAGTTATATCAAGAATGTCAGAAGCTTAAGCTAGGAGTAGAATAATGAAGTGTCATGCTAATTGGAAAAAACTGTAGATTCTTAATTGTAGTCAGACAACCCTCAAAATAGAGAAAATCTGTAGAATGAAATTTCAGAAAACCAATTGACAAAATTTAGGAACATCTGAGAACCTTCAGAGTGGTCACCAAAGTTCAAACAGGCTAAGGACATAGTGACTAGAATAAGAAGTTATATCTTAATAGTAAGATAACAATCAGTATATGTCTCAAACAGAGGATGGATTGAATGAAATAGTATTCCAAAATATGTTGTGTTACCTGGCTCTCCTCCAGAAGCAGTGTTATTTGTGACCTTGTGAACTTTATGTTGATGTTTGCTCTGATAAGAATTTATATAACTGTATTTAAAACGCATTTACTGTTTTTATACAATTGTATAAATCAGAAAAGAACCTATGTCCTTAAGACCAAAAATAAAAAAAAAACATAGACAGCTAATCAGGAGAATATAAATTTAACTGTTTCTCTTTTGTAAAATGAGTCAGCTTCAACCTTATTTGTTCAAAAATTCACTAGAATAATAAAAAAAAAGGACATCTTCATAATTTGTCCTTTTCGCACACCTTAGGAACACAAAGTCACATGGAACAGGCGATTTTATTTTGCGATCCTTTTCTGTCTCACTATGTAAAACTTGTTAAAATAATTTCTCTGACAGTGGCAGTGTGAAAAGGAGATATTATGAAAATGTTATTCTGATTTTTTTGGAATGTTTCTCCTATATGAGAGAACTTTCAACCATATATTTGCTCTGAATTTTTTAAAATAAATTATAAATACAGTATATCTAATTTATTGTTAAAACACAAAATATGTAGAAAATATTTTATTAGTAGATTTACAATAAATATTATGAAGGTGAAATAATCTTATATTGTGTTTAATTCAAAAAGATCTTTTCAAAACTTTTCTACTTTACTCAGTATTTAAATAAATATATTAACTAAAAAATCTATAACAATATATTCTAAATAGCCAACAGTAATAATACATTAACATTTGACTAAAATAATAATTTCTAGATAAGCCTGCAAACTTAATAAATATCTGTTAAAAATTATTTATAACTTAGTACATATTTTTTTAATGAAATCATATGGAAGAGAATGAGGTAATGAGAAAGAAGATAAAAAAAAGAAGAGAGAAAGTTCCAGTAGGGTACCAAATGCTTAGGGTAAATGAGCTTGTTCATACATTAAAAAGAAATACTTAGTTTAAAAAAAATGAAATACATCCAATTCTGTTTTTACAGTATATAATTCCTGAAAAATCCATGTAAAAAGAGATATTGTCCATATGGAAAAATAAAAAGTTGGTTTCTTAAAAACAAGTAATCATGTGATAAGACAATTAATATGATATGACATATTTAAACAATATATTTCAATTTTAATTAATAACTCAGAGAATGACAACTGTAACTTATCAGCAAAATTTAATAAACTTATATTATTGCACAGATTTTATTTTATTTTTTATTTGACTTTTTCAATTAAACATCAAAATACCTCTAACTTTTAACATAAAATGGCATACAAAAACAATTCCTCATAAATAAAAAAAAAAAATGCAATTGCGCAAACAAATTGTCAAACTTCAAATTAAATTTTTTCTGACTGCTTCAATTGTGAAATAAAGTTGGAATTAAAGATTGAATGCCATTACTTGCATTCGGGTTGTAAAATACAGCCAAAACTTAATTGATGAGGCATTAAGGCATCAACCACTGCTCTGGGGAACTCAAGATTGAACTAGGCAGCTGAAAAATTCCAGGAATTTTTTGGGGGACAATCTATCCCATACCAGTCTATCTCCATTGTTTTCCCAACAAAGATTATGATTAAAAGATTTCTTGGTTCAAAAAAATCTTTTTTTTAAAAAAAAAGCAATATTTTACGAACAAAGTATGACTATTTTTTTTTAGGATTAAAATCAAATGAAGATTTTAAAAGGAAAAATTTATTGAAACTTGTTAAGTTAAAGCAAATTATATAAAAAATAAATTGAATTTTTTCCCAGTCTATTTTAAATCAAAATCTTGTAAAAAAAAAAAGCTGTGTAAACAAAATTGGGTGTAGGATGTCATTTTTATCAGTAAATATTTACATCTAAAATATATGAATAATACATGCTTACACAAACATATTAATTTCCATTAAATTCAACATCACACAAATAATAATAAGAATAAAGATTCCTTAGGATTCCAATCAAGCTATGTGCAGTTGGATGTAATGGAAATTAATGTGTCCTTGTGAGCACAAGTAATTGCCAATTCCCTTATAAAGTGAATACATGAAAAATACCAAATTCACCCTTAATTCTTTAAGACAAAATGTGACTATTATTTCTGTTTCTAACTGATACAGTTCAAATTCTTCTTTCTCTAGAGACAGCTCAGTATGAATTACTTGGTTGGGATCTATAAAAAAGTAAAAATATAAAATTGGTATATTAGTTAAATTAAATTTTAAAAATATAGTAGTTTTTGTTATATTTCTTCACACTATTAAATATATTGTTCCTGTTTTGTGATTCCAATTCAGAAAATACTATATAACAGGGATGGCCACCGAGTCTATCACGATCGACTGATTGATCAATGAATTATTTTTGGTTAACTGCAGAAAATATGGCCTGTTAAAACACAAAAAATATGATAAATTTCAAAAGAAATATTAAATCCATATTTTTTTACTGAGAAATCTCTTAACTATTTGCTATAGATTAGTAATTCTCCATAAGATAATGTGTGATGGATACAAAGAAGTGTTCTTTGTGTTGATGGTCTCTGTACTTTTATAGAACAGAGTTGTGATTAGATTGTTAGTATTTTTAACCCATGAAAGCTGTCACACTCCACTATAAGTTGTCCAAGATCGCTATGCAATGAATATTTGTGCAATTTACATTATAAATTACCATAAAAACTAATTTTAAGCATTTATAAAAATGCTACACAATTACTAAAAGTCATTTTACTTGTAGTATTTTTTTAAACATTAAAATATATTAATTAAATTAAAAATAACACTAGACTGACAATCAATATAAGTTACATAATCAAAATCAATTTAAAAAAGAAAAATACAAATATTTAGTTTAATTATGCAACAAAGAAAAATAAATGCAAGATTAATATTTTGAAATAAAATTAATACTGTCAAACAAAAAATTCTACTAAAAAGAATACAATGACAATAACATGAATTTTACAGACGACAACAACAATAATGTAACACTTGTTTGGGTAGCTATGTCTTAACTTTAGTCTGGCATAGCACTTGGAACCAGTATCAGCTGAGAATGACATTTGCAAAAATAAAAAATAAAAATGATGATGATGATAAATGTCAAGAAAAATAAAAGTTTGATATAAAATTCTAACTATTGTGCATGTTTTTATACTAACAGAAACATGCACAATAACCTGATTCAGTTATTATTGCCAAACAATCTGTCATATCAAGGGGAGGAGAAGTTAGTTTGCAGCAAGTATCATTTATTGTCAGAGTAATAAAAATATTACCATGTTGCAAAATTTGCACTATTTAGTGGAAATTCTTGGATGCCCATCAAACTGTCATCCATGCTTGGAGTCTGATATTGCAATGGAAATTTTACTTTGTTGCAAAGTTGAAACTAAAATTATACATTTTTCCTAACTTTTTCCTGTGAGCAAAATTCCCTGAGATTTTCTGATTTCCCAAATCACTGTCCACTCTGCATTTACATATCTAATTATCCTAAATATTGTTATTTGATTAACATGCAAATCATCTCCTATACAGGATTAAAAACTGTAATTAATAAAATTTAAACATAAAACATAAATATCCATTAGAACAACTGTGCTCTCTTAGTACATCTTTATATATACAATTGATGCTCCTTGATTAAAAAAAAGAAATTACTTTTAATTTCAAATTTTAAATCAATAATATCTAATAAATGTACAAACTATTATATCATTGACGACTAGATGAATGTAACTGATAGATTTAGCATGAATGTTTATTCTTGTCAATGACTCTAGGCTAAGTTTCATCAATCATCTTGAAATGATTTTATGACAATTAAGGTGTTGTTATTCATAACATGTTTTATGAATACATTTGAACATCATTATACTTTATAACAACAAAATATCATCATTATTTTAGTAACAATATGTTCATAAATCCATCTCTAAACACAGGGTGAGCACAAAAACACTCCTTGATTTCAAGTAGTTATAAAATCAAAACTTATTTGAATACATTTATAAACATTGTAGCCACAGATACATTAACTCAAAAAATTCTTGTCTGAAAATTTCTCAACGTGCACCTGCCAAACAGATGAACTGACCATACTGGACAAAATGACCAGGTGTTCTGCAAGTGACCTGAGTTCACCAGACCTAACTGTGTCCTTTTCCTTGGGAATGCGTGAAGGACAAAATGTATGTACTGTATCTACACTGTCTATAACTCTAGATGATCTGCAGGAACACATAACTAAAAACACAAAACTTCCAACTTTTCTTGGAACATTCAACAATATTGTCCTACAAACTTTATATAGAAATGAATCTTTAACCTGTATGTTATATATTAATCAGATTTTTAAAATACAAATGAGTCAAATTTACTAGCATGGAACTAACTTGAAAGTGCCACCTCAACAAAAATTCAGTTGAGATATTTTCATTAACTATACATATCATATTATTGATGATAGTATCTAAAGTATGAGTTTCAGTTGAGAACACGAGCAACTCAATTAAGTTAGTTTTTTGAAAACATATTCCATATATATCATTTTTGATGAAAAAGTTAATATATATTTAAAATTATTATTTTAAACAAAGCAAAATTTCACTAGCTGATATACCCAAAAAATGTTTATGTTTTCTTGAAAAACATCAAACAGTTTAAAAAAGTTTGTACCATTGTTAGTTGGTGATTATATACACTGGATATTTGCTTTGTTGTAGTGTCAATAAATTTGTCATTTTTCTTTTGATCCTCTCTTAATAAAATAAATTTTGTTTTATTTACATAACTCTGCACACATTTATTCCACCATATTTTACAGAAGATATTTGCAAATATTAAATAATCTCTCTCAAACAAAAAAAATAATTGTTAGTAGTGCAATCTGTAACAAAACAATTTCAAGTGATGTAGAGTGAAACCTGGTTCACCCAAACATGGATAACTTGAAGTAATCTTTCTCTAATCATCTAGCATAGGGATTTGTGTGTTAAATCAAACTGATTAACTCAAATTCATCAAACTGTTTAACTTCAATGGGAATTTTGACACAGTATTTTCATAAACTCTCTAGAATTTTAATTTTCTGTTAAGTAAAATAATTAATGTCATATATCAAATAAACTAATCAGAAACTTTATAGCACAGGAACCGTGCACGACTAAAATAAATATTATGTCATATGACAGCAGGAGGGGTATGGTAGCTTCCAGCAGCACGTGTAACCTACATATTGTGAATGCCATTCAAACTTGCTTTTTTCTAAACGTTTTTCTTTTGTTTTATTTGATTGCTGATGGATTTCTCTGATTAGCTGACCTAATAAGTAAATAAATTTTGAATAAATTAATTTTTAAAAAAGCAATTACTATCTGATTCTTTATAAAAATTTTAACATTTGCAGCAAAATTTTAAAAACATAACAATTGTAAAGAATAGTATGTTTGTGATAAAAAATAATAATAAACAAATTGATTCTCAGTTAAAATATCACAATTTAAAAAAAATCCTTACCAAACACTTAAGAGTGAATGAATCAACCATTCAGGAAAGCATTTCTCAGTAACCTACTTAACCACTTGGTTAACAATTTCGTGTTTCTGGACAACAGTGATAAGTTTGAATTTTTTTCCATCAATTAATTCAAGTTAACCAGGTTCCACTGTATTTCAAGAGGCTAAAATTATATTTCAAAGAAACATTGAAAGTAGATGGCAAATAATAAGATTTTTTAAATACTTTCAAAATATTCACACATTAGTAGATTTCACATTGGAAGCAATGAAATAAATTACTGGCAGTGGCGGCCTTAGGGGGTGGCGAGCAGGGCAATCGCCCGGGGCCTCGCTCTTGGAGGGGCCTCGCGCAACAACCAAGTAGAAAAAAGTTGATATTTAAAACTTTTTATTTTATCCTTGGCTATTAGTTATAACAATAAAATAAATTTAATTTATAGTACAGTATATATTAATATTAATAAGTGCCTACTATTTCAATTCACATACTTTGCACAAAGGACAAGGGCCTCGCAAAGATCTGCCGCCCAGAGCCTCGTAATGGATAAGGCCGCCGCTGATTACTGGTATTCTTATTACCAGTTAAATGATAACAACACAACTCTCAACCAATTTTAGCCATTGCACATTATTATAATAATAAATTTTATTTCCAAAGAAAATTTTCCCTATTAAGGGGGAATACAATTTCACAATAACAATTGTTATTTTGATTTACATGATTATTAGACATAATGCATATAAGTGTAATAATTATAAAATAACATGAGCAAGACCACTTAGGTAACAATAACATTATTTGGTGAATTTAGACAATATAAACATAAAGTAACTCAATGATACATTATTAAGGATTTAAAACAATGATGAAAATCAAATAATTAAATGTTACAGACTATTTTTTCAATGTATTTAACAAAAAAATTACAAATTCTATAAGCATCTTTTCTGTTGATATCATTTAAGTTATTTTTGAAGTCTAGAGATGAACCACTGTTACATATATTTATTATACTGTATTGTTTATGCAGATTATTTAGAGGTTGGCAATTTTGGAAAAGATGGAGTACAGAAAAATCTTCGGATTGACATAATTGGCAACAAGTATTTGAGAGATTTATGTAAGTTTTATTAATGAACAGCGAATATTTATTGAGTCGTAACTGAATAATAATTCGTTTAACATTTAGATCTATTGGTAACCACATATAACGTTGAAAAGAGGGAATGTTAAGAATATTCCCTCTTTTCAACCAGGGGTGGTAGTTGCTTTGATTTAGAGAAAGCTGATCTTTGTTAATTGACTGCGATATAGCAGAGCTTATTAAAAGGGAATATCTGCATTTCCAGTCTTAAATTGAGTTTGTAAAAAATAGTTCTGATACTCCGAATTTTATATTGCCATAACTACTTATTATTGTCGTTTTTGCTTTGCTTTATCATTTCTTGATGTAAAAATCTAATATTATCATCACTTTTATATTTGAGTCTGTAATAGAATTTTGCATTGCACATTATTATTTACATCACATGTTTTTTATAATTAAATTGTTTTATTAATTTATCTCCAAAATAAAAGTAACCAAAAGTGAAATAAATGCATTGTGAATGTTTTGATGTCAGATTGGTATGTAGGCAGAAACGTTAGATTTGTTTGCTGAAATGAACTTTTATGGCCATTCAAAAGAAATTTATGGGATTTGCAAATTTTTCTATAAAATATAATGGAACAAATTCATAGGAAAGTACTATATATAAATAAAAAACAGAAAAATTTTCTGAAAGAAGACAAAATTAAACAACACTGCAAATCCAAACACAAATGTGTCTACAAAGTCATCACATAGATAATACAAAAATAATACAACTTTTCATACAAAAATTTTGTATGAAAAGTTGTTATTTATTTAAAATTAATAAGTAATAAGATGGGATAATTGAGTGGAATGAATAAATAATTTAAGAGCAACAGAAGTTAAATCAATTATTATTAATACATTTTAACAATATTACAGTTTCAATATAAGTTATTTCTAAAAATTATATTACCTGGTTCATCATCAACATAATTTTTCATAACAACTTTTTCATTGTTCAAAATTAATGTTATTTCTTCAACAGTGGCATGAAAATTCTGAATACTTTTTAAGATCATTCTGTTAAATGAAAAGTAAAAATAAATTAATCTTTTAAACTGATTATTTTTTATTAAAAAACAACAACAAATTCTATCATCTCTCATTATCATTTACTTATTCAAAAATTAATTACTATAATTAACTTACAGTATTGTTTAATTCAATGCAATTTTACATTTTAATATAAATAAATTTTACCTAGATTGAGCCAATATTGTATTCTTGTAATCATTTTTTTCAAACGTTGCTTCTAATGCTTCATTTTCAATTAAGTGCAAATGATATGATTTAATTAAATCTAGTAATGATATATAGTTTATTAAATTCCTTTATTTAAAAAATCAATTTAATTATATTTATAATCGTTATAACTTACCATGTTTACAATAATTATTTATAATAAAATTATCGTAATTATTATTCAACTCTAGTGAACATGTGTCAATAGTTTTTTCAATCATTGTACTTGATTTAAAGGCTATAAGAAGAGACTGTAAAAATAATCATATAATTTTTGAAGGTATTAATTAAATGAATTAAATAACATATATATATATATTTAGCTACCTTAACTGGTATTTTACATTTGATATCTGTGTTGTTATTAAATGATGTAAAAAAACTTCTATCAAACTTAAAGCTAGCATAAGCTGAACGTGACGAGTTAAATGTACGTAATACAATCTGAAAAACATCAATAAAGATTTTAACTAGACTTTAAATAACTTTATATATAAAAATATTTCAAAATATTATGATTACATTTTATTAACTTCTAATTTCTTTATAGTGATATATTATTAATTTTCTGATGAGAATAAATTAATTCCATCATTAATATCAAATTAAGCAATTTTCAGAATGTTTTATTAAAATTTTTAAAGCACTGCAGCAAATCTATTATTATAAATTTTAATTTACAATATATTAAAGTAAACAATTTACTTTATTAATGACTATCATAATATTGTACAATATAAATTATAATAAAATTAGTACAATAATGTTTAAAATATTTGTAATTTATCTTGTATCTTCTCTCAAGTCTGACAAAGTCCATTTAATTTGGATGAAATTACTTGCTTAGATTAAGGATAAATTACAAACATCTGTAATTTATCTTGATGTACTATGATGTGGTCATCATCACCAGTAACAAGGATCCCAAATAAAGATCATTTTAGAACAGTGAAACTCATACTTTGAACAATTCTAACTTCAAACACTTCAGAGTTTAAATGCAAAATCTGACAAAAATTTATCTCACAGTTTGAATAATGCTTTTAAGTTCAAACTGTGCACACAGTGAAAAAATGTGCTCAAAGCAGAAATGCAATGTTGTGTGTCTAAGTCTTCTTTCACTCTTGAATTATGCTTGTATGATTTCAGTGTTTTTTTGCTCTATTTTTGGTGTGTTTGGTTATATGTACTATATTGTGTGTTATTTGTCTATTTTAAACAATTTCTTCTTGCACTTTTTCTTTGCCAACAGCTTTTGAGGGCTCCATACATTTTGCATCCTTCAATTGAAAATTTCCTGAATGGAACTTTTTAAACCACATTCAATGAGTTTGAAGTTTAGGAGCATCTTCTCCATATATATTACAATTGGTTTTACTACTTGTATGGCACTATATCCTATTCAAAACTCATAAAGCATAATATGCCTGATATGCTTTTTTATCTGAAGACATTACATCTTGATTTTATTCAAACAAAATGTGAAGTAAAGAGTTTGAGGTAAGATTCTAAACAAATGATAAAATCTCAATTATTTATAATATGTTAAATTTTACAACTGTTATATTAAATCACATATCTATGTTAAGGTGCCAAAGTCCATGGTTTGTGATTAATAAATCCAGTTTTCATTTTATTCAAGGTTCTATTGCATAGCACCAAAATTGACACTTGGCGATATTTTTTTTTATTAAAGTGGAGATAAAAATATAATATCAGCAGTAAAAACCCCAATCCATTTGTTTTGACATTTAGCATGAAATTAAATCATAAATCATACTTCTGGAAAAACAGCAAAATGTTGATCTTCTGTACAATGGGAATCCTGTGCAACACACACCTAGCGATTTCATGACGTCATGTGGCAAGTTTGGGCAGAAAAGTAAGATGTGATGTCAAGATCCGAAGGAAGTTTACTGCAATGCCGCTCAGTATTTCCAGATTGGGGGATTTTTTATTGACTGACAAAAATTTTGGGGAATTTTTTTGGATGAATTTTTTCTACTTTGATCATTTTCAGTAGATTGAAACAACATTTTTGACATGACAGAACCTGTGAAATACTGTTTATATATTGTGATGAAATATGTTATTCGGAATTCTTCATTAAACAATTATTCAAAAATGATTGCTATTGCTAATAAGGGGAGGGTCTGGTGTTTGGGTCTCCGATTCAAACAAAACTTGATGAGCACATAGCCTTAAGCACAGCTCCTTGAGCAAATAATAGGACTCACTTACCAATCATTTAAAAAAATTAAGCCTCTGAAAATTTAATTTTTAGATTATAAGTCCTTGGAAGTTCCACATCCCAGATCGATAATAACTGAGTGAATAAGACGCTAGGTACTGGACTTAGATGATGTAGGTTTGAACCTTGGAGCTTTACTTTTAGTTTACTTTTTTTAATATATAACTTTCTTATTTTATTGCATCATTATTATTATTCCTCATGTTTAAAAGCTTATAAAACAAGAGATTAAAAATTCTGACGTCATTTCCCATTTAGCAAAAACAAGCCTATGTAGATTTAACTCTTTAATGTTGTTAAATAAGACTTTTATTCTTCACATTTATTTTCACATATTTTACATACTAATGTCCTCAAAAATGAATAAGTTTTGGACATTACTGCAAATGGATGAAAAAAATAAGTGATATGAAAATAAGGTAGTGTAGTCACAGTGTTTTATTTTTTTAATTGTTAATATTATGGACAATATCCTCAGGCGCTCAAACCCAAAAAACTCCTCAAGGATACTAGTTGGTCAACACAAACCCAGTGTTCAGTGGTTAAATCCACTTAGCATATTGACAAAGTGGATCTATGTATCTCATCATAAGTTAAGAAACAAAAAGAAATATTAATTAAAGATTATATACTTACTCCATCTTTTGAAGTTTCCAAATGGATTTCATCTCCAATCCTAGAAAGGGCATGAACTGCTTTACCTAAAACTTAAAATATGAAAAAAATATTAAATTTTATTAAGTGACTTATCTAGAATACTTATCACAATACAAAATTAATCTTTTACTATAAGTAGTGATAAATTTCATTCAACAGTTTAATTAATATTAGATATATAATCTATCCTTAAAATTATTGTATTATTAGTTTAACAACTCAAACTGGATATATGTAATTAAGCACTACATAAAAACCAATATCCGACAGGAACTACAAAAATCTACAAAAGCAAATCTACATGCTAAATGGTCATTATCAGGCTAATCTGACAATGACCATTTAACATGAGCAAAAATGTGTGTTTTGTAATTTTTGTAGTTCCTGCCGGATATTGATTTTACCCTTGATCAAAGTTTTGAGAATGGTTCAATAAAATACAAGATTTAAATTTATTCATTGAAATTTATTTTGTCCCCTTCAAAGTAATCTCTTTCCACTGCAATGAACTTACGCTAACATTTTTCCAATCTTTCAAAACATGCTTTAAAGTCATTTTGTGAAACCCCTTTGGGACATGGAGAAAATTTTGTTTTATGGCAGCATCAATAGACTCAAAACAGTGACCATGATGTACAAATTTTAGTTGAGAAAACAGGAAAAAAATCACATGATGCCATATTGGGTGAATACAGAACTTGTGGAACCATATTTGTTAAATTTTTGGCCAAAAATTCATGAACAACAAGAGCATCATGAGCGGGTGCAACATCTTTGTGCAAAATCCATGTTTTCTTGCCACACATCAGATAATTTTCTACAAAACGGCTTCACACAAATGACTCAAAAACCCTCAAATAATATGCATTGTTGACAGTTTGGCCAATTGGAAGAAATTTTTGATGCATAACACCATGACAATCAAAGAAAACAGTTAACATGACCTTGATTTTTGACTGACTTTGATGTAATCTTTTTGATCTTGCTTCACCTTTCAAGCACCATTCACTTGACTGTTGAGCTATTTCAGTGTCAAAAGTATAGATTTGTGTTTTGTCACTGTAATGACAAGTTTTAAGAATGATTTGCCTCAAGAAAGCATTTCCTCAGATACTGAAACATATCATCATATTTGGAAAAATTTCAACGTTTTTGGGATGACTCGAGAAGCGATGCTCTGCAAGCCCAAATGATCTTTTCTTTAATCTTAATTAAATAAAAGTAAACTTCAAAGGCGTGCCGTGACATTTGATGATAGGGAAGCTGTGTTTCTATAAGAAGCCGACTTCCAGGGGCAATCAGTTAATTCTTTTTTTAAATGTATTTTTAATAGATTATTTATCTGACGTACCTAATAAATAAACAAGTTCAATATAATTACCTCTGTTTCAATAGGTTTCCTTTGCCCTCTAAATGCCAATTCTTGCTTTGATAAAAACATATAACATCTATTTATTTAGATATANAAAAAATTCTGCTAAAAAGAATACGATGACAATAATATGAATTTTACAGACAACAACAACAATAATAATGTAACACTTGTTTGGGTAGCTATGTCTTAACTTTAGTCTGGCATAGCACTTGGAACCAGTATCAGCTGAGAATGACATTTGCAAAAATAAAAAATAAAAAAATAATAATGATGATGATGATAAATGTCAAGAAAAATAAAAGTTTGATATAAAATTCTAACTATTGTGCATGTTTGCTATACTAACAGAAACATGCACAATAACCTGATTCAGTTATTATTGCCAAACAATCTGTCATATCAAGGGGAGGAGAAGTTAGTTTGCAGCAAGTATCATTTATTGTCAGAGTAATAAAAATATTGCCATGTTGCAAAATTTGCACTATTTAGTAGAAATCCTTGGATGCCCATCAAACCATCATCCATGCTGGAGTCTGAGATTGCAGTGGAAATTTTACTTTGTTGCAAAGTTGAAACTAAAATTATACATTTTTCCTAACTTTTCCCTGTGAGCAAAATTCCCTGAGATTTTCTGATTTCCCAAATCACTTGCCACTCTGCATTTACATATCTAATTATCCTAAATATTGTTATTTGATTAACATGCAAATCATCTCCTATACAGGATTAAAAACTGTAATTAATAAAATTTAAACATAAAACATAAATATCCATTAGAACAACTGTGCTCTCTTAGTACATCTTTATATATACAATTGATGCTCCTTGATTAAAAAAAAGAAATTACTTTTAATTTCAAATTTTAAATCAATAATATCTAATAAATGTACAAACTATTATATCATTGACGACTAGACGAATGTAACTGATAGATTTAGCATGAATGTTTATTCTTGTCAATGACTCTAGACTAAGTTTCATCAATCATCTTGAAATGATTTTATGACAATTAAGGTGTTGTTATTCATAACATGTTTTATGAATACATTTGAACATCATTATACTTTATAACAACAAAATATCATCATTATTTTAGTAACAATATGTTCATAAATCCATCTCTAAACACAGGGTGAGCACAAAAACACTCCTTGATTTCAAGTAGTTATAAAATCAAAACTTATTTGAATACATTTATAAACATTGTAGCCACAGATACATTAACTCAAAAAATTTCTTCTGTCTGAAAATTTTTCAATGTGCACCTGCCAAACAGATGAACTGGCCATACTGGCCATACTGGACAAAATGACCAGGTGTTCTGCAAGTGGCCCGAGTTCACCAGACCTGACTGTGTCCTTTTCCTTGGGAATGCGTGAAGGACAAAATGTATGTACTGTATCTACACTGTCTATAACTCTAGATGATCTGCAGGAACACATAACTAAAAACACAAAACTTCCAACTTTTCTTGGAACATTCAACAATATTGTCCTACAAACTTTATATAGAAATGAATCTTTAACCTGTATGTTATATATTAATCAGATTTTTAAAATACAAATGAGTCAAATTTACTAGCATGGAACTAACTTGAAAGTGCCACCTCAACAAAAATTCAGTTGAGATATTTTCATTAACTATACATATCATATTATTGATGATAGTATCTAAAGTATGAGTTTCAGTTGAGAACACGAGCAACTCAATTAAGTTAGTTTTTTGAAAACATATTCCATATATATCATTTTTGATGAAAAAGTTAATATATATTTAAAATTATTATTTTAAACAAAGCAAAATTTCACTAGCTGATATACCCAAAAAATGTTTATGTTTTCTTGAAAAACATCAAACAGTTTAAAAAAGTTTGTACCATTGTTAGTTGGTGATTATATACACTGGATATTTGCTTTGTTGTAGTGTCAATAAATTTGTCATTTTTCTTTTGATCCTCTCTTAATAAAATAAATTTTGTTTTATTTACATAACTCTGCACACATTTATTCCACCATATTTTACAGAAGATATTTGCAAATATTAAATAATCTCTCTCAAACAAAAAAAATAATTGTTAGTAGTGCAATCTGTAACAAAACAATTTCAAGTGATGTAGAGTGAAACCTGGTTCACCCAAACATGGATAACTTGAAGTAATCTTTCTCTAATCATCTAGCATAGGGATTTGTGTGTTAAATCAAACTGATTAACTCAAATTCATCAAACTGTTTAACTTCAATGGGAATTTTGACACAGTATTTTCATAAACTCTCTAGAATTTTAATTTTCTGTTAAGTAAAATAATTAATGTCATATATCAAATAAACTAATCAGAAACTTTATAGCACAGGAACCGTGCACGACTAAAATAAATATTATGTCATATGACAGCAGGAGGGGTATGGTAGCTTCCAGCAGCACGTGTAACCTACATATTGTGAATGCCATTCAAACTTGCTTTTTTCTAAACGTTTTTCTTTTGTTTTATTTGATTGCTGATGGATTTCTCTGATTAGCTGACCTAATAAGTAAATAAATTTTGAATAAATTAATTTTTAAAAAAGCAATTACTATCTGATTCTTTATAAAAATTTTAACATTTGCAGCAAAATTTTAAAAACATAACAATTGTAAAGAATAGTATGTTTGTGATAAAAAATAATAATAAACAAATTGATTCTCAGTTAAAATATCACAATTTAAAAAAAATCCTTACCAAACACTTAAGAGTGAATGAATCAACCATTCAGGAAAGCATTTCTCAGTAACCTACTTAACCACTTGGTTAACAATTTCGTGTTTCTGGACAACAGTGATAAGTTTGAATTTTTTTCCATCAATTAATTCAAGTTAACCAGGTTCCACTGTATTTCAAGAGGCTAAAATTATATTTCAAAGAAACATTGAAAGTAGATGGCAAATAATAAGATTTTTTAAATACTTTCAAAATATTCACACATTAGTAGATTTCACATTGGAAGCAATGAAATAAATTACTGGCAGTGGCGGCCTTAGGGGGTGGCGAGCAGGGCAATCGCCCGGGGCCTCGCTCTTGGAGGGGCCTCGCGCAACAACCAAGTAGAAAAAAGTTGATATTTAAAACTTTTTATTTTATCCTTGGCTATTAGTTATAACAATAAAATAAATTTAATTTATAGTACAGTATATATTAATATTAATAAGTGCCTACTATTTCAATTCACATACTTTGCACAAAGGACAAGGGCCTCGCAAAGATCTGCCGCCCAGAGCCTCGTAATGGATAAGGCCGCCGCTGATTACTGGTATTCTTATTACCAGTTAAATGATAACAACACAACTCTCAACCAATTTTAGCCATTGCACATTATTATAATAATAAATTTTATTTCCAAAGAAAATTTTCCCTATTAAGGGGGAATACAATTTCACAATAACAATTGTTATTTTGATTTACATGATTATTAGACATAATGCATATAAGTGTAATAATTATAAAATAACATGAGCAAGACCACTTAGGTAACAATAACATTATTTGGTGAATTTAGACAATATAAACATAAAGTAACTCAATGATACATTATTAAGGATTTAAAACAATGATGAAAATCAAATAATTAAATGTTACAGACTATTTTTTCAATGTATTTAACAAAAAAATTACAAATTCTATAAGCATCTTTTCTGTTGATATCATTTAAGTTATTTTTGAAGTCTAGAGATGAACCACTGTTACATATATTTATTATACTGTATTGTTTATGCAGATTATTTAGAGGTTGGCAATTTTGGAAAAGATGGAGTACAGAAAAATCTTCGGATTGACATAATTGGCAACAAGTATTTGAGAGATTTATGTAAGTTTTATTAATGAACAGCGAATATTTATTGAGTCGTAACTGAATAATAATTCGTTTAACATTTAGATCTATTGGTAACCACATATAACGTTGAAAAGAGGGAATGTTAAGAATATTCCCTCTTTTCAACCAGGGGTGGTAGTTGCTTTGATTTAGAGAAAGCTGATCTTTGTTAATTGACTGCGATATAGCAGAGCTTATTAAAAGGGAATATCTGCATTTCCAGTCTTAAATTGAGTTTGTAAAAAATAGTTCTGATACTCCGAATTTTATATTGCCATAACTACTTATTATTGTCGTTTTTGCTTTGCTTTATCATTTCTTGATGTAAAAATCTAATATTATCATCACTTTTATATTTGAGTCTGTAATAGAATTTTGCATTGCACATTATTATTTACATCACATGTTTTTTATAATTAAATTGTTTTATTAATTTATCTCCAAAATAAAAGTAACCAAAAGTGAAATAAATGCATTGTGAATGTTTTGATGTCAGATTGGTATGTAGGCAGAAACGTTAGATTTGTTTGCTGAAATGAACTTTTATGGCCATTCAAAAGAAATTTATGGGATTTGCAAATTTTTCTATAAAATATAATGGAACAAATTCATAGGAAAGTACTATATATAAATAAAAAACAGAAAAATTTTCTGAAAGAAGACAAAATTAAACAACACTGCAAATCCAAACACAAATGTGTCTACAAAGTCATCACATAGATAATACAAAAATAATACAACTTTTCATACAAAAATTTTGTATGAAAAGTTGTTATTTATTTAAAATTAATAAGTAATAAGATGGGATAATTGAGTGGAATGAATAAATAATTTAAGAGCAACAGAAGTTAAATCAATTATTATTAATACATTTTAACAATATTACAGTTTCAATATAAGTTATTTCTAAAAATTATATTACCTGGTTCATCATCAACATAATTTTTCATAACAACTTTTTCATTGTTCAAAATTAATGTTATTTCTTCAACAGTGGCATGAAAATTCTGAATACTTTTTAAGATCATTCTGTTAAATGAAAAGTAAAAATAAATTAATCTTTTAAACTGATTATTTTTTATTAAAAAACAACAACAAATTCTATCATCTCTCATTATCATTTACTTATTCAAAAATTAATTACTATAATTAACTTACAGTATTGTTTAATTCAATGCAATTTTACATTTTAATATAAATAAATTTTACCTAGATTGAGCCAATATTGTATTCTTGTAATCATTTTTTTCAAACGTTGCTTCTAATGCTTCATTTTCAATTAAGTGCAAATGATATGATTTAATTAAATCTAGTAATGATATATAGTTTATTAAATTCCTTTATTTAAAAAATCAATTTAATTATATTTATAATCGTTATAACTTACCATGTTTACAATAATTATTTATAATAAAATTATCGTAATTATTATTCAACTCTAGTGAACATGTGTCAATAGTTTTTTCAATCATTGTACTTGATTTAAAGGCTATAAGAAGAGACTGTAAAAATAATCATATAATTTTTGAAGGTATTAATTAAATGAATTAAATAACATATATATATATATTTAGCTACCTTAACTGGTATTTTACATTTGATATCTGTGTTGTTATTAAATGATGTAAAAAAACTTCTATCAAACTTAAAGCTAGCATAAGCTGAACGTGACGAGTTAAATGTACGTAATACAATCTGAAAAACATCAATAAAGATTTTAACTAGACTTTAAATAACTTTATATATAAAAATATTTCAAAATATTATGATTACATTTTATTAACTTCTAATTTCTTTATAGTGATATATTATTAATTTTCTGATGAGAATAAATTAATTCCATCATTAATATCAAATTAAGCAATTTTCAGAATGTTTTATTAAAATTTTTAAAGCACTGCAGCAAATCTATTATTATAAATTTTAATTTACAATATATTAAAGTAAACAATTTACTTTATTAATGACTATCATAATATTGTACAATATAAATTATAATAAAATTAGTACAATAATGTTTAAAATATTTGTAATTTATCTTGTATCTTCTCTCAAGTCTGACAAAGTCCATTTAATTTGGATGAAATTACTTGCTTAGATTAAGGATAAATTACAAACATCTGTAATTTATCTTGATGTACTATGATGTGGTCATCATCACCAGTAACAAGGATCCCAAATAAAGATCATTTTAGAACAGTGAAACTCATACTTTGAACAATTCTAACTTCAAACATTTCAGAGTTTAAATGCAAAATCTGACAAAAATTTATCTCACAGTTTGAATAATGCTTTTAAGTTCAAACTGTGCACACAGTGAAAAAATGTGCTCAAAGCAGAAATGCAATGTTGTGTGTCTAAGTCTTCTTTCACTCTTGAATTATGCTTGTATGATTTCAGTGTTTTTTTGCTCTATTTTTGGTGTGTTTGGTTATATGTACTATATTGTGTGTTATTTGTCTATTTTAAACAATTTCTTCTTGCACTTTTTCTTTGCCAACAGCTTTTGAGGGCTCCATACATTTTGCATCCTTCAATTGAAAATTTCCTGAATGGAACTTTTTAAACCACATTCAATGAGTTTGAAGTTTAGGAGCATCTTCTCCATATATATTACAATTGGTTTTACTACTTGTATGGCACTATATCCTATTCAAAACTCATAAAGCATAATATGCCTGATATGCTTTTTTATCTGAAGACATTACATCTTGATTTTATTCAAACAAAATGTGAAGTAAAGAGTTTGAGGTAAGATTCTAAACAAATGATAAAATCTCAATTATTTATAATATGTTAAATTTTACAACTGTTATATTAAATCACATATCTATGTTAAGGTGCCAAAGTCCATGGTTTGTGATTAATAAATCCAGTTTTCATTTTATTCAAGGTTCTATTGCATAGCACCAAAATTGACACTTGGCGATATTTTTTTTTATTAAAGTGGAGATAAAAATATAATATCAGCAGTAAAAACCCCAATCCATTTGTTTTGACATTTAGCATGAAATTAAATCATAAATCATACTTCTGGAAAAACAGCAAAATGTTGATCTTCTGTACAATGGGAATCCTGTGCAACACACACCTAGCGATTTCATGACGTCATGTGGCAAGTTTGGGCAGAAAAGTAAGATGTGATGTCAAGATCCGAAGGAAGTTTACTGCAATGCCGCTCAGTATTTCCAGATTGGGGGATTTTTTATTGACTGACAAAAATTTTGGGGAATTTTTTTGGATGAATTTTTTCTACTTTGATCATTTTCAGTAGATTGAAACAACATTTTTGACATGACAGAACCTGTGAAATACTGTTTATATATTGTGATGAAATATGTTATTCGGAATTCTTCATTAAACAATTATTCAAAAATGATTGCTATTGCTAATAAGGGGAGGGTCTGGTGTTTGGGTCTCCGATTCAAACAAAACTTGATGAGCACATAGCCTTAAGCACAGCTCCTTGAGCAAATAATAGGACTCACTTACCAATCATTTAAAAAAATTAAGCCTCTGAAAATTTAATTTTTAGATTATAAGTCCTTGGAAGTTCCACATCCCAGATCGATAATAACTGAGTGAATAAGACGCTAGGTACTGGACTTAGATGATGTAGGTTTGAACCTTGGAAGTTTACTTTTTTTAATATATAACTTTCTTATTTTATTGCATCATTATTATTATTCCTCATGTTTAAAAGCTTATAAAACAAGAGATTAAAAATTCTGACGTCATTTCCCATTTAGCAAAAACAAGCCTATGTAGATTTAACTCTTTAATGTTGTTAAATAAGACTTTTATTCTTCACATTTATTTTCACATATTTTACATACTAATGTCCTCAAAAATGAATAAGTTTTGGACATTACTGCAAATGGATGAAAAAAATAAGTGATATGAAAATAAGGTAGTGTAGTCACAGTGTTTTATTTTTTTAATTGTTAATATTATGGACAATATCCTCAGGCGCTCAAACCCAAAAAACTCCTCAAGGATACTAGTTGGTCAACACAAACCCAGTGTTCAGTGGTTAAATCCACTTAGCATATTGACAAAGTGGATCTATGTATCTCATCATAAGTTAAGAAACAAAAAGAAATATTAATTAAAGATTATATACTTACTCCATCTTTTGAAGTTTCCAAATGGATTTCATCTCCAATCCTAGAAAGGGCATGAACTGCTTTACCTAAAACTTAAAATATGAAAAAAATATTAAATTTTATTAAGTGACTTATCTAGAATACTTATCACAATACAAAATTAATCTTTTACTATAAGTAGTGATAAATTTCATTCAACAGTTTAATTAATATTAGATATATAATCTATCCTTAAAATTATTGTATTATTAGTTTAACAACTCAAACTGGATATATGTAATTAAGCACTACATAAAAACCAATATCCGACAGGAACTACAAAAATCTACAAAAGCAAATCTACATGCTAAATGGTCATTATCAGGCTAATCTGACAATGACCATTTAACATGAGCAAAAATGTGTGTTTTGTAATTTTTGTAGTTCCTGCCGGATATTGATTTTACCCTTGATCAAAGTTTTGAGAATGGTTCAATAAAATACAAGATTTAAATTTATTCATTGAAATTTATTTTGTCCCCTTCAAAGTAATCTCTTTCCACTGCAATGAACTTACGCTAACATTTTTCCAATCTTTCAAAACATGCTTTAAAGTCATTTTGTGAAACCCCTTTGGGACATGGAGAAAATTTTGTTTTATGGCAGCATCAATAGACTCAAAACAGTGACCATGATGTACAAATTTTAGTTGAGAAAACAGGAAAAAAATCACATGATGCCATATTGGGTGAATACAGAACTTGTGGAACCATATTTGTTAAATTTTTGGCCAAAAATTCATGAACAACAAGAGCATCATGAGCGGGTGCAACATCTTTGTGCAAAATCCATGTTTTCTTGCCACACATCAGATAATTTTCTACAAAACGGCTTCACACAAATGACTCAAAAACACTCAAATAATATGCATTGTTGACAGTTTGGCCAATTGGAAGAAATTTTTGATGCATAACACCATGACAATCAAAGAAAACAGTTAACATGACCTTGATTTTTGACTGACTTTGATGTAATCTTTTTGATCTTGCTTCACCTTTCAAGCACCATTCACTTGACTGTTGAGCTATTTCAGTGTCAAAAGTATAGATTTGTGTTTTGTCACTGTAATGACAAGTTTTAAGAATGATTTGCCTCAAGAAAGCATTTCCTCAGATACTGAAACATATCATCATATTTGGAAAAATTTCAACGTTTTTGGGATGACTCGAGAAGCGATGCTCTGCAAGCCCAAATGATCTTTTCTTTAATCTTAATTAAATAAAAGTAAACTTCAAAGGCGTGCCGTGACATTTGATGATAGGGAAGCTGTGTTTCTATAAGAAGCCGACTTCCAGGGGCAATCAGTTAATTCTTTTTTTAAATGTATTTTTAATAGATTATTTATCTGACGTACCTAATAAATAAACAAGTTCAATATAATTACCTCTGTTTCAATAGGTTTCCTTTGCCCTCTAAATGCCAATTCTTGCTTTGATAAAAACATATAACATCTATTTATTTAGATATAATATATCTATAAACTGTAACTATCTTGTTATAATTTTCAATATTTATTTTATATTATTTACTAATGTTAAATTCTATTCCGCTTCGATTTCCAAATTGCTTCAAATACGAAAAAATCGACAAGTTTTTGCGTCTTTTTCCAGCTAAATTGTCAAAGCCGTTCTTATTCCACACACTAATTTCATTTGAAAATAGTAGGCGAGCCAATAAAACAATTTTTGCATTTACAGAGCCATTTTATCATGAAAATGTTGAACTAATTTTTTTATTGAAGCGTTTATATTTAACTTAGGCATTGGCTTTTCTCTTTTAATAATGTTTTCTTTTTCATTATATGATCTCGAGCCAAAACTTTTTTAAAATAAATTTTCAATATCGCAATTACATTCCGAATCACTAGCCACAATATAAGGGCTAAAAGTAAAAATAAAATTATAAAAACATACTTGGTGAAATACAATGTGTGGTGGATATACATACCTAGTACAAAACATTCTTCAATTGTATGAATATACTTTTAAAGAAAATTATAATTAAATACGGCTTTGTAATGAAATGTATATAAAAATAACATAAAATATTCTTTACTCTTTAAATCTTAACCACTTAGTCATATAGCTCCCTATGAGTGGAATCAGAGATGGTCCTGCTAGGTGTGCAGTGTGTACATGCACGCGGGCTGCCAAATCCCGAGGGTGCAGATACCGGTCGATGTCAAATGTCAAAAGACGCGACAGGGTTCTTGTAAATTTTGAATATTTCTCACCATAGTTGTGTAAAAGTCTAAATATGTTAAACTTAATAGATTGTCCGTCGTTTGTTTTCTAATTAGTTTTAGGACCAGGTGTTGTTCACGGAAATTTCCAAAATTTACAACTTTTCGGTCACTCTCGTCGAACTAGAAAAATGTTTGTCTTTATTACATCTAATATTTCGAAGAAATCACTCCAACTGTACTCGGCTAGAGATTGGTTCAGTTAGGCTTTTGTTTAAGTGAAATTTCGGCTCATTCATCAGGGTTTTGTTTATGTCCCCAATTCCCTAATCGCTTAATTATTTAACTACTTCTTAAGTAGAAATAAGTTGAAACCAGTTACTTTGTACTCGAATATTTGTAGTCTCGGAAAAAAAGTGGAAAGAAATTTTTATGACAAACGGATACATAAATCGTAAATTTAAAGAAAATAAATTCTAGAGCTTTTTCTGTACCTGGTGCATCTCTCTCATTCATTAAATTTAGTTGTAAACGATGCTGTTGAAGTAATGGTTAACTTTTTAACATTATACAAGAATTGTACATGTATTTTCTACATCCCCTTAAAGATGGGATATACGAAATCGTAATATCACTGGTTTAACATTGAAATCCGCAAGTAATATAAAATCGGAGAGCGGAATAAAAATATCAAATATTTTAATGGATTTTTTTAAACTCCTGTCAACTATACGGAACTATCATAAAAACATACCTATAAATTCTTATTGGTTGGGTTAAGTTATAAATCTACTCGCGATTTGTGTAATCGGGCAAGGGCGGCTAACAGCCCAGAACCGTCCCGGATAGAATTGGATGCGTTATACGCGTAGCATCCACCGGAGGTCCTAGGCTTCCACCGGCTAAACCGGGTGAGGTTGGTGCTCTGTAAAGCGCATGCGTGAATCTTGGCTTTTTATATGCTGACGATACAGCGCTTCCACTCTGCCATTAATATTCGAATATACAATAGCGATCTTATCTTTTTTTTTCACGTGTAGTATAGAAATTTGTAATAAACTACATAATGCGGTTATAATAAAATATCGTGAGATTATTTTCATATAATTAAAATTAATATGTATTTATTTTTTATAAAATACAAGGGAAGCGGCGCTTCCACTGCTTCTAATGATGGCACGCCACTGGTAAAGTTTATTAAGTTAAAATATATTCAACCATGTTAGGCAATCATCCTTAAGTGTATAATAAACAAGCAAACCATTGAAAAAAGTAAGAAAAAATTTAAATGTTATATTTTAATATATAAAATGCTAGAAATAAATACACAAGTGTACTTGATAACAGAATCTAACAGAAATTATTTCAAAAATAAAATTACTACGTAAATAATAGTAAATCTGCAATTTTTTAATGTCATTTCATCCCATGAATGTTTATGCTTAAAAATTTTTCTTAATTGTAAATTTGGCTGTATACATAATTTCATTCTATTTCATCTCAAGGTAGAAAACTCGTAAGAAGCCACCTTCCAAGGACAGTATTTGCATTACTTTCATGAAAACAAATGGAAAGTTTCTGGCTGGTCATGTAACTAACAAACTAAATCCACTTATAAATCAAAATTCCAAAAATACTGTATTTGTACATCCAGAATTTCATCAATGTCAATTAATGTTTCATCACATCTAATTAGAAACTGAAAAACCGATCATCAAACTGAAACTTCAAAACCGGAAACACCAAACGTAAATCACAGTTCAGTCCGAACCACAGCTAGAGCCAAATTGTGACTCTCCCAAACTTGCGCAGGAGATTCTCACAATTTGGCAAAAATTTTTAAATTTTCAAATTCCTAAATGAAAGTATATTCTTCCCGCACTTACTCGATTTCCAGGTCACGTATTATGACAGACTAAAGAATAGGCGACAACATTTTGACATTGCCGAGAGTAAAACACATTAACTCTCCAGGAGTCGGTATGCATAACCGCGGCACGACACACATTATTTACGACGTAAGCTTAACATTTCTTAGGAAGTGCAATATCTTTAGGGTATAAGGCATTTATTTTTGGTGTATTTAAAACAGGTTACCAATCTGATTAGTTTCCAATTGATTCCATTGTAATATTGCTCGTTTGCTTTCATTGAGATCATAGCATATGTATAATGGTATGTAGGGAACGGGGGCATCCGTACGTTAAGGCACATGCTCTTACTAGGTGGCACTGGTTGCAATTGAGGTTAACATTTCCATGTTTTTGAGGTCAAGTTAGCCCCAATTGCAACCAGTGCCACCTTGCAAAAACATAAGAGTGCATTTCCTTGTCAAGAAGCTAAGCAAGCCAATGACGTAGTTCGTTTCATCTACGTCATTGGCTGGACGGATCCGCCCAGCTGCTAAGGGGAGTCCACACCTCTCATTAAGAACTGTAATTTTACTCAAGTAACTTTGTGTACTTGGAATTTATATTATTATTAAAGCATTGTAACTTTAAAATTTACCTTACCTTTAACTCCCGAACATTGAATATCACATTTCATTTCCTTATTTAAGCGAAAACTTAACCCAAGTTTATAAAATTAATAAAACATTACATCTTTTAAAATATTGGCGCCTCTCTTAGTACTTTTTATCGTCGCTAGAAGCGCGATTATCAAAATATTAAAAATTTCGTATTTTTGTAAATTTATTAAAAATTAAAAAAGTAAAATTTATTATGATTTATAAAATAGGGAAGGTAAAAGAATTTAATAATTTTCATTTTGTATAAATTATATTTCATTTGTCATTAAAAATAAAATAAAATCGGTTCTTAAAAATCTTTGTCGTCCGACTTTAAATTTATATAATTAAACTTCAAATAATTTATTAAAATTTTATTTTTTCCTTTGAAATAATATTAATTTAATTAATTAAAGTTCTAAAGTATATTTTGTCGAGGCCTTATCACGTGACATAAATAAACAAATATGGCAGCACCGCACGGTAGCACGTGACATTTGACGGAGAACAACACAGATTAACACACGTGTTAATCTGTGAGAATACTTTCAGTTTTATAATATGAAAATAAATCAGAACACGAAAATTGTCGGAGATAAGATCGTTTTAGTTCCGTATAAGGAACAACACGTGCCTAAATACCATTTATGGATGCAAGATTCGGAATTACGCGAACTGACGGCTTCCGAACCTTTAAGCTTGGAACAAGAATACGGAATGTGTAAATCGTGGAGAGAAGACGACGATAAATGTACTTTCGTTGTACTCGATAAAGAAGAATACGAAGCGACAAATGACGAAATAGAATCTATGATAGGAGACGTGAACTTATTTTTAACGGTAGACGACAGAAGCGAAGCTGAAGTAGAAATTATGATAGCGGAAAGTTCAAAAAGAGGACAAGGAAGAGGAAAGGAAGCGCTTTTATTTATGATGCGATACGGCATAGAAGAGTTAAAAATAACTTCGTACATTGCTAAAATCAAAATGAAAAATTTGATAAGCATACAGATATTTGAGAAAATAGGATTTAATAAAATATCTGAAAGTGATTTTTTTCAAGAAGTTACCTTAGAATTATTAGTCGACGATCATTTCTATAGCTATTTGATGGATTGCACTCTTAGTTATAATTTGTTAAGATCATAACTGATCTCGACTGTTTCGAAATCGATTTTTTGGTACGAATTAAATTGGGGTTTTGCAAGTTTTACCGAGCTGGCTCGGCTAACTTGCAAAACTATTTTGTACCTAATGAGTTTATAAAGGAATTATATAGTACAGTATGGAAATTAGAGCTGCGGCAAAGATCTAGAAGATCTGCAGTTTTGCCACCATTGGTGTGCATATATATATGTTGATTGTATACTTTATATGTGAATTTCTTAAAATGCCAATGCTTATTGTTATCTGGAATTAAATGAATTATTTAAAATAAACAGATAAAAACTATATTATGTCGTTATTCAATCATATGCTGTGATTAATTTGAAATAAATTTCTACTAAATCGGTACTGTTTATATCAAGCTTGCTTTGTTTCAAAATATTGCTTGTAAGATACTATGGAATGTTATTAGTTAACTCCATAAGAATCTTGTTAATGCATAAGGCAATGCAATGACTTTCTTGTGTGTATATTTACTGTCTGATAATTGTATATTACAATATTTATTAATTGATAAAATTTCTTTCATTAGGAATTTCTAGTAATGAAATGATTTTAAAAGTATATTGACTATTTTCAGTTTAACTTTTTTAGAATTTAGTTGAATGAATTAAAGATTTCAAGCATATTCTTGATTATATAGGATTTCTATATTATAATCTGTCTCAGTTTTAGGACTTTCAAAGTTCTAATTAATTGAACACACTTCAAAATTAATGTTTATTATTATTTTTTCAAAAAAAAATTTTTATTTAACATTGCTGTTCTTAGTTCATAGTACAAGTCAATAAATGATATATTTATCTTTGCATAAAAATAATTCACTGGTAAATATGTGGCCCACCAGTGGCTGAGCGATCTTCGTACCCTGAACACTGGGAGTTCAGTCATGGGTTCACGCCTCACTCGGACAGATTGGCCACATTTTCCAGGTTTTCTCCACATCTGTAATGCCTAAATAGGGGCCAGTTTCCCTTAAAAAGACCTCCCGGAAGGCATCCCCCCTAGGCAGATTGCCCAAGTGTTGTGTTGCCATAATTAAACAAACAAACAAACTGATAAGTATGCAAAGTAATTATCTTAATTTTGATTGTCTCTTGCAACTGATAATACAACTGTGGAAATTAGGTATGAGATGTACCCACAAACACACACAAGTCAGTTGCAAGAAGTGATGATATTTCAGTATACTAATAGGATGGTTCATAAAGGTGGAAATATTTACCCTATAACTTTGAAAATGTGGAAGTTGTGTTTATAAAAATAACACTTGTCATTAGGCCCAGCAAAAGTTTGGTATGGGGATGGAATAGAGTGAGTCTCTTCTGCTTTTTTTCTTTTTTGTGTGAAGAAATGAAATATGTAGAATGTTTTTCTTTATTAATAAATAGCCGTCTTAAAGATTTTACTTTCTGTTAGTAAAAATAAAATTAATGTATAAGGGTAAAAACCACTATGGGCCCCTAAGTTTTCTTCAGGCCAAGAAAAATTTCCAGCTCCTGTTCCTCAATGTCATAGGTTGTCATTAGTAAATTGTGTATTACAATCTATTGGTGGCAATTTTAACAACCTCAAAACTTACTTTGAAATTTAACATAGCTGGTGTTAAATTTTACCATTGTAATACTGTAGGGAATGATGAAATTAACCTAAATCTTACTTCAAATCAATTTTATTGCTTAAATTTCTCCAAGAACATGTTATGAAATAATAAGTCAATTTTACATTTGTGAGCTGTGTAGAGTACTTACATCTTCAACCGAAAGAATGAATGCTATGCAAAGACATGTTTCTTTAACACAAAAGAAAAAATATATCACAGTAGCAATGCCAAGTTCCTCAGTAATTTACATAATCTAATGCCAACATGATGTTTATGAAGGACAAATTAATTTTATGCATTTGTAGCTAGAACTATTTTAAGATGATCAATACAAAACCTTCCTCACTTATTTCTAGCCGTTTATACATGAGTACAAACGTTTTCGGCCTTCTTCAGGTACACTGTGGTCTGTTAGAGCGTCGGTTGGTAGAAGTTTAAAGGGTGTCAATGATACCTATGTAAACATTGACACTGTTTAAACTTCTACCAACTGACACTCTAACAGACCACAGTGTACCTGAAGAAGGCCGAAAACGTTCGTACTCATGTATAAACGGCTAGAAATAAGTGAGGAAGGTTTTATATTGATTGACAAATTAATTGAAATAATTAATGGTCAGATGAAGATAAACACTGCATATATGACCAATATGCAGTGTTTATCTTCATCTGACAGCAAGAAGAAACTGCAAGAAAGCAAACATTTTATCTGTGTTTAACAGGTATTGTCAAACTAACTGACCTTTGCAGTTGTTAAAACAAACAGAAGTTACTCTTATATATTTATGAGCTGTACAGAAATAAGTTACTCTGCACAGCTCATATAAAATTGACTTATTATTTCATAACATGTTCTTGGAGAAATTTAAGCAATAAAATTGATTTGAAGCAAGATTTAGGTTAATTTCATCATTCTCTACAGTATTACAATGGTAAAATTTAAACATAGCTGCTTTAGCAAATAAGAAAATATTTGATTGCCCTTCAAAGTGAGTTTCAAGGTTGAAAAAAGTATCACCAATAGACTGTCATACACAATTTGCTAATAACAAGTGTCACTTTTATAAACACAACTTTCACATTTTCAAAGTTATGGAGTGTTTCCATCTTTATGAATCATCCTGTTTATCTTTATTAGATAGATTGTTTTGCAGCAAAATGAGAAAGCTAAATGTACAACTCGTACTTATGGAATGTACTACTATTTTGAATAAGATAAAGGCAATGGTAAAAACTACTGAACAAAATTTAATTATAACAATTAATTACAACGATTAGGCAACCATCTTTCTTCTTTGTCTCAAAAACAACTAGTGCCCTCTGCTTTTTCTCTCGCCCCTGGTGGGATTTTCTCTTAAATTATACTAATTAAAAAAAAAAAAAAAAAACATTAGAGTTAGATGCATAAACAGCTTGCCCAGTATTATATTCTGTGATTTATGAGTTGTGAATGTGAGGAATCCAGTACAGCATATATTTTTATATATATGTTTTCTTATTCATGATTTTTAAAATCTAATACTATATAATGTTTAAAGAAAATTTTACATGCTATAATATACCAGGTGATCAAATAAAAAGAGGTCGTATGAGAAACATCACATGGATTTTGCAAAACTGCAAGTCAGATATGGTAAAACACAAGCTGGTACATGTTTGTTAATGTCCTGTTATAAATGAAAAATTCTTAAATATGAACATTGATTTACTGTAGACTTGATGAATAACATTTGAACACTTACTTTTGTCACATATACATTCTGTGGTCTTCAACTTATTTAATTAATACGGTAATTTGTAAACAAACTTTTGTGGATACAGATGATTTAGAATATTTTCATATAAACAGTTGCCTTTTTTTAGTAACTTTTCTTCTTTATGTAACTTACCAATATGAATATTCTCTACTCTATAGTTTAAGTAAAGTGTCCAGATGTTCCACATTTTAAGTCCATATCTCATGGTCCCATTTGTCCCACCAGGATGCCTAAATGACTCACTTTCCACTTGGAGAATAAAAATACAAGGCAACAATCTCAACAAGTAAACATCATTGCCATCTGACATTACATTTATGGCAGGCTACCCATCATCGTGGAAGTGCATGGTGAAGTGTATTGCCATGCCACAAGGGAATGAGCTGCTGTTGGCAGATTTCCAGGAACAATTTATTTCCATGCTAGGTGAGCAGCATGTGGATAGGAAAGTAAAAGTGTGTCCAGAAAACAATGTGCAAGGATATTCTAAATTTAATGCATGGGTGAACCTGATATTCACCACGGGCCTCAAAATGACATTATACTGTAAAAACCCAGTTAAGATGTTCTTACATGTGATGTTTTCTCTCCTAAGTTGCTCAAACTCTATGGTCCTGTCATTTCATCCATAAGACATGTTGAAAATTCTCTCATAAGATATGCAAGAGTTGTTAAATATCTGTCCCGTGAAGCAATTTTTATCCCTTAAAATGATCACACCCGGTGACCAATAGTTTTCTCACAAGCTACATGAATAGAACAGTGGTGTAACATTTGACATTACTGAAATAGGGAATTAATACAAAAATTTTTGAAGTTAATTAGTTTAATGGCCCAATGCTAATGAACTTTAAAATTGAAATTTTGAAAATTTAGATTACAAATGATATTCATTAAGTTTGATACCAGTATCAACAGTTAAACAATTTCTAACAGATTTTCCTGCCCATTTAATGTTCAGAAATTAAAATTATGCATTTGATTGGGAAAAAATTTTAACTGTAAACAAGTTTTGAATTTGAATTCGAAAATTATTCCTTCTCAAAGTATTAAATTTATTGCTTTGATTGATTAGAAAAAAATAGTCAGTTGACTAACGGTTGTTTTAAAAACAGTATAAATAGGCTGTCTCTGTGTTCTATTAATAAATTTATTCTATTTATTTAGTATATAAATTATCATACGGTACAATTTACCTTGCAATATTCTTATAGCTCTTTCTGTATGGTATAATTTTCTTAAAATTCGAAATGTTTAATAAAGTTGGTTTTATATTTATTAAGAATGACCAGATAAATAATTTATTCTTAATGTCATGTCAATCAGCAGTGACGACAAGAAAATTAAAGAATTTCTACATAAAATTTTTATTATAATTTATTACTAATACAAATTTAATTTAGAAATGAATAATACACAAGAAAACTCTTCAAAATTTTTTAATATAATAAAAATTAAAACTGTAAATATATAGAATTCATATTATATTCATTAAAAAGATTATTTCTAATATATATAACAAAATTTTATGAATATTTTTATTATTTATGATTAAAAGTGAAGCTTGGTAAGTTCCAAGAGATACTATCCAGAAACTGAAATATTTTCATAAATCTGTAAAAAAAAAAAAAATACAGAGCAATAAAAATAAAGTTATTAAAAAGTACAATTAATTTAATTGGGATTAATTAACTAAGCTGTTATCATCATCTAATAGTCATGATTTTTTTATTGTTAAATATTGTTAATAAAAATAAAACCTAAATAATATTTTTAACATTTTATGTTAGTAAATATTTCTTATATAATACCCAATAATTAATACTGAAATTGAGAATAAATTACCAGAACACAAAAAGGAGAACATTTGATTATAGTTCAAAATGCATTTAACATTCACAATCAAAAAATTAAATCGTCATTCATGTTTAAATTGATTATTTTTTTTTTGTTTTAATACACTACTTGAACTTACCATATAAAAAACCAAATACAAAAGATTTGTGAAAGAAATATTTTCACAAAGTTTTATACTATATATATATATTGCTGAATGTCAATGCAAAAAGATTGTATATTGAGCAATTAAGCTTACTTAATCTCTAAATATACAATCTTAAGCTATTAAGAACTAATCTTTATTTGATTAGTTATTCAGATAACTAATCAAATAATGATTAATAATGTCTGAATGTGACATCCTGACCAAGAAAACTGAGTCTTTTTGACATGACATGATAAGACTCAGCTTCACTGTTGATATGTTAGAATTTGTTTCAGTGATAGATTCAGAAAGTTCTTGTAGAGGTGAGATTCAATTACAATATTTTATTAATACAAATATTCATGAAAATACCAGAGGAATTACTGTTCAAAGGAATTACTACTCATACCAATGGAATATCACAATCTTCATGTAAAATCAATATTTTTATCATTAATTTTTATTTATTTAAATTATTATTAATTGACTATAGCTTTATTATAAATTTGAGATTAGAATAATAATCCTGGAATTAGTATCTCAATAGAAACTTAGTTTTATTTTCAATTTTTTGAGTGCTAATGGCACAAACCCAAATTTTAGTTAAATGTGAATAAACCTATGATCTATTGTTCTAAAGAGTGTATTTATTGCTTATTATAGTATTACATTTAACCAGGGACTTGAACCGATACTGGAATGAACCTGCTTCATTTTTACTGATATGGTACCAGACCTGAAACAGTAGGATAAGAATCCATTGGAACCAGGAACCGAACTGAATCGGTTGTTTAGAGCTGGTTCAAATCAATTTACAAAAACATTTTTAAAGCTGTAAGATTAACTACTAATATGACACTTATGGATGTGGAGAACATCATATATTGATTCAAAATTTGCCCAAGTTAGTGTTAATTGTAAGGCAGACTAAAGCCACAATCGTTGTAATAAAATGCATAATTTATGATACATTGCCTAATCTGGCAACATTTTCATGCAGTGAGTAACCATTACTTTTGAAAATTGTTGGATAATAATTATAAGTACAAATATCTATAGTTTAATTTTAGACATGATTATAAAAAATTAAAAATATGCATAAATCTATAGCATATATTTGATTAAACTTCAAAATGCCAGTAGAGAAATAATGAATGATGAAAATGTCACTAGCAGAGCGAGGGGGCAAAAGGGCAATGTCATGTCCCAGGCGCCACTCACAGAGGGGCACCAAATGGTCTCAAAGACAACAAGAACTAGAGGGGGCGCCAATAAAGTGTTGTTCCCCAGATGCCAGTTATGTTCGCTATGCCACTGGAAAATGTCAAACAATTGAAATGTAAAGAAACAAAATATCTACATTTAGTTTGAAAGAAAATATGTTAAATTAATAAAATGGATACAATATATCATTTGGCATTATTTTTGTGTCATACTTCAAAACTTGTTTTTACTAATCATCATTAGATCACAGGACTGTTCTAATATATTTAAGTGCCCTGTGCTAACAATATCAGGCATCCATTTTCATAATTTAAAAAGGTACTAATTTTTAAACCAATTTTTAAAAAGCCAATAATTTAATCAAGCACCAATTTTAAAATTTCATTTTTATTTTTACATCAGAATAATAGTTTAAATTAAAATAAAACTGAAAAGCCAATTCCTTTATGCTATAATAAAAATGTAAAAGAGAATTTAATCAGTTAAAAAATAAATAAATAAATCAAAAATATAAAATCTTTATGAGATGATGGTAGCTGGTGCCCAAAGACTGTAGCCCTAATAGCCCAATAGTTAAGATGGCTCTGATAATTCATTATACAGTAGAACCTCGATTATCCGGACTAATTAGGGATGAAGGTAGTCCAGATAAGGAAAAATCCGGATAATCGAAACAAATACTTTAATTTGTCTTTTAATGATAATACAACACGTTTTCTTTTCGATGACATATCGGTAATATTAAAAATAAATACTGTATTTAAATCGTGATCAAATTTTCAAGAAACAAATGTTTTATTGAATTTGGACTACTACTGACCAGCACTAACAGACTAGCTATTGTTTAAAAGGCCCTCTGGCGGCTCAAGAATACGGATTTTATAAAATAAAAATCAGTTGAAACTGCATTTTTATGAATAAAAATTTGACAAACTATTTATCGTTTTATAATGAGTAAAATTTTTTTGTTGCGTTCTCGGCTTTTAAGTAATGCATAAACCTTCTAGGCGCGAGGCCCTTCGGACCACGAGGCATAGGTGGTGGCCCACGTTGCCCATACGCCGCCCTTGATCATAGAAATGATGTAATTTGAAAATAAAATTATTTATAAATACGTATATCAAGTTATATTTTTATTACGACGCAAAATATATTTAAGAGTTTACGACCATTGTGCCGGGTGAGACGTTGTTGAAACAAAAAATGTTATGCATTCCATCACGTACATAAGCAGTGTCGTAATTCACCAAGTGCAAATCAGCAAATTCGTAAAATTTTTGTTTATTTTGAACAATCCGGATAATAGAGGTCCGGATAATCGAAGTTCTACTGTATAATAAATTAATGCTTTATAAAAAAAAACCATAGCCAGGAAGTAGGCCCATAGGATCTGATCCTCTTAGAAATTGGAAAAATTTACATACATCTAGCAAAAAAATATTTTTTCTGATGAATAGCAAACTTCTATTCACTAAGTAAATTAGGAATGAAATAAAAGGTAGAAAAAAGTACAAATGTGGCGACAGCTTTGGCGATAAACCCCAAAGTCGCCACAAGGGGGAACCCCTGACCTGACCTATGACATCATACACATTCTAGTTGGATTTTGGACCTTGCAGACGTGTGTAGTAACACCTCGTGTTTTAACTTGTACAGTCGCGCCATAATTCATATAGAGAATAAATGATAATCTTTTATTGTATGTGGCCCTGTTTGTAATGAGTAATTTCACACGAACTGGTGACCACAAACTGGTGAGCCGAACGTGATATATGTTTTATGGTGACTCTACCCGACGAAGGACTCTATCGTGCGACATGAAAATTCCATCCATTCGCATCGGATACAACGTTGGACTTTCATCCTTTTTTGGAACTGCCAACTCATACAACTAGACCTTCGAAACGTGCAACCACGGAAATTTTTCGTCGACGGTCGACTTTTCTCAACGAAAAGGTATAGTACACCACGTGCTACCCTTCTTTGTCCTCGCGCCACGTGCCATCCTTTGTTTCCTCGCCACGTGCCTTTACGTGCCATCGTTCTTTGTCCTTTCCCCACGTGCTGAACTGCGCGCACGACGCATCATTTAAGGATAACTACCTCCGCACTGCCACATCTACGTAAAAAAAATCATCATGTCTGAGGCAGAAATTAATGACGATCACCGTCATATAGCACGCATTGCGATCAGACCCCCACCCTTCTGGAAGGGCAACCCTAACTTATGGTTTGCTCAGTTGGAAGCACAATTTTCGATAAATAACATAACCGTCGACGACACCAAATTTAAACACGTCGTTGCTGCGATAGAGCCGGAAATTTTAAATTCGGTGCAGGACCTAATCCTCAACCCGCCCGACCAGAATAAATTTTCCACGCTAAAGGCTCGTCTCATTGACGTCTATTCGGAGAGCGAGACCTCCAAAATCAGAACGCTTCTTCAAGGGTTGGAACTGGGAGACCAACGTCCATCCTTTCTATTATCACGGATGCGCGACTTGGCCGGAAACCATTTTAGCGAAGACCTGCTACAATCTCTCTGGCTGTCGAGACTACCTCATAACGTACAGGCCATTTTAGCCGCATCTAAGGAAAAACTCCAACAACAGGCCGCCATGGCCGACAAGATAATGGAATTAGTCTCCCCCGCTCACATTCAAACGGTCGAACATGACCTTGCCACTATCTCCACCTTGAAGAACCAGGTTGCGGAATTAGCCCAGCAGGTCAAGAACCTCACATTATCCATCAACAACCAACGCCGCTCCTTCACACGTTCTGATTACCCTCCCAACAACAGGAGGCGCCGCAGCAAATCGCGGCAGAATCAACAGCACAGCACCCTCCACAACGGCATGTGTTACTACCACGCTACCTTCGGGGAGCAGGCGAGAAAATGCAAAGCCCCTTGCTCCTTCCGACCGTCGGAAAACTGACTAGGCGGGCGCTTACGGCCAGAAGCCTCACCCGCCACATCGATCGAATCACCATGGCCGACCCTACTACGAAATACAAATTCCTAATTGACACAGGCGCCGACATCTCCGTTATCCCAAAAAGTTCTAACATGTATTTATGCAAACCCGACAAGCTAGTCCTCTTTGCTGCAAACGGAACGCCTATTTCAACTTACGGAACAAAACTATTAACACTCAACTTTAACTTAAAGCGGAATTTTTCGTGGCCATTTGTAATCGCCGACGTAACCCAACCCATCATAGGAATCGACTTCTTAACTAAATTCAACCTACTGGTGGACGTTAAAAACAATCGACTAATCGATGGAGTCACGCAACTAAAGTCTCCTGGTTGCTGGCAGAACCGACCTACAACTGTCACTAACATCACCGCTGTGACTAATGACTCTCCCTACCACCGTATCATGGCCGAGTTCACTACCATCACAAATCCGTCGATAATCCCCGAAACCAAGAAAACGCCAACCACCTTTCATCACATCGAGACTAAAGGACCACCTGTCTTCTCAAAACCCAGACGATTACCACCACATACGCTCCGAGCAGCACAGGAAGAATTTCGGTTCTTAATGTCCCAAGGCATCATCAGACCATCCAAAAGCCCCTGGGCCAGCCCACTACACATGGTCAAGAAGGCAAATGGCCAGTGGCGACCATGCGGCGACTACCGTCGTCTCAACGCTGTAACAGTCCCTGACCGCTACCCTGTTCCTCATATACAGGACTGTACTCAACTCCTAGAAGGCAAAACCATTTTTTCCACCCTGGATCTAACCCGCGCCTATCACCAAATACCGGTCTTCCCCGAGGACATTCCGAAAACAGCCATAACAACCCCGTTTGGCTTGTTCGAATACATCTATATGCCTTTCGGTCTACGAAACGCTGGTCAAACCTTCCAGCGATACATCCACCAAGTCCTACTTGGCCTCGACTTCTGCATCCCGTATTTCGACGATATATTGGTCGCGTCCAAAGATGCGGACGAACACACAGACCATCTCCGCCAAACGTTCCTCCGCTTGCAAGAGCACGGCCTAAAACTAAATCCATCCAAATGCATCCTCGGAAAATCTGCAGTTCCATTCCTCGGCTGCATGATTACATCATCCGGAGTTAAACCTTTGCCATCAAAAACCAAAGCCATCAACGATTTTCCTCAACCAAAAACTGTAGCTGAGCTCCGTCGCTTCTTAGCCATGCTCAATTTTTATAGACGTTTTTTGCCAAATGCAGCCCAAACTCAGGCCCCACTACTCGAATTTCTCAAGGACTCCACAAAAAATGATAAACGCATCATCTCCTGGAACGAATCTGCTCTAAAGTCCTTCAACCAATGTAAAGCAGATCTCTCAAATGCAACGACTCTGGCATACTATTCGTCACATGACAATCTCTCCCTAATGGTAGACGCATCTAATGTCGCCATCGGCGCCGTACTCCAAACCCATACCGCCGAAGGAACTCGTCCACTAGCCTTCTTTTCACGGAAACTAACGCCTACCGAAATAAAGTACAGCACCTACGACAGGGAACTGCTGGCTATATACTCCGCGATCAAGCACTTCCGCCATACCATCGAAGGTCGAGACTTTGTCATCTTTACGGACCATCGCCCCCTCACCTTCGCTTTTCGCCAAAAACCAGAATCTTGCTCCCCACGTCAGCTGCGACATCTCGATTACATTGCGCAGTTCAGCACCAACATCAGGCACGTCACTGGCTCGAACAACATCGTAGCAGACACTCTCTCTCGGATCAACGAGATTCGACTTCCCGTGACAGACTTTACCGCCATTGCGGAAGCTCAAGCAAACGACGACGAGCTAACCGCACTCCTCACGGACGATAAAACAGCACTCACGCTACAGCCACTCCGAATCAGCCCGTCACTACAACTATATTGTGACACCAAGGACAGCAAAGTTCGCCCATATATACCACTCCAATTTCGCCGTCGAATCTTCTCTTCCATGCACAATCTGGCCCATCCAGGAATTCGTGCAACGAGGCGTCTTGTCCAAGAACGTTTCGTGTGGCCTTCGATGCAGAAAGACATCGCCAATTGGACCCGTTCCTGCATTAACTGCCAACGGTCCAAAGTGAATCGGCACACCAACAGCCCTCTTCAGAGATTTGACCTCCCATCCAATCGGTTTTCACATGTGCATCTCGACCTCGTCGGACCACTCCCGCCTTCAAATGGATCTACCTATCTACTCACCTGCATAGATAGATTCACGAGGTGGCCGGAAGCTGTTCCCCTCCACGACATTTCTGCTGAAACAGTCGCTCGCACTTTTGTCTCACATTGGATCTCCAGATTCGGTGTTCCCTCCATCATCACAACCGATCAAGGCCGACAATTCCAGTCTCATCTGTTCGCCTCACTGACAGCTATGTTGGGCATCCAACACATACGTACAACACCATACCATCCATCAGCCAATGGTTTAGTTGAACGATTCCATCGTTCGCTAAAACAGGCTCTCAGATGCCACGAACAACACTGGACGGAATCTCTCCCAATCGTCCTACTCGGCCTTCGATCAGCGTTAAAAGAAGACATCAATGGCACTTGTGCCGAGATGGTGTACGGCACAACCCTTCGTCTCCCGGCAGAGTTCTTCCATCCTTCGCAGGAACCGCCAGCAGACCCATCATCCTTCCTCCATCACCTACGGTCCACGATGCAGTCGCTCACGCCGACTCCAACATCTGCACATGTCAAACCTTCACACTTCGTCCATCCAGCACTCGACACCTGCTCCCACGTGTTTGTGCGAAAAGAAGGTCATAGAACTTCTCTGACCTCCCCTTACGATGGACCCTTCCCAGTTACCGTGCGGACACCCAAGCACTTCACGATCCTAGTCAACGGAAAAACAACAAAGGTCAACATCGATCGATTGAAACCAGCATTTCTGGACAGCGAGAACGCCAGCACATCGTCAAACTCGTCCAGGACAACACGTCCAGACTCCCCGGAGCGACCAAGGATAAACACTCCTAATAACTCCGTGCCTACCAACACGACAACGACGACACGTTCTGGAAGAAGAGTCAGGTTCAACCCCCGGTACCTTTAACTTCGTACCTACGGCACTGGGGGGGAGTACTGTGGCGACAGCTTTGGCAATAAACCCCAAAGTCGCCACAAGGGGGAACCCCTGACCTGACCTATGACATCACACACATTCTTGTTGGATTTGGACCTCTCCAGACATGTGTAGTAACACCTCGTGTATTAACCTGTACAGTCGCGCCATAATTCATATATAGAATAAATGATAATCTTTTATTGTATGTGGCCCTGTTTGTAATGAGTAATTTCACACGAACTGGTGACCACAACAAATATCATAAAATATTGGAATAAAAAGAAAAATCATTTTTATATCCTTTTTCTAAGATTGCTTTAGAAATTGATACAACATAAATGAGTGTAGAAAGATTATTTTCTTGTCTGAAGTACTAGATAAGTGGTAATAATGTTAATAAAATAATTTGAAAAATTTAAAAAACAGTATTATTTGCTAATCAATATAATTTAAAATTTAATGAGCAATTATTTATTCTGACATCATCACAATGCCAGGATGGAATTTTTAATCATCTTTTAATTTTCAAAAATCATGTGACTTCTGGTCCAGAGTGGAAGTTCATCTATAGTTAATTAGAATCTCTGGCCAATGAGCTTTCCATATCTCATATGAAATTTAGTGGTCTTGCCCCTGTACATAATACTGGTCGGGCTCCAGACTTGGAAGAGGTAAGTTGTGTGTTCTCTTGCTCCTGACCAGGTTATTTTGTAGGTTTTAGTGCTAAGCCTAATATTAGGCTAAGCTAGCTGTAGTCTGTGTTAAAGTATTGGCAAGCGCCAAATCCGACAGAGGGCGCTGTTTTTGAGCCAAGATGGCTGCCTAAACAGGTAAGGAGCCGACCACGTGTTTGTTCAGTGCCTGAGCTGATTCAGTTTCTATCGGTGACGACTACTGCGAGGATCAAATGAAGAACAAATCATTGAATTTATGTCAAATTCTAGACTATATCGGCGACAGGAAACGTTGTCTTCTAGAAGGTGAAGCCGTTTTGAATGCTGGACACATCGTATTTTGTGGATTAAACTCTAACAACAACACCAAAGTTCATGTTGTTGCTTTAATGTTGCAATCTCAGATATTGGCATTTTAATACATCTCAATTACAGGGAGAATGCACGTGCAAAGCGGAGCTGTCTGGTTTTCGTAAACATTTGATAGCATGTTTATTACACGTTATCAGGTGAGAAGTATTTAAATATTTTAAGCAGTATACACCATGTTCCAATATAAAAACAAAGTTTTATTTATCATAATAGTTAAAATTAGTGCCAATCTGAAGGCTGCCCTGCTGAGTCATTCAGCACTTATACAACATAGTCCAGTCAAATGTTTGTAGCACATTATGTTTTGTGTGTGTGTGTGTGTGTACGTCACATATATCCAAAACGGCTTCACCTTCTAGAAGACGTTTCCTGTCGCTGATATAGTCTAGAATTTGACATAAATTCAATGATTTGTTCTTCATTTGGTCCTCGCAGTAGTTGTCACCGATAGAAACTGAATTGGCTCAGGCACTGAACAAACACGTGGTTGGCTCTTTACCTGTTTAGGCAGCCATCTTGGCTCAAAAACAGCGCCCTCTGTCGGATCTGGCACTTGCCAATAGCTTTCTAGTGTGTTAAAGTAGGGTTAGCTTGCAGTTAGGCTTAGGATAGGTAAGCCTAACTTTTTCTCCCATTTTATTTGGGAAGTGTTGGGTTTTTGGGAGCCAGACATATTGGCTTCCCCAGTGCAAGGCCTGGTGAAGGCAAGCTCAGCAACCATCTTGGATTATGTGCTTTCCTAGTGGATACAGGATGGATATTGTGTCTTACTTCAGTGATGTGTCTACCTTCAGTGATGTGTTTGTGTCATCGTTCTGTGTCCTGTGTTTCGTCTAGCTGTCTG